TACCGAGCCTCGCAGTATGATCCACTTGAATGCAAGGCAAGGAGCTTCATGTATTTGGAACCACACCTGCAGCAACACAATAAACTAAACGTTTCTGAGAATGGCGGGGCACTTTTCCTTCTGATAGCTCTCCACGGCGAACAGCCGCACCCGGTTCCAGAGCAACGAAATGTAGCCAATGCTTCGACCCGTCAGGCCCCGCTTGTCGACGACGAGCACCCTTTTCGTAGTCAGCATCGTCGTGTCGCGGCCGGACTTGTAGGCCATCTGCACTTTCTCCTGCGGGTGCAGGATATGAGCCATGGCTTGCTGACACTTCTCGGGGCTCAGCTGCGACGCATCCCCCTTCAGGAAGTCGAACACCTTGCTCGCAGCGTATCAAACAGAAACAAAGCACACTCATGAAAACCATAGCCGTCAAAGTAATCGAATAAAGTACACGCAGTACATTTTTGCAGTCGACAAGACGCGTTTCGGATGTAAAAAGAAAACTACGACCGCAATACCGTCAGAAAAAACGGCGCGTGTAGGGCATGCACTTCGCAAGATATTTATTGTGATGTGAGTGTGACGTCATGGCGTGGGTGTGCTTGCTTCGTGTGTGATACCGTGCCTTCCTCGGCGACCGGCATCACGTCCTCCCCGACTTCATCCACGGCTCCAAAGGGGTCAGATTTGGGCAGCGCGTATTGCGTCAGCAGCCTATTCTAAGAAAATATCCCCCCACCCCTTCCGATGGTGGTTTGACGTGGCCACAGGTCAGATCAATGTTAATAGGTACATACATATTAGACCCAGGATCAATCAATGTAAACGGTAAAGAAGTAGCCACAGCAGCTGCCTCCCGTAAATCATTGCCATTGCTAGCACTTGGCGAAAATCTTTAAGTTTTACCGGCACTCTCACTAATGCTGCAAGACATCAAACCATTGTTTTTCGGTATTTCGGGCGGGGAGAGTTTGCATCTTGATAGAGCCGGTGCATGGCCAACACGTCACCGCCGGATTTGCGAAATTGCACGTGCAAGGTCTGCACGTCCGGGTCCTCCATGGTGGTGTATATCCACAGAAAAAAACCAATCCACATCCATTTTTTGCATGACAAACACAGGATTTTATGTATGTTTTGCATGAGAAATTGGATGTGGATGGGTGTTTTTTCCTGGATAGTGTAGATCCAAATGTTAGTGGTGCGACCCATCATCCCTGCCGTCTCGCAGCACCACCCGCCCACGGCCGAGTACGGAATAGTGCGGAACTTGTAGTTCTTTCGAACGTTTCGCCAGTGGATGTACGCTGTACAGGGAATCCCGCCGAAACCCGACTTGTCGAAAGGGCTTTTGCGCGGCGGGCCATCTTTGAGCAGAATGCGCTTGTTCGTGAACAACAGCTTGCGCTTATCCACTTTGAAGCGTAGTACCCATTTCCGACTACTTGTCATGCCAAAGCACGCGCAACGTGTACCATGGGGCTGCACTAGCGATAGCGTGCCACAGTAAATTCATACTTTCTTTTCTTGTATAAATTATGCGCGTCCAAAACCAAAACCGAACTATATATTTCATCTCGCCTGTTTATTGTCCTGCTTCACATGAGCATGCAAAAGCTTTTGATGACTGCCTCAACAACAATAACAAATATTCCATATAAACGAGCAGGACTACGTCCTCTACGGCAAATGTGGTGAAGAGGAAATGGGTATGTTTTCGCTCAGGATAGCGCTGGAAAAACTTGTACGCTTGCAACACCGTTTCTCCCTCTTGCAAGGCTCCTGGGCACTTGCCGCGGAGACTCTCCTCGGCCGCTTTAGCGTTGCGGGCACGCATGTCTTCGTTCGTATTGCAGGCGCAGTCAAAGCACTTCTTCCCACAGCCCGGGTCTTGGTAGACCACTTCGTCCGTCATTTTCACAGTGTTCTGACGCTGCGGTGGAGCGGGGCGAGCTTCAGCTTCTCCCCCAGCCGCAGGAGCAGCCTTGGTTTGTTCGTCGGTCATCCTCGTGGAAGATGAGTGTGCCGCTTCCTTTTAGGTGCAGGGAAAGGAAAGAAAGGTAGCTCCCGATCTTCGAGAGGAACTGTTACGTATTTGAAAGTGCGAAAGAAGATTGCCGTCGATAGTTGCACTTGCACTTGCGTTCGGGACAAATAGAAATAGAAGAAAAATCTATTTGTATTTACTACTTTCGTAGTTCACAACTTGTAGCTGGTTTCTGGAAGATGAAGTGCGTAACTGGGATTAGAATTAGAGTGCTGAATGGGGAGGTAGAGCGGGAAGAGTTGAGAAGTTGAAAAGAAGGACACTAGGAGCGCCAATCCAGAAAGTTTCCTGCGATTACAAATATGTAAAAACTTTTCTCGAAGATGCTAGTACATGTAAAACAATTTTATTGCACACGTGTTCTTTTATTCCGAAATGCTTGAGCAACGACCAACTTTGCACGAATTTTGCCTGAGCACGTTTGGCGCACGATGACGATACGATTACACCGAAGAAAGTTACATACAAGCGCTGCAACACGGCGCGCAAACTAGAAATCAGTAACAACCGACAACTGGTTCGGAGACTCTGACTCACCTTACATGAATGTGTTACCGTTGCGCTACAGATGTACTCTTCGATGATTTTCCTACGTCTACTGTGTCTCTGACACGACCGAAGTAAGTTGCGAAAATACTCATCATGAACGAATCATCACTGATACCAAAACGCTCGTCCAGGGAGCGGGACTGCACGATGACACGTGCTCGAAGTGGACCGAAAGCACCCGACTTTTTCTCGTCCCGAGACTAGGGAGAGCGGCAACCGATCGCTTCAGTCTTTTCCTTCGACATGGTCTTCCTCACAAGAGTGAGACCACTTCCACTAAAAATTAAAATAAAGTTGTAATTTGCAATAAATAAATGCTCGTGACCTCATACATCAGCTGACTGGGGTTGTGCTGGGTATCTGTTATCGCTTCAGAAAGAAGAAAAGCGAAACAGCAAAACCGGAGCCGTTGCTTCGGTTCTTAGCAGAGTAAAGCGTAGACGGCAAAGCCTTCGCGGCTACTACTACTTTGCCTGCTTGTCCCAAATTGCCAGAGCCCCGGGGATCCGTCACGTTCGGCGCGCAGGCTTCGGCGGCAAAGTAGTCGAGGGCCGACGGGCTGCTGCAGGTCCGGGGCATTCAGGACGGCCCGGCTAGCTCCGGTGGACCCAAAGAACAAACTCGGGAAGCCCGTCCGGCGGGGCCCGGGCGAGCCCGCCGCCGTGTTCCGGCAGGCCCGTCAAAACTTTGGCAGGCCGGCCGGAGTTGGGCGGTCCGATACGTCGGCCGGATCGGCACATCCATACTTCGCAGGCCCAGCACTTGCGGACCTTTAAACGCCACGGCTTGATGTCCTCGCGCCTGCGACAACTGCACAGGAAGCACAAAACGAGGAGCGCAAGACTTCTCTTGCCACATGCCAACTTTGTTCGTTCCATTTCCATCCTCTGACTTTGTTTGTTTATATTGCTTTTCACATTCGGCGAGACAATAGTCAATAGCTCTCTACTTCTTCGCAGACGCACCACGTCCTCTATTACGGATACGGGCAAGGCACCGTACGCTGATAAAAGAGTATCTCGTACTTATTTGTTATCAGGTCCTCCCACCCAAAAGTTGTAAATGCTTTAGTTTCTACAACAGCCTCCTACAAAATACACAGTCCACCAGGGCTTCGCCCTGTTCATTCTCCCTACGAAAGGCTGTAACCTCCGCGAGAAGATACTTGTGACGAGCCTTCGTCGAGCAACTTCATCACACGTCCTGAAGAGTCGTCCCCGTCAGCATCACAAAGGGGTGAACAAGGGGCCGGATTGAAGTTGGGCACGAGTGGTTGTATTTGTTTGTTCCTCTGAACCTCGGGCACTGATTGTCGCAATGTGGACGAAGTAGCACCAAACAACTGATCGCGTAGCGGTAGCGCCGGATCTGCCGCTCGGGTCGTCACCTCTACAGCGGAAGTTTTCGATTGCAGATGTCCTTGAAGGGAAGCAGCGTAGTGGTGGTTCCGCACCTTTTCAGGAGCGGGGCGGTTATCGATTGCACTGACGGAGAGCAAGTATCGTTCCTGGCGCCATCCTCCTTTGTCGGTGCCGTCGCTATCCTCATCTACCTCACTAGTCCCCAGTAAAGGAATTGCCTCAACAATCTCGGATGAACTGGCGTTCTCTACATGTTTATGTTTTGTGGTTGGGCCTAGTTCCTTCTCCTTGCTGAGGATGAAAATCTTGTTGCTGGCGACTGCTTCTCCACCATGTTCTTCCTCTTCATCATCTACATCTTCATCGACATCCAGCATGTCGGACTCGATCTATCAGAATATAGAAATGTCCCGCGTCCAGCTCACTTACTAAACTCAAGAGGAACATTTAGATTGATTTCGATGGTGATGCATTGATCGATGGAACGCTTGCGCTACGTACAGGTTCTTGTACTATGACTGTCTGACAGAACCCTTTTTTTCATGAAAAAAGATGCGGAGCTGCTTGCTTGCACGTCCTAGAAACGGAGATGCAACGGGCGCTAGGGACAATTTTCTTTCTGGTAGAACCTCCGCACCGAGTGATAGCTCAGGTACCGGCGGCGACCGCGCAACATCTCTACCGCGACTGGCGCTTCTGGTCTCCGCAGCGTCGTCAGAAAAAAACCTATCGCGTTCGTGATCAACATGATCTTCATCTGGTGTTAGTACTTCGCCATTGGTTGTACAGGGACTGGAAGCTACCGTCATTCCGTCATGTTGCTGCTCGTCTTCTGATTGAGCTTCATCATTTTCATGTGATGCCACCAAGCGCGCGTTTCGATTTTCTTCACGGTGTCGTAGTTGTCGGTTGTCCGAGGAGAGAGCGTCGAGATCTCCATCTGGCGACATCTGCATCCATTGCCTCTGCCTGGGAGTACTACTTCGGTCACGCTGTGTGGCTGCAGGGCGGACAGCGGAGGCGGAAGATGACGTGACTGCGAGAAAGCGATTGACTCTTTCTCGTGCTGTGAATTCCTTTGAAGTATTTGCTCTACGGGCTGAGTGCGTTAGATAGCTGGTAGAAGAAGTATGTACCGGACGATCTACATGGCCGAAAGACTCCTCGCGCTGACGTTTCATGCGCCGGCCGTGCAGAATTTCTCCTACCGAAGAATCCTCGCCAAGCTTCGTCGTCTCTTGTGCTCCTAGTCCTAGGAAAAATTGGACTTCATTACTGCTAGCACCAGCTGGCTCTCGTTCCCTGTTTGCGGCCTCGACTTGTTTGGCTGCAGCGTTCGGCTGGGTTTGTGTAGATTTCGCCAGTGCCAGAGCTCGCCCTTCGGGAGCTGCCAGACGCACTATCGCTTGCGCATCCGTGTCGAAATCAGGTTGAGCTTCTGCAGCCCTCTCACACTTTTGCTCACGGCCCGTCGATTCAACTGCTAGAGAAGATGACCTATGCATTGCAAAAGTGTCCTCTCGATAGTACTAATTGTAAAAATCATAAGTTTTGCACTAGCACTAGCACTACGAACTGGCTTAGAAAAATGACAAATGGAGACGTGACAAATGGACGTCCACGTCGATCTGTCTATGCATGACTGCGATCACAACTGCTTGCGAGCGCGATAGCGATACTTTTGCAAAGGATACGACATATTTGGACGTGCGAAATGGAATCCTTTCCCGACGTTGGCAGCTTCATTCATTTTCATTCGCCGTCGCTGCATCGCTAACGATGATGAGGAGGAGCCACTCTGGGACCCGGGCCGCCCACCAGAGCAGGGAGTAGAATAGTAGAGACTCGTCGATGCTGGAGCGGCCCCGGCCGCCTTATGATGTTCAGCCGCTTGGCGATATTCTTCTGCGTCTTCTCGTTGGTCTTCTACTCCTTGAGTCGATGCTGGATCACGCGAACTCCTCACCTCGTTGAGGACCAGGTTGGTTTTTCCGGCAGGCGACTCAAACTTCGCGATGAGCTTGCCGATGACACCCGTTTGCTTTGCGGACGCGTTCTTGTGATCATACTGGCTAAGCTGCGGCTGCGAGGTAGCGACTTGCATATGCGTTGCGCCGGTTCGCAGTGGCGTTGAATCGGTTTCGGTAGCATTAGCTTTAGGCTCAGCCGCGGCAATCGGTAGTACATCTCGTCCATACGGTGCTGCATCAGTCACGGCCAAATTTTGGGACTGCTCGCTTGCCTTTGCTGCTACTTGTTCATTATCTCGTCGATGCAGCGACTCGCCGCGCCGTCGCTGTACAGGGCCTCCTGGCACCTGACGCCCGAGCCCAGCCGGCGTCTTCGTGATGTTGTTCTGCTCCATATCGAGAAACTCATCTTCGTGCAGGTTAGGTCGGGGAGAAACCACGACCGAGGTCATGTCCAACATGCTTGTTGTCGTGTCACTTGTCGATGTCAGATCAGGCTGGAGGAAGGTTTCCTGCAGTTCTTGTTGACCCACGACAACGAGTGGCGTAAATTGTGCGTCCTCAGATGATGCAGATGCACCGCGCTGGAAGTTCTTGGTAATTCCACTTCGACTGATCGCCGCAGTGTTGATGCCTAGGCCGGCGGTTTCCATCCGCGTCTGTGCGACATCTTCTTGTTGCAGCTCCGCACTGCGCTGCAAGACAGACGCGAGGCAATGCTGGAGATTAATTAATCCCTTTGACTCGAAAACCGAATGCATTAACTCGATGACGATATCGCGCCACTGCTCTCGCTCCGCACTGGTTCGTGGCCCGTACGTGAGGGCGGTTTGAAGGGCCGCGTACCCTCCGTCTGCTTCCAACAGCCAGCGAGGCCCGTCAGTGTAGGGGAAACTGGCTGATTGCCCGGTGGGACCTCCGGCGCCGCCCAATCTGACACCTGATTCAGATTTTCATTTTTATGGGAAAATAAAGAAAAAAAATCCAGGCCGTGTTCTGTGCGATGCCATTGCGAAGTTCAGGCTCCTCAGAAACAACGGAGTAGTTTTTATTTTCTTTTGATCTTGTGGATGTGCGAACGTCAGTTCATACATAAACCCAAAAAACTTCATCAAGCTGTACCTAAAGCCAAGTTTGTTTTTACCTCGAGACGTGGCTTCTTGGTCCGAATTTGTTTGCATGGCTAAAGATGAAGATCCTGCTGGTCGCGCTTCCATCTCTTTCTGGTCAACGCCTTGGAATTGGTCTTCATTTCTCTGCTTTAGCGGAGATGTGCTGTTGTAGATCGGACAAGAAAGGTTATCAATAATCATGAATGTTTGATATTTGATATTTGTTTTTTGCATTTTTTTATTATCAAGTCAGAAAAAATCTAAGTGTGTTTGCAAAGAAGTTCCTAGCTTCGTGGGGTAAGAAATTCTACACTAAAATCCACTTGCAGCCCCCGGTAATGTGGATGAAACCTTAGTCTCTGCACAGCCTGCCGTGGCCTTGATTTTCATTTTTGACAGCACGAAAAAATGAAAAATGCAACACTTGACGAAGCAAAAAAATGTACCTGCGTGTGATGATTCCCATTTGGGAAATCTTTTGGCTTTGTTCACCGGGTGGCGCGCTTTCAGTTCGTCTCTTTTCCGCAATCTCGCGGCGCAGGTCTCGGCTTTTGTTTGCGAAGTACTGCGAGCGTGTCATGTGCTGCAGCGGTGTGGCACTAGCGTTTTTTATTCGGTGAAACCAGATCCCCGAGGCCGAGTCCGCAGCTATTGGAGCATTGCTCATCTTGTTTATCTTCGTTACTCCCGCTTCACGATGCACTTCTACTTCTTCTACTTTGAATGCGTCCTCGAGGTCTCCGGGTCCGGGGTTCGGAGAGGAGATCAAGGATGGAAATTGAACTTGGAATTGCTCCTCCTGTTGCGGCTTCTGCTGTTCTTGATAGAAAAAAAACGGCCGGGGCCCAGCGGAGCAACACATATCCTCCCACCAGGCCGGAATCTGCAGGCCGCCCGCGTGGTCGCCGAGACGCCTCTTTTTCAGCATTTTTCTCACGTGGTGCTGCCGCGGAGCGGAAACAGTTGGCCGTCTTGCGATACGGTTGAATGCGGCAACAGTACCAGCAACGGAAGAGAACGACTCAGGGACGTGCATGCCAGCTTGAGAGGATGGTGAAATGGAGCCGACGTTGTTTTGATGCATTACTTTCCACTTCTGCAGACTCGGTCGCCTCATCGTCACCGGCACGCTGCGCTCCGGCTCTTTACTGAAGAAAATCTCCTCGCAGCTGTCACTACTACTATCAAAAGATTCTTGTTCTTTTTCGGGATAAAATAGCAACGGGCCACCTTCCAGCGAGCCGCCAGCATAGTCGGCGAAACCACTACTACTACTACCCTCTTCATCCGCTGCGTTTTCCTCCATTGCTTTCGCGTCGAAGTAGTCACGTAGCGGATTGAGCCGGTAGGTGACAACCGCAAGTGGGAGGGCTTGGAACGGAAGTAGCGACGCCACCGCAACAGTCCTTTCGCTACAGGAGTAGACCCACGCATCCAAGAGGACTAATCGATGTAAAACCTGGTCGCCGTGGTCCAACGGTGACCTTGCTGCTTGTTGTCGACCACGGCTCGCCATCGCCATCTGGTGTGCGGCCAGGGCATCCACAAAGCCATATGGCTTTCGAAGTAATTCTGGTATTATACTCGACGCGGATGAGGTTGAAGATTGGGGTGACCCAGGACCTGAAATTGTTGTACCATATGTTGCTGGTTGCGCAAACTGAAAGTCCCCACCACCTTCGACAGCCGATCCGTGAGATCGGTGTCGTTTACGCGGACGGTCGCGGTGAGGATGCAAATTGCGGTGATGAGAACTTGGATGATCCTCATGCGTCCGTCCCTTCGATGATGTGCCCGTTTCCCCGTTTGCATTTGCTTTTGCTGTGTGCTCGTTCCCGGGATAAAACAGCAGCGCGGAAGAGGCGGAGCACAAGTTCGATTTGTTTCTTAGGCTGGTGGTCCTTCCACCGAAAGAATTTGACTGCTGGCCGCGATGATTGTTCCTATTTGGTCGCGTTCGAAAGTTGGAAGGAGCTGAAAGCGTCATACTATTGTTTTGTCGTTTATTTGAGAATGCGGGCGGCCTGCCGGCGCGGGCGTCGACCACAGCAACACTTCTCCCATCTTCAGTAAAACCAGCGCATGGAGGTGAAGAATCCCGGGAAGACTGGGAGGAGGATTTTTGAGTAACGAGATCCAGCGCAGTGTCCGGATAAAAAAGGTGGCTCGGTGGATGCTCTGTCGTCGTGTCTGCAGCAGCGGTGGCCGAATGCGAGTGCTTGTGTCCAAAAGTAGACGCAGCTGAAGAGGAGCTCGGATCTCCAAGTGGTCCACCAAGCTCGTACGTCGAAGGACTACTGTTTTTCCGCTGCTCCTGCTGCCTCCAGAAATTGCGAGCCCCTCTTGCCGAAATTCCCTGCTTCGATGATCGGGTCTCTGCTTGTTCCACAACATGCGGGGACGAGTAGTGATTGGCTTCACCTTCGTAGGTGCCAATATTTCTGTCTCTTCGTGGCTGGTAAAAATTCGTTTTTGTGTCCCAAAGCTCCGACCCTTTCGCGCTCCGAACCTTTTGGGTTTCGTCGCGTAAATTGGCGTTGCTCTTTGTCTTTGCTCCCCCGCTTCGTCCCGCATTCTTGCTGGAGGTGGATGCGGCTGCACCAGAAGTGGGGGTTGGCACGTTTGCTTGTCTGAGAAAATCGCAGTCCGGCCCTGCTCCCCAAAACAGAAGTTGCCGCCGAGGCTCGCGGAGCGTTGTGCTCGTGGTCTCCACGTCAACCGACTGGAGATGCGTAAAGGCTTCAAGCACCCCGATACCCTGCTCGAGGACATCCACGTCCAGCACCTCCAGTCTGTTTCCAAACCTCTGCTGCAATAAAGTCAAAACGCGAGCGTCTAGTACACCATTTACTTTACCGCCGACCTGCCCGGTGCCACCTGGTGCATGCGCTGCGTCCGTTGAGTTTTCGTTTCCCGCTGTACCTGTAGCAGGATTCGCGTTTTCCTTTATTCCGTCCATACCTGCGTTCGCCTCGTCACTCTGTGTTGCAGCTGCCGCACCGGCTGCTGTAGTTCTTGTGCTGTAGTTCCGTTCCAGAATCTTGCACAGCCGGGCGCGCGCCTCCTGATCGCTTTTGCTGTGACGAAGGTACGGCTTCAGGTAGCGTGCGCTTCCTCTGAGCCGCTCGAAAGCAAGGGTGATGCAACGGAAGAACTCGTAGGGATTGAGTGTGCGCAGTTGAAATTCGCGACGAAGGTCTACCCCTTGCGCATAGGCGCTGAAAATACCACGGTCCAACATCGTCACCAGACGCGTCGTACTTGCTTCCAGTTGTCGCAGTCGCCCCATCTGCATTTGCTGGATCTTCTCCAAAATCCAGCAAAAAAGTATCACACTCGTATAAATTGCATACAAAGGCTGATCACAAAGTCGGTGAGAAGTGTGCAAAGAAGTTCAAGTTTGTCGATAAAGTGCTTGCCAAACTGGCGGAGAAGTTTGAGCTCCGGAGCAAAAATGAATCTCACAAAGCGGCAATGCTTTGCCGGTACTGCAGACAAATCAAAAAGAGAAATGCGTCTTTGCGTGTAGTCAGTGAAGAATAACGCGTGAAGCCATCAAAAGTCCGCGACTTTTGCCTTTGTCCTGAAGATTATCCAAGCTGTTACCAGCCGAAAACTTCAGTGACACTTCACGGAAACTAAAGCGCATGCTCCAATACTAGAAGTTCACGCAGGCACTTCTCGCCAACCTCTGTCTGCACACTGCTCAACTTCAAGGACTCCACGACGAACTTGCAAAATAATTGGGTGACGTCCGCCCACAACTCGATCATCGTGGAGATCCGACGATCTGCGAGCTGCCCGTTTGGAAGTTGCAGTTGGTGAGGAGTTATTTGCTGAGTAGAGGTGCGCACCAGTCGAGAAGCCGGCAAAATGTCAATCCTTTGTACTAAATAGATACGAATGCAACACTTTTGCACAGGATATCGGAGTCCGTTAAGTGTCGTACGTGCTGCACTTCCACCGCCTGCAAGCGCCCCAGAACGTCTTCCATTTCTGCGCGCAGAAAGTCTGCTTCCTTTCGGAGAAACTCGTTCTCGAAGGTCGCCTGGGTTTCATCATGTGCAGTTCTAGCTCTTGCTTGTTCAGTTCCCGAATCCTGGAAGTCGTGGCTACCTTGCAGTTGCAAGTTGAAATTCTCATATTCTTCAGCCCCTCGTGGTTGGACCATATCTTGTTGTCGCTCCTGGTCATGTTGCATTAGGACCGGCTTGTTCTTCAGGGCTTGGCGGACCAAGTTTTCGATGTCACTGAACAGCTGCACAGAGCGCTGGGCGGTCTCACTCCGCGCTTGGTCCTGTCTGTCTTCACTGCCTTTGGTAGGCAAACTACACTGCGATGAATGTGAAGAAAAAGCACCAGCGTGGTTCAGGTTCTCTTGTGATGCTGTCCGAGTCACAGACACAGCATCCACTTGCTGTGCAGGAGCTCCACTTAGTTCTATTCCAACATTCTTCGACGTCCGTGCAGCCATTGAAGTTTCCGCCTTTGTGATAGTCGCAGAGAGAAAAGCTTGGACTTCGGACAATCCACGCAGAAGTTCCGCCGCCTGGTCAGGCGTGACAACAGAGTCCGTTCGCACTTCGTGACGGGTGGGCGATGAGGACGCATCAGCTGCAGTAAGAGCCTGTACTGCTGCAATCTCGTGGGTCATTTCCGACTCAGATGCAATTCTATCGATCTTCTCGACTTTTTGATTACTAGTTCCTGTGAAAGGAGCTGCAACCGCCGTTGCTGACGATGAAGGGGCGGCTTCTATGTCGCCGCCGCTTTCGTTCTGCTCTTCGACACGTCGGAGGAGTGCTGCTATCTGCTGCCAGAAACGCGGACCAACGCGCGGGGCATCTGGCCTCTCTGTCAGCACCCGCTGTGCGTTTTTCTGTAGATTGCGAAGGTACTCCCGGTCGCGGAGGGAAAGGACGTTTCGTGTGCGCTGCAGCGCGGGAGAAGTCTGTTGACTCTGGTCATTCATTTTCATCTGAACCAGCGAGTTCGAACCATTTGGAAGATTGATGTTCGCTGGTGCGTCGTTGCGCAGTCGATCTACTTGCCCGTCGGATTCGTACAAAATCTGTAGTTGCGCGGCGTCGTGTTGAAAGCGTTTGCGTTGATCCCCTTGCGCCTTCGTGACGCCCTTCTCGACGACGTTACCGAGGCGGCGGGTCAGCACGCGGACCAGACCATTGATCTTCTCGTCGTCAAGGGTCAGCTCCTTCTCGTGTCGCAGCAGCCGCAGGAAGGATGTGAGGAGCTTTGCGAATTCAGTGTCGACGTCTCCCCGCAAGCCACTCACGTTAACGGCGGGGAAATCCGGCAAAATCACTTTCGCAGCCGCTGAGTCTCTGCCGCTCGTCGTCCCAGCCGGCGGAAGACTTTGTTTACCTACACTCACAGGTGGCACTACGTCGGATTCTTCCGCATCAGAGAGCATAGACATGTGGAAATTTTGATCATCTGTGACGAGCACAGGAGACGAATAAGCCACGACCTTGCTTTTTCGCTGCTTCGGATCAACCGAGGGCGGCGCGGGAGGCGAGCTACTACTTCTGTTGCGCAGTGTGACGACAATCTTGGGAGATTTTGTTTTCGAGACGCTTTGGTCAAGATGATCATCTCGTCCAGCTTTTTCAGAGTTCCGGGCAATAACTGCAGATGATGAGGAGGAGAATGTAGTGGCAATTCTTTCACCTCGTGTCGCAGGACGAGCGAGAGCGGGCGCCGCGGGCTCAAGTGCGGAATGCTCTTGCTGTGGCTGCTTCTCCACGTCTTGCCCACGTAGCACCTCCGGGTCTCCTTCGTTCGTTCTTCCTCCTGTCGCGGTGACAACAACATCCGGTTTGAGGTGATCCGCGGCGATGCCTGCCTGTTCGAGCTTCCACACTGCAACCGAGAGACGCTTCCCCAAGTCTTCGCTCTGCTTCGCAATGGAGATGTGCGAGGCAATGGCATCGCAGTCCTGTTCATGCCTGCGCTCGAGGTTCTGGAGTTTCAGGAGCAAAAGGTCAGTTTTTCGCTTTTCAGCGTGATAGGAAAGCACAACGCTCTTCAGCGCACCGCCGTCCACAGCTATGTCTACCGCTTGATTTTCATTTTGTCCTTCTTGTGACTCCTGATCACGCGAGGGAGTGGGTCCTGGACCTGGTTCTTCAGCTTGCTTTGCCGTTTGTTCTTTTTGCGTCCGAAGCAGCCGCTCCGGGTCGTTCCAGTCTGCATGTGACAAGAGCGCTGTTCCATCTTGCACAACTGCCCTGGTCGTAGTACTTGCGCTTGTTGTATCTACTTGTCCGCGAGTCTGCACATTCACCGCCGTCGCCAGCATTTCCAGAAGGTGATCATTTTCTCGATCTAGCTGCTCATTCTCGCGCTGCAGCTCGATCAATCGGTGTTCCATACCGATGCCAGACTGCCCCGTCCGCGGCGGCGCAATGGTCGCATGATCACCTCCTTCTTCATGATCATGATCCAATTCCGCGATAATCTCGTGCTCCTCCGCATCACTAATATCAACCTTCTGCTCCACTCTTTTCGACGAACTGGAACTTCTACCATGAACTTGCGGCTCCTGTCGCAGCTCCTCGATGAGTGGTTCTCCGGTCGCGGCATCGTGAAACGTCGCGTTTTCGACAAAGGCGCTCGCAACCGAGACGGCCCGCTTTTTCCTGACATGTTCCACGTGTGTCGGCGAATGCAGCTTGTCATGGCCCGAGTACTGACCCCCGAAGCTTCCTCGCTGGTTGGAGTGCCAGACTGAAACCCTAGGCAAACCTACCCCGCTTGAATCAATACTTCTCGTGGCAATCGAAACGGGATGTTGGGCTGCTGCAGAAGATGGAGATCCACTCGATCTGCCACTCCCACTCGCTGTTGCTTCTACAATTGTACGAGCGGACTGCGGCCTCCCTGATTTGGAAGGTGGGCTACCTGTGCGTGCGAAGATTCGGTTATCTTTGTTCCGGGGATCCGCCTGTTCTTCTTCTTCCTCACGGAGAACACGGGAACCTGGTGCAACGATCCGCTGAAGCAAAGTATCGTCTGGAACTTCGTTTTCCTTTGTATTGTCGTAGAGAAAATATGAGGTGGGCAGCCCGGGGGCGTGGGCGTGGCCGCCGTCGCCACTTGCCGACCGCGGGAGAACTACTTCATCTCGTCTCTTGCCCTGCTTTGGTCGGGCGGGCCGATCATGCGTTTTCGAAGCATCCACTTTTCCCCCTACTACAGTCGTTGCAATGAACCCCGGCACTCCAACGTGCGGGACGTACCTCTGGTCGATCTGTTTCGCGCGGCACTGGAGCACTTTCTTTTCTTCGCCGCGGGATGCGGAGTGATAGAGTGGACTATTTGTCTTTTGGAGCGTCAACGTGGCACCAAGCAGCGAGTTGTGCACGGTCTTCGTGCCTTCCTCCTGATCATGCGAAAAGGACTGCTCCCGTGCAGCCGGAAGTTGTTCCGAAGATGACGAAGAAGAAGAACTAGCTCTGCGGGCAATAGCGTTAGCGCCGTCCTCCACCCCCTCCGCTAACAAGCATGAAGACGCTCCAGTATCTGCAAGGGCTGAGCCTTCGCCTTTCCGTTTTTCTCCTCCTCCCGCCGTTGTTGGGTTCAGGGTTCCATGCTGGTGCGAGGCGGGCGCGGGGTGGGAATCGGCTACAACACCGCTGCGACCGCTTTCGTTCTTTCCCTTTCCGGCAGTTCCGTACTCATTTTGTGTATTTTCGACCAGAATTTCAACATCGAGCCCGGGAGTTCCTCGAACGAGCCATTTGTCCGTCTTCTCGTCGCGCTCTACTACGAAGTCCAGATCCCCGGACCCCGTGACCCCAGCTTGGTAGAGGCGCACGCCGGGCGTTTTCAGCGCAAGGACCTGGTAATACCGCTCTAGGGCTTTTGACACCATCTCAGCCAATAGCATGTCTCGAGCCGTGTGCAATTGGGCAATTCGCTGGACGGTCGCCGACGTGTCTTGCATAATATGCTGCACTGGCCCCTGTGTGTCCAACACAACATCTTTGGAAGTAGCGGTGTCCACATTTAGCGGATCATCTTCCGACGCTCGACTCTGATGAAAATAGGGGTATGTCTTAAGGTGACTGAACTTCATTTGTATCCTGAGTGAAAACGTCCCGCCCATCCCATAGCCGAGATGGCAAATCAATGCGCTAGAGAACTCTAGAAGCTTTGTGGACGCCGCGTGACAAATTTGGGGGAGACGCACGCGCCAGCGTAGTGAGTCGTGTTTGGCTCTTCAAGTAGGTACGTCACAAATAGTTGACCACTTTATCCGTATGCGTATCCGGATTCCAGCATGACAATCTCAAGACCACACCACTAAAATAAATATACAAGACCACACCACTAGAAAATGCCTCTCGTTCTCATGTCGCTCTCGCTGCGCATGAGAAACGGAAAGTAAGATAAAGATTTTACATTAACACCTTAGGCATAGATGCAGTAGCATCTATCTCTATGGACTTGCAACATGACAAGTACGGAGTGAGCAGCACGTTGTTTTCTCCATGGATAATCTGATCCTCCAGAAGCGACCTCCGGTGAACCAGGTCGGCTCTGGTATAATCAGCCTGCTTTTTCGTGTGCAGTCTCGAAATATCGTCAGTGATGGCCTGTAGCTCCGTATTGTTTTCCGACATCCATCGCATCACCCAGTCTCGCACTTCTGCATCCTCAATGCGAGCCGCTTTTCTCTCCACCAATTCGCGTACCTCCGGGGCGAACGCTGCTCGCAACAAATCGCCTGTACTCGGTGAGGAAGCGGTAATGGTATTTTGATTTTCCTGCTCGTCGGCATCTCGTCCCCTCCCTCCGAAAGCACGAAAAGCGGGCTGCGAAGCTGGTCGTGCCGCGCCTTGCGCACGAACAGCAGATGACCACACACGTGGTTCCGACTCCTCGTGAGCTCGCTGCTGCTGCAACAGGGGACTTAGGGGAAGTATGGAGTCCAGCTTCTTCTGTATGTTGCGAAAGCTCAAAGTGTGCGGATTGTTTTTGTTGTGCTGCCGCTTCAACTCGCGCGCTGCTTGCAACGGTGTCCAAATGTCATCTACTTTTTCGCCTTCCTCTCGTCTGGCAAGTAATGGCGCCGGTTGCGTCTGCCCGTGAGTCGTCCTACGAACTTCTTGTGATGCTGAACCCAACTTGGACATCAAAGGATGCACTGCAAAAGAAGACGAGGAAGATGTGGACGCCAGAAACTCGCTTTTCCTCAGTTGCGCGGGCGGCTGGTACCGCTTCTTCAAGCGATTCACTCGCACTTGCAGATCGTCCGTGCTGGGGTCCCGAGCAGAAGAAGAGCGCCCTCCTGGTCCTGGAGGTGCTCTACTAAAACTTGATGACGATGAAGAGGAATAGCGATTTTGAATATGGCGCTGGCGCGCATGTTCTAATGAAGGACGTTTGCCAGCACGATGATCGTGTGCGAATTTATCATGCGAGCTGTGCTGCAAGGTGTCGAAGTTGGACGGAGCACTGGAAGACGGCAGACCTCCAGATGGAAACTTTACAACTTTTGATGCTACGCCGAGTCGAGAACGTAGTTCCGAATTTCGCGATGACGGCGCCTCCACTCGAGCCCGCTCTTCCGACTGCAGCTGAAGGAAAAAAATTTTTGACGAATCAAAATTATTGATTCGAGTACATCCACGTTCTTCGCTATGTGCATGTACAGCTGTACCAGATCAACGTGCATCATGTTTCATGTTCTTGAGGACAAGAACGGGCTTGTATCATACAGATCCAAAAACATGCTACAAAAAATAGGTAGAATAGGACGACAAAGTAAAAAGAAGCTAAGGCAGCGGCATATACGTGCTGCGAAGTGTCGGCGTTGCGGCGTCGGAATTCCTCGAAGCTCTTCAGGAGGCTCTTGGAGGTGCCTCCCTCGCCGGCGTGCGCCGACTGATTAGAAGAACGGCCTACTGGTGCAAACTCATTCGTTCTTCGCGTTTTACTGAGTCCTGCTAGCACCAAGCGGCCCGGAGATGGAGGGGATGCCAATTGGGCGTCCTGAAATGGCCTTGTTTCGTCTATCGCCATGTTCGTCGAACTGGTAGTGCCAGCACTGTAACTCACGTACTAAGTAATATTGCGGTGACTACGGTGTCGCTTCCGAGGACGATGACGACGATATTCTGCTTTATTCGGCACCGGGACCGGCAACAATAACAATACAAATACGACCAAGACAAAGCCATAAACTAAGACCACGAACAGTCGCGACCATAACAGCGACCATAGCAACTGCTTCAGCTGCAGACACTCCTGTTCATATGTCTTCCTTCTATTCGGCGAATCGCGAAAACGACGAGTGATAGACCATGGGCATCTCATCTTTTGCCGTCATCGATCTTGTACGATACACGATTCGCCATCCATCGTCGACCTTATACGATTCACGATCACGACGAGTGTGACAACGAGTAAACAATGAAAGGCTTGAATCAGGAGCGACTACAACGACAAACGACATTTGGAACGGGCTTTCTAGTTAATGTTAAAAGGTTACACTCCACAACTATTTTGCGCATAGTGCTTCTGCTTCGTGGAATCTCATTGCGCTGAGAATTGTGCGATAGTTCGAGTAGACCCACACTTGCTTTAAAGCCGGAGGGTTGGTGCGAATAGTACTCATCCGTGGCAAGGAATATTCTTGAGTGCACCTAGACAAAGAACAACACGTTTATCACAGCAGGAGACCTTCATCTGCTCTTGATCAACACTGGACTTGACCACGACCTGATTCTGCGAAGCCTCAACCAAGAATACTGAAAGTACAGAACGAAGCAGTTTAGCCATTTTTATTTATGTAGTTGGTGACATGTACTTAACGAATAAAACAATACTGCAACTATGCGGTCAGAAACAAGCCAAATGGTCCGCAACAAGTAAGGAGCGTAGGATACAATATTTATTTATCGAGCGGCCATTCAATCAACATTTTCATACAGTCAAAAGGAAAAACTAAAACTACACTTAAGTCCGTGCTAGAGCTCTCTCACGATGACGCGGCGGTGTCGCCCGCGCTGAACCGATTGGCACATAGCTGACTACTCAGATCATACGACCCAGGGAGACGCAAAGCAAGGTATGACATGATTCATCGACCGTCCATGACTACCGTACAGACTCTTAATGCTGGTAGCTAGACAAGAAGACGACGTCAAGCACAGCGAGTTTGAGAAGACTTGAAGATAATGTACTTAAGCATCAGCTAGATAGTGGATGTCATAAAAAATGTGAGTAAACTCATAACTCTGTCAAGGCTGGTTGGTCAGCTTCAAAACTGTCGCGCTAAACTCGACACTGCAGCTCGATGGGTTTTCCTGGAAATCTTGTGTGCGTGTGTAAAGTGGTCGTCTGCTCCTCTACCTCTAGTACCATATCTACACAGTGGCATATCGCCGGGCCAGGAGCACATTAGTAGATGGGTTACGGCGCTCACACAGGTTCACTACCGCTACCGGCAGCAGCAGCATAGAGGATAGAGCTAGACCTAGAGCATTCTTTCCACAGAAGAGAAATAAAGCGCTAGTAGTAACTTAAACTTATCGTCGATAATTCTCATTCACTACTTGTGTCACGCTCTTCCTCTACCGCCTCGCAGGTGCGGTCTGCGCGGCAAATTCTTGTCGAAAACCATGTTTTTCTCAAGATTTTGTGGGTCCGGCGCCGCAAATTCCTCGAGAGTTTCTGCGTCAACAACTTCTGCCGTGGTTCTAGCTGGTGCCAACGCCGACCGGGCTGCTCTACCGCGCGCGGGGGACAAATTAGTGACTGATGTGGATGAAGATGCGGTTTGATGAGCTTCAATCAGGGTGGACGAGGAACCCACCGCGGGCCTAGTACTCGCGCTGTTCGCTGAGACCTCGATCTGCTTCGAGGATTCGTCACATCGGGATGTGTCTTCTCTTTTGTTCAGTGAGGGTGAAGAAGCGCTCGCCGCCACCCCGACTCCTACTTGCTCACTGAGTTGCGCGAGAGATGGAGGAGGAAACTTTGTAGTTACTTTGCTGTTTCGTGTTGCAATGGGTGACGCTGCGCTAGTTGAAGTGCTAGAAGACCTTCCCCCGGCCGCGGGCTGCCGATTTACAAGCTGCTGATGAAGATTCTCGTCGGCTTTCACGCGTTCAGACGTTGCATAGAAGTTTGTGCCGAGCCGATTCAAGGGGTTGGAATCTTTTGCCGGAGAGCGTCGCTGGTCCAGCGCCGCCTTGGACTTGTTGCCAGCAGCAGTTGATGACACTCGCCTGGGCTCCACGTTAGAGGTAGCTATGACCAACGTCGGCGCTTCGGCAGCCGGGATTCCTTTCGTGTTATTAGTATTACTAGCAACGTCGAGAGAAGCCTGGAGATCCTTCGCAGCCGCTGCATGAAGATGCCCCAGGCGTGCGCGTGGGGAGGAGCTTCTCCCCGATCTAACCTTCCGTTGGTGGTCGTCGCGAAACCGCAACCCAATCGCTTCCGAGTTTAGTGCAAGATCATCTGCTTTGAACGCAGTGGGAACTACTCCCCGCTTGCTGGTGTCGATGTCGTGGTCGCCATCTTTTGTGGTCCCTTCTAGGTCGCATCCGGACGCCGCAGAAATATTGCGTCGCTCCCCAACCCCAACGGCAGACCACTGAGATGATGCAGAGTTTGCCCTTGCGGCTTCAACATCCCCGCGTCCTCCGCCAGTTTCGAGGACTACGGCAGCTTTATTCACAGTTGTGCCAGAAGATGTCGTGTCGTTATGGGGCACGCCCCGCTTTGATGAAACGGCTACCGTGCCGCTGTCGCGAATTTTCTTTGAGTGACGCCACGCGGTGGCTGTACTGGGGGTCTCGGCACCTCCTTGGCGGCCCCCGTCCGGTAAAACGATGTCCAATCCAAGTTGACCTCCTGAGGAAGCAGAAGGAAGGTCGGTCAACGTACTGCTTAAAAGTTTCTTACTGGAGCTTCTGGACGGGCTCTTGTAAAGGCTCCCCTTCATCATGGCGGTGGACTTGCTGCGGTCACTGTCCCCCGACACCAGATGTCGACCCGTAAAGGTCGCCGCACCGGAAGTGAAAATGGAACTCGACCCGTTGTCTCGCTTGTTGCGGTCCCGCATTTGCTGCTGCAGAGTCTCTACTCGCGCAAGCAACAGAGCTTGTTCCGTCTCGAGGCTGACCATGACGCGATCGCGCTCCTCTTCGGCTTGGGCCTTCAGATTCAGAACGTTGTCTCGCTCCTGAGTCAGCTCCTTCACAGCCGTCTGATGCCGCAAAACGGCGTCCCGGTGCTTCGCCCGCTCCTCCGCGCATTCCTTTTCCAGCTTCGCACGCTCTTGCTCGTGTTCGCGCATCACCTGCTGCAGCATGTGCTTTACAGTATCAATGGTGTTCTGTTGGATGGTCGCCTGCTCCTGGTATGTCGCGGCTTGTTGTGCCCAGGAGGCCTCTTGCTGTCGCAGTGCGTCTTCCGCTCCTTGCCGAGCCGATTCTAGTGAGGTGACTGTGCGGGCTTGCTCAGCAAGCAGTTCCTCGAGCTGCAGCCGCTTGCGATCTTCCGCGGTGCCGGTGGCGAGGGTCTGCACTCCCACACTTTTCCACGTTCGCAGCTGCTGCTCCCCCGTTGGAACTTCTTGTGAGCCCCCGCCCAACCCGGTTGTTCCGACAAGAGTGCTGCCCATCATTTTTATTTCATCTTTCTCGTCGGAAGGAATCGGTTCTAGGCGGCTCTGCTGACGCTGATGTTTCTGCTTTTTGATAAAGAGCATCCGGTCGATCGGACTCCAATTGCTTGTGGGGTCGCGGCGATGGTGCGGCAATGCCTTCTGCATGTGCGCAGTCTTAATCTTTTGCTGTTCTACCTTTTGACGCTGCGTCAACACATGTTCATCTAGTGAAGCTGAGTTGCTGCTGCTGGAGGCGGACGTAAGACCTCCATCAACTGCGGCGACGGTCGTGCTTTCGCTGGCCTCTACGTCCTCCTCGACGTCGTCAACAGTATCGGCGCCGCCGCTTCCTGAGACAATTGCTGCGGCGCCAGCTGCATGCTCGGCCGATGAAGAAGATTCCACTCCCAACCCATCCTTTATAAAGGACGAGTTGTGCAGTGTGCTGGTCATGGTTTCGCTTAGCATCGCGTCCGTAATCTCCTCCATCGTATTCTGAAAGACGCGGTCAGAATTTTGAATCAGCTTATCAAGTCGACGGATGGTGCGTTTTGACTTTTCGGTAAACTCCTTTGGAAAATTTTTCCGATAGGTGTCAAGGAATTTCTGCTTCCGGTTAGCACCTCCAGCTCCTGCGGTACTTTGCTCTTCGTGTTGGACGTGGTGCCCATTCTTGTTCCCTTGAATGTAGTGATTAGTGCCACTCGCTGCACTGCCGCGACGAGAACCGGTGGCTGCAGATTCTTTATGTAACCCCTGAATCTGTTTGTCGTTCTCCAGCGGAAGCGGCCCGAGTTCTTCTTGGCTCGCGGAAGAACTATAGGAACCTCCAAGACTCGACCCCACCGCTGCCAAGTCCGGAGTTACTTGATGTTTGCCCGGAATCGATTTCGTCTTCTCGTTCTTACGCACACCGGCAGTCGTGGCCGAAGTTGCATCCTCATCGAGCAGCGACCCGGGGTGCATGTCGTTTGCCATTTCCAGTACCAGGGCCGTGGAGGACGGTGCAAAGGTGCCTGAGGCCATTTGAAACCCAGCTCCATGTCCTCCTGAAGCGGCAAGGTGTTTATTACGGCACTGCTCGTCGCCTTCAACACGGCATCTACTTTCACCCTCCTCCAGCAGTAAATCCTCCGGATCATGCGGCAACGTATCGTTCTTGATGTCGCCATCTTGCCACTGATCACCCTGCGTCGTTCTTGTTCGTTCCGCCTCAGCTTGGTTGAGCACCAGCGACGCAGTGGTCTCGGCCAGCGGGTCCACTTTTGGCATGTCCACAACGAGATTCGCGAGCCGAACGGGTGGCTTCTGCTTAGTGGTCTTGTTCCGCGTTGTCAAATGGGAATTGTTACGAAGTCCAGCAGTCGCCAACGAGGACCCAGTGCCTGCAGCACTAGTACTAGACGACAAAGCGAAGCCGGCGCCACCTGCTCCTGGTCCTGCCATCAACTTTCCTCCGCCGCTGCTGGCCTCGAAAGAAGCAAAACCCCCACCAATCTTCCCGAAAAGGTGCTGCGGAGGTATGCAGCCATGAGCACTGCCGTCCACTGTGCTGGAATTCGCGTGCAGGTGATTGTAGCTGGGCCCCGAGCTGTGGTACAGCTCCCCAGCAACAGCCGGAGAGCAACCAGCCGCGGCCAGAGCGGGCTGGATTGGGGAACTAGGTGTCGTGGGCACTATACCTTCTCCGTGAATTCCGGGAAAAATGGGCGACGTGTTCTCCCCTGCACGGTGCTGTTTATGCAATATCAATAATCTTTTCTATACCTATTCGTGCTCCACCAGAGTGTTTTTTTTTATCATCTTTGGTTGGCTAGTTATTTTTTTGCGTAGGTATATATATTGATACTCACTTTCACATTCACTGTGAGTGCCAGTGAGTACCAGCCAAGCACAAACGTAATGGCGAAAATACTGAACCACAACAAACAGCAAACTACTAAAAACGTTGGTCTATAGTATACGTTGACAATCGACGGCGACCCTCGAGTTACGGAAATCGGCGACTCTGGAATGTATCGGTGCAGTTCTCCCGCTCGTACCAAGGGCGTGCTTCGGTCGCGTGTCGGCGATTCGACTTCATGCAAGGTCTCCAGCTGCTGGCGCCATGTCACGAGCCCCTTCTTTTTGTTGTTGTTCATCATGGGGACTTGTGGCTGGTGCTGTTCGATCAACATTTTCTTCCTCTTACGAAAAAAACCCTTGAAAACCGAAAAGAAGGTGAAAGAGCAGCTGTATGCTCTTCGAAAGCAGCATATTAATTGCAAAAGAAAAAAATTATCGGCAAGAAGAATTCCGACGTACCTAATTGTTCGCAAGAACAAAGACAATCTAAAAGTTAAGATCTAGTAATACTTGTAAATTTTGATTTTTCTAAAATCAATGAAGCAATACCAGATCGGTCAGTGATTTAGATACACACGACGAGAGGAAAAGATTTTCATTCCCATACGAACCGACTTCGGAATACACGAAGATAATAGTGCAATCCGACTACGAGATACGAGTTGTCATAGGGGCAGTGCAACACAATAAACAAAACCGATTGCGATTCCCGATCCTAGTTCAATTGTTCATCCACACAACATGTCAGCCAAGTCGCATACGCATCACCACCCTGTTTAGCATACGAGACTGTCTTCAAGCTCAATGTCTTTCGATTTCTTCTGAAACCATGAGTAGAAGCATTAAGACGTAGAATGGACCAATCCAAAAGGCGACAGGAAGCAACGAAAGGTGGATGGATGCGAATCTATTACTATTTCATCATGGACGAACCATACTCGACAAAACTGATCCAGGTGTTGCTCAAACGCGGTTATGTATCTACTACGTACTTCTAGCATCTCCTATTTTCCGACGCACGACAATTTTGTGGATCACTGCGCTATCCACGTCTATCATTCTGCGCTTATTTGTTATGGTGCCCAGCCATGGGCCGAGCTCCTACTTCTTCCTACCCTGGAGGAGGCATGTAGGTGAAACTGAAAGTCAAAGCTCAAGCTCTCATATCATATATCCTACGAATCGGAATCACCGCGCCGAACGTAATGCAGAGCGACTGCGACGTCGGCGTGTTTTCTTTTTGCAGCTTGCTTGTTGACCTCTGCACCTGCTGAAAACAGACACTGAGTGAAGAGAAGAGGTTCTTAGATGCACCAATGGAAAGCTGCAGCTCTGTTCTGAGACAAACACTTGATCACCAGGCTTAGTAGAGCCAGCCAGATTTCCTGCAGCTGGAAACGAATATTTAGGCGAGATATTTTCCAAACACCGCGAGGCACTAGCAACACCATCAAGCATGTGCAGCATCTGACAGTGCCAGTGGCCATGGCACTGGCGAGGACTGGTCATTTCTTATGAAAAGATCTGCCTGTTCTCTTGTTCTCTATTTTCATCGCTCGTCCTAGGCGCTGAAAATATTACAATCGGAAAAAATATACCAGAAGTCGCCTCGAAGGCAAATTCCTAGAACGTCATTCTGATTCTTGTGCTTGTTCGTGCAGCTATAGGAGCTTGGAGGCAAGAACAATAAAGAGCCGATTTCAGCTCGCCGAAGGTTCCGCTTCAGCAAACGTTCCGGCCGTGATAGCGGCTTGGTCTGCAGCCTCGTCTGGAAGATCGTCCTGCTCTTGGTCGACTGCACTTCCACTTAGGCTCAGCGGATAATTACTATTTTGCTGCTGCACTAAAGCTGAATTGGCGGTGGCAGCGACCGCAGGTGTGCTCCCCGCTGTTGCGCTGCCTGCCGACCCGCTATCATCTTCCCCCGAACTGCACAGTTTGCCAGTCGCGGCGGCTTTCAAGACTGCTTTCTCCGAGCTCAGGGTGGTGACTTTCTCCCTCAGCATCGGAATCTCCTGTTTGCACTTCTCAATCTGTGCTACGGATTCCTTGTTCAGCTCGGCCCAGCGCTCCCCGCACTTCTGCTGCTCCATGCTGTTCATTGCCGTTTGGCACGCGAGCACCTCCTTTCCCTTTTCGGCGAGCTCCGCCGATTTTTGCTTCTCGCACTGCGCGACGCCTTCCGTTTTCTCCAGTCGCGCCTTGGCTGCCGCCTGCTTCTCGATGGCCGCAATGTTTTCGGCCGCTGCCCGAGCGCTTTCCTCTTCCACCAGCGCAGCCTCCGCCTTCGCTTTCTGTCCGCTCATGTCGCGCAAATCATCCTGCGCTTGCGCGTGGGCCTTTTTCACCTTTCAAAAAGATTGAAGACAACACTTTTGGAAGCACACAACTGCTCGAGATCGAGGAGCGACGCGATGCTGAAGATGAATTTCTTTGTTCATCGCACACAATCGTATGAGCTGCATAATTATCTCAAGGACGAGTCTGCATTTGCAACTTGCAAACTACCGTGCTTTGGAACGCACAGCTTCATCCTTGTCAACGCTTGAAGCTTTCCTTCACCACCTAATGTACGAAAAGTCTCGCAGTTCAGTGCATGATGAAGAACAAGTTGCAGATTTATACAACTGAAGAAGAAGCTTCTATCATAGCGCGCTTCTTACTTAGTTAAACGCTTCTTACTTAGTTACCTCGTCTAGTTGACGCTTGAGCGTTTCCGAGTCGGATTTTAGCAACATCTGTGTAAGGCGGGCGGCTTCAGCCTCCGCGGATTTGCGGGCGACAATGTTCTGCGCAACGGATTCGCGTAGACTGACGACGTGCGTTTTGTACTGCCCAATTTTCGCTTTCAGTTGTTCGAACTTGTCCACTGCACGGGACTGGATAGACTTCACCAACTCTTCCAGTTCCTTGTTTTTCCCGGTCAACTCGACCACCTGCTTCTCCTTCTCCTGCAGCTTCCCGCGCAGCACCGTCGTCGTTTGCTCCAGACTGAGAATGTGCGTTTTATCGGCCTCCTCCACCTTCTGGGCGCCCGTCTTGAGCCGGCGCACGTGCTCCACCAGGACGGCGTCCTTCTGCGTTAGGCTTGCCTGCAGACTCTGTACCTGGCTCCGCAGGCTCCGGATGGTCTCCTGAAGCTCCTTCGAAAACCGGGCTGATTCTTTCGCCTTTTCGGACAGCGTCCCGGCCTCCTGCTCGGCCTGGTTTTTGGCCGATTCCAGCCGATTCATGTGCTCCATGCGCTCCAGCAGCTCCTTGTTCTCCGACCGGATTTTTTCGTCCTCCACGATCGCCACCCGGTGCCCGATGTACTCCTTTTCGACCTGTGCCTCTTCCTCTGCAGTTTTTTTCACCGCCGCCTCCGCGACCTGCATGCGGCGGGTCAACACCGCCGTCTGGTTTGCAAAACTGCGCTGGGCCTCCGCAAACTCGGCACCGATGGTCGCTACCTGGTGCTGCAGCGCCTGGTTTTTCTCCTCCAGCTGCCGCTTGCTGGCTGACAAGTACTGGTGCTCGGTGAAAAACTGCCGCACCGTTTGCAGGTCAAACACCTGGCCCTGTACCTCGTTCTGCACTCGGTTCAGGTCCGCCTGCACACCGAGCAGCTGTTTATTTCCTGAAAATTTTCAACCAGCCCCAACATCCAGTTTGATGTCATGCAAGGCATGTAGTAAAAAATAAAAATTCTGCATTTTCATTTTGTCTATGCACGAAGTGGATCATGGGGATGGCTACTTTCTACGGAATACTGTTCCGCCGCGGACCCCAAAGACTTGCTGTCATCGTACAGCCGCTCGCCCATAGTCTTAGAAATCACCGCGTCGCCGCTCGTGTTCGCAGTCTCTTCCAGAGCGAGCATGTTGCCTGGAAAGCTTAAGCTGCCCGACAATGGTGCCGAAGCTCCTGTCGGTAGCCCAGCTGCACCTGCATCGCCGGTGTCGAGGGTAGTTACGCCTGGGGATGGAGGTGATGCAGCCTTTGCAGCGACATCTTCAAAGACCGAAGAACCAGTCGGCCCAGCAGCAGTTCCCGTTGTGGAGGTGTGGAGCTGGGGTGTGGGTGAGCTGGCGCCTGTGAAGATCGGTGCTCTCGACGCATTGAGACTCCCAGTTAATAAGTTTGAATTGCGGACGAGGCGGTCATCCAGACCCAACCGAGCTACCGAGGTCGTGCTACTCTCTTGAATATCTTGTTGCAGGAAGCCCCGCTTGTTCACCGGAAGCTGGGTCGTGCTCCCGGAGGACTGACCCTCGAACGCCAGTGACAGTCGGCCTTGGTCGCGAGGGGCACCATCGCGCTCGTGCTTATAATTTATCGGCGGGGCTCCTCTTTCTCTGTTCTCTTCATTGACTTTAGTAGTTGCGTCACCGGTTATAAGTCTTCTTTCTACAGCGCCAGCAGCTGCAAGAGACCTCCTAATACCTCCGCTGGGTCCTCTGCCATAAGTAGAGGGAGAGCCAGCAAGCCGGTTTGACTGCTGACCTTCCGCGCCAACATCCCGATGCTGGTTTGCCCAGGCTCGCCCCAAGAAAAAGGCCGGCCAAGCGGAGAACCAGAGGCAGAGGCGGCGACCTCCGATCTCCATTACGAACGAAAGCGGAACGACCTACACCATCTTCGCTTGGAAATTTTTTACACGCGCAGGCGCAGGCGCACGAGACTCGCGCGCTGGCCAATTACACACTGATCATATTACCGCAGACCACACCGGTGTTGAGAAGAACGAAGAAAGCACTCGATGTGTAGAACTGTATTGTAGATAAAATTTTGGTCGGCCAACCCCAACTGCAACCAAAACAGTGCCGAACATCGACAAACGACCTCGACATGGGCTGTGCGAGCTGACCGCTGCGAGCACCTCATGCCGGTGCACCGTAAGCACTGTCACAAACTGCGACCAACACCAAATCTTCTGTTCTAAGTTCTGAGAAAGCTTTACCGGAGTATAAAGTATAATGTAAAGAAGTTGAGTGAATTCGCTACGCTGGTTTCAGGCGAAAAACAGAAAGCACGACGTATCTGCTGCTATTTTCGCTCATGCCTTGTCCTTCTTTTCTCTTTGCGAGCTGCCTATCTCTGAACAGAGGGAGTGTCTCTGTGTCAGTGATGTGTGAAGCCAAATACTTGAGTTGCTAGGTGAAGCTACAAGATGTCCATGTATGGAGCGTCGCAGAGGAAGCGTTGTAAAAGTAAAAAGATCTTCATGCCGATGTAGTTGTCTGCAGGTTTCTGTTGCTTCAAGTAACAAAAACAGACATCGGACCGAAGCTAGTCCTATCGTTTATTTGTAGTTCAAGACAACAAATACAAAACGCAAAGGAGGTGAGTTGTTTGTTCTTTCGTGTACGAAGTACAGCTCATAATTATTGCCGTTTTTATTGAGAAAGTGAAAGCTACAGTCTTCAACTTCTGTCGTCAGTGTCAGTCAAGCTCCTCCCCGTATCCGATGATGGCGGAGAATACTTTCAAGAAGACAAAATGTTAAAAATGACAGACACATCAACAGCTCCTTCACAGAGCAAATGCTTCAATAAGCGCCCGAATAAAAACAACTGCCACTAGCGGGAGCATCACGGAAAAGGTCGCAGCGGAATCCTTGGGACACTTGTCGACCCCATTTTTCTTGTCGCTGAAGAGCTCACATGCCTTTTCTTCGTCGTACTGTGCCCGAAGAACTTCGAATTGCAGATTGGCCTGCTCCTCGGCAAACTCTTCCTCCGAGAACGTTAGCATTGACAGCTGACCCACCGAGGAAAACCGTTGGAAATCCGCATCGTGGCGGAAGTCTGACTGTGGATTCGTTGTTGCCGCCTGCAGCCGTTCGTACAAATGCACCGCACTCACTTCTTTCGCGGTGCGGTTCGCTAGGATCTCAAAGTCCATCAGAATACCTTCATTTTTCGGTCGGGTTGTTGATAGCTACATCTTGTCTTCACAGTGGACAAGATTTTTTTTCCACTTCTTTTAGTTTCGTGCACGAGCCATGTATGCTGGCGATCTGCATCACCGTGATGCAGATCGCCAATTGTTTTATTGACAAAAAAATAAAGCTAAAAAAATTGTACCTTGTCCGACGTTAAGGACGTTTATTCGCATCAGCTGGCGATCGTAGGGGTCCTTGTCCATACAGAGAGGCATACCGTTCGGATCGCGCTGGTCCGGATTCGTCGTGGCGGAATACGGAGGGTTGTTACAAAACAGCGTCCTTGCTATTGCTTGTTGTGCCACTGCAACAAATCTGGCGTTGTCGTGTTAGTCGCGTTTAAACAAGAACTAGAACATAGAAATGTAGTACCTATTCGCGGCTGAAGTGACGAGGGGGTCGATTCTGCCTCCCGCGCCCGTCAGTTGCGACGTGACACTCAAAGATCAGCTACAGCTAGTACCGAAAGCAATGCCGCTACTTCTGGCGCAGCTCCAGAAAAGAAACAGAAATCTCCAGTGCGCCCAAGGGGCCCAAGTAACAGTAGCAAGCATGATCAAAAGCAAGCAATTAAAAAGGAGAGCACGGAAAGTGGTAGTGCTGGTATGTGTATCTTCTCTAACTCTATCTTCTAACGGATTACGGAACCAAGTACAGCATGAACATGATTTTCATTTTTTATCTTTGGCTGGAATCTAAAACGAACAACTTTCAATATTTTCAAATCAATGTACCCGCTGCTTGAGTCTGGGGGTGTGGTGGTTGTCCCAGAGGAAGTACTGACGACGACTGCGGGCGGGGGCGTGGTGGTCTCCAACGTTGTGGGGCTCACGGACATGATTTCGTTATAACTTCGCGGCATGTACAAACGCGCCCGAATGCGGCGGAAGGGGTCCTCGGTGCTGGGTGGGGCAACAGTGGTCGTTTTCTCCTGGTCCGCCCCTGCACACCCATTCCACGAGAACTCGTCGTAGTCGAAGAACTGCGCGTCGATCTTCTCGTCGTTTGTCAGGTCCTTCCATAGCTTGCGATAGGTATCCGGTAACTCCGTCGAAGCCCCGCTCTGCTTGTCGTCCCACATCTGCTGGGTCCACCTGTAGAAGTTAGGCCACCGACAAAAGTAGAGCTGCCATCGTAATCGTCCTAATCTTGAACAACGTACGCGCTTCTAGCGCTTGGATATCAACACTTCATCTTTATGTAGTTTATGCCGTCTACCACGCTGCTTACGCTGCATCAAAATAATCGCTCACAATCGAAACACTTGGCTTTGGACATGGTTCACCGCTTAGAGGATAAGCTAGCAAATCCAAAGACAAAGTGAAGCCATGGCAAAAAATGAAAAATACTGTATAGCTCAGCTGTAAGAAAATCATGCATAGGAAAACAGCCGTACCCGAGCTTCGCAAAGGTGCGCTGCACCCGCGGGCTGAGCAACTGCCACGGACCTTGATATTTCTGCTGAATGTAGTCATAGCGAAGCAAGCACGGGGTGTTTGGGCAGCGTGACCAAGTGTCTTCCCGATGACCTGGAGAGCAGTTGGTGAATGTAGATGCGCCTCAATGTAAAATCCGATTAATCAGAGCTTACTAGTACTCATTCACCCGCCGAAAAGCGTTTGTTCTCCCTTCGTATGCTAAGCATGGCATGAAGATACACAAACATCATGAGGACAGGTAATGAAAAAATAGAAAGACGGGCACGGTGCAGGATCCGAAGTCCGCGGGTGGAGAATCCCCCGAGGCTAATTAGAGGATCCGCAGGGGTGGAAATAACTACACTCCAGCAACTACACGACAAAGTTGAACGAGGAAAGCAAAAGACCTATAGAAGCGCCGTGAAACAGTTTTATCATACCGTATTTTGACGCTATTTTCTGCAGTGCGGGTTCCAGTTCCTGCCATGTCCGGAAAAATGCGGCCGGGATAGGGCCGCCGTCATTCCAGGAGTCCGCCTGCCAACCAAGCTGCTCGAGGTGCACCTTTTGGAAGTCCGCAAATCGATTCCACTGCAGCGCCCGGAACTCCGTCGACCGAGTGGGTATCAGCTTCTTCTCCGCGTACAGCAGGCGAAAAATACACTCCTCTTCCGGGCATCCGTTCCACGTGTCCTCAGTGTACATTAAAAACTCCGCAGCTCCTTGCTCTGCCGTGGTCAGCTTGCTCCACTCCACGACAAATTTATCGGGGATGTCCTAATATGTTTGTTGTGGAGTACATCTTCAGGGAATTATAGTCACAAAAACCGTGGTGGAGAAAGTTTTAATCTATCGTGGTGCATCGAATTGCGATGTTTCTGTTACAATGGCCGTTTCGGTGCGTGAAACATGCCAGGGAAGCCACCAGGTCCACCAAAAAGAAAAAGTATCTCTATCTACATCTAGTTAAATCTATATGCAGTGAGCTGCTGTAGTACTCGTTGGTCCCATTGTTGTGGTGTATTGACGTAGTTGAGCGTGGTGTACGCTTCCTGCCTCTGCTTCGTCAGGTCCGTCCAACGATACTGAATGGTGGAGAATTGGCGGTGCAGGGGCGCCTCCAGGAATTCCCGCCACCGCATGCAGCTGTACCGAGGTCCGTCGGCACGGTAGACTCCTTGTTGCGCCAAAAACCGTGGCCAATTGCAGTGGTCCCGAATTCCGGGAATGTCGGCGTTCATGTGCCATCCGTCGATGGTGTAGTGTAGCTTTCGAACCGCATCCCGCTGTCCGTCGCTCAACTCATCATAGCACATAAATTCGCTGGCCGGACACCACGGATACCACCATTGTTTGATCGCCGTGGTAACCTACATTTTTGAAGATGATAGATTCTTGAATGCAGAACATCACTTGCTCGACGAGCTAGCTCTTTTTTCTTTTTATACAGCTTTCATCGCCGCAGGACGACGTGGACATGGAAGAAGGCGACGACGAGCTCGAGCGTTGCAATTACTTCTACTTATATTTGTACACTTTTTTCGGCATGAAGTCCTCCTAAACTTCCTAACCATGTGGACCGACGTGGCAAACATTGCATCAAAGTAGTAGTGCTATACGTTCATTTCGTAAACGTCTTTGCTCGCGTCCCCGGCAAAAAGAGATATGCATTGCAAAAGTATAGCGGTAGTCGCCCGACAGGTTGTAACTGGATAAAGTAATAGGTGGGGCATGTGCAGCTTCCTGAAAACAGTTCGAAGAATAAGTAGACGCTGAGTAGATGAAAGTAGTGTTGCTCCAGGAGAGGCAGAGGCTGCGAGTGCGACTGCTGGCAGGGCAGATCAAGTAAGCGGCCTGAAGATGCAAGGAAAAGGCCACCAAGGTAAGTAGACCAAGACCAACCGTTCTTGCCGTTACCGTTTCGAGACGGTACAAAAAGGCCGGAGCACGAGCAGGAGCAGCGGCAGCATGCAGATCTACTACGCAACAGGAAGATCGGTAGTACGCAATTCTGTATCTATTTCTATACATCGACTACGATATTACTTTTGCACAGGATAGTGGAGGTGAACCGACGATTTCCCCACGACGTTTCGTCCCAACCAAGACCCACGTTTACCATGCGCTTGGTGCCGTCCGTCGGGGACGTCATCTCGACAGCCTCCACTTTGTACTGGTCTTTCTCATCGGTTGTCAGAGCCGACCAGGTACCCCGAAGCTGGTACGAGGAATAGTAGGCTTTTCGTGGAAAATACAGCTGGCCCGGCACCCGGCTGTTCTGCCCGGCCCACATGCTGGCTCCCCTTTGCGTCCAGTCGCAAAACGTGTAAGCGTCCCGAAGAAAACGGGGCCCGCAGTGGCGAAACGCGTCGTCCGCTGTGTATCCCTCCAGATACGGGGCAATGTAGCAAATGTACCTGCAGAGGTGTTGACGTTCGCTGTGAAGATACACGCAGTATGAAAAACGACCGAAAGCCAAAGAAGGACAAAGATGATTCCGGTATCAACATGGGCAAAAAGTGTTGAGTGTGCAAACCAACAACTCCAATTATAGAAGATCAAGATGAAAAAATGCTCATGAAAAGTTGCTGTAGTGAGTAAGTACTTGCGGCAGGGCGCGTTTCCTGTGGCCTCTTTGGTTAGCATTTTTACCCACAGATCGCAGACGTCGTGTTGGCATCCTGTGGGCCATGTTGTGTGAAACGGTTTCAGTTGGCAGTGGTTGCGGCACTCGTCATTCGCAAAATCGATGCCCTCGTAAATGACGAAGTTTGTGACCGCGTTTTTGCAGTCCTGGTCCAGATCCTCGAAGTCGATAGGCACCGGTGTGGCGTAGTCACCTAGGTTGCTGCCCATGATCTGGGTCTTTTTGTATATGCGCGTGCTTGGCGGTTGCACCGGAAGGGTGAAGGTCGTATTCCGGATCACCGTCGCGTTCACGGTCATTGGGTCGGCTAGTTGTAGGGTGCCAGCTTTTATTCTGCTGTAGATGCGAGTGCCCAAGAGGCCTTTGGGCATTAGCATGGCGCCCAAGAGCGCTGCCGCTTTGTTGTCGGGTGGCATCGGCGCGTGGCCGTCCATCCGCCTCTTGTGCATATCTCTCCTGTCGTCCACCAACCCTGCTGGAACCGAAGAGACTTTCCGCCACGGTGCGGGATCATGTAGTGCGGGCGCACTCGCGGTGCGTACATGGTCAGATAGAATTTTATCTCCGCTCGCGGGACGGTCGTGCAGCTGGAAGAAGAAGTTTCATTTCACTTACACTATCGCAAACGTTTATACTTTATTCCATCTGCTGCAATCCTTGGACATTGCCGCATCGAAATGTAAAAGTGATCTAGGAAGCGATGCCACGCACTGGCACTCTTCTATGTTATAGTTATGTATGCATATATTTGTTTTTTGGTGTTTCTGTTTCGTGCTTAGGCTTACCTGCTGCTGCTCCGGTGTAGGGGCGGACGCCTGATTCTCTAGAGCGTCCTGGTTTTTATTCGAGAGCCTGCAAATCTCTTTGGTGTCTCCGCGTGGGCACAGCTGCCTCATTGGTGGGGCTCGGGCTTTTGCTATCTTCACTGCGTTCCTTTCTATTGCGTGGCCAGCTCCTGTAACACTCATGGATGAGTCACCAGATGCAGGTACGGCGGAAGTTTTTCGTCTGCTGCTCGAAGCTGAATATTTTGCATCCTTTTGATGCGCCATGGGTGGTGCATGTAGGTTTGCAGTTTCGTCAAGGGGGGAGCTCGAGCCGAGCGCGGTCCTTACTGCGTTATTTTCCGTAGCATCGAGGATTTCCGGGGCGGCACTGTGATCTGTGGCAGAAGCACGACTTCTTCGTCCTCGCTCGGTGTCTACTCCGCCGCCGCCACGCACGGAATCGTCCACGGAGCTCGCTTGTATTCTCTCGTCGTTGATGCTGTGCGCTCCTGCTGCAGATGCGCTGCTGCCTTTTGCGCTGCCGGTTGGCCTTGGTTCCGTTCCCCCGCCGCCTACCGACGCAACTCCACTGGTGCATAGCAGTACAGCTGCAGCCATGGTGGTGGTCCGTTTCGGGCAGGAGAAGACAGGAATTGTGTGCGTCTTTAGAAATTGGTGAATCGTCGTCCTTGCGCTTATTGTTTTGTGCGTTCTTCCTGACAAGCAAGGAACAATGTCGCACGTCTGCCGGTCATCAAGACCGCGAATTTTACTCGTCTGCGCCTCCTTACTCATAAATTGCTGAGGACAAGCTGCTGTCCTACTACTCCTGCTTGCGCGGCCGGATTCCGTCCCCGGTGTTCTTCTTGATACTGTTGCAGGCGGCGCAAGGCTACGATCCTTTCCTTTGCTACTCGTTTCATTCCCCATGATCCGCTTCCGTTTTCTAATGCTGTGCTTCCTGTCGTTCGTGTCCTTGGTCAAAGACGTCGCGCTTTTGCTTTTACTGTAGCTAGTATTTTCACCACCAGGTTGTAGATTGTGCAATTCTGTTTTCATCGTCGAGGACGTCGATGTCGCGTCGTTACTTTTTGAGTTCTGCAGCTTCTGCTTCTGTAGTGACAGGCAAGCCCGCGCTGTGTCCTTAATACAACTGTGCGGCGAGAGCGGTTGCGATCTAGTACTTCGTGCAATTGACGAAATTTGTTCTGGACTTTGCGCCGTTAGTAAAACCTTGTTATGTGCAGCTGCGGGTGTCGTCGGGGGGATCGAGCTCGACGTTGGTCCTGCTGCGAAGGGAAACGGACAAGAACTTGAAGACGACGGCGTTCTAGTTGGGGCATGTAGAGAGAAACAGCCATCAGGCCGTGGCCACGCAAAAGTGATTCTCCTCTTCGCAGCAATGGGCGGCATTGTACTCCTTTGCTCCGGCTCCACCTCGACGTCCTCCAACTCCGGCATATCTTTGGTGCCCATGTGGTGCGCTGATTCGTTCTGGCCAATCCGTCGCGTCTATCTGCAACGAGGGTGTGAGAACTCGTGCCACCAGAGAAACTTTACCGGGTCACGCATGGTTATTTCCGCTTCTATTTTTATCTTCTTTTTCAATCGAATTATTAGGGGGAAATGCGATTGCAATGGGTCAAGCTCAAACAATAAACCTAAAACGGGGTAAGGGTTGTACATGTATGTTCGTTCTATATCTTCGGCGTGCAGGAGCAAGAATCACTGAATTGCTGGAGTGGTTGTGATATGGATGCTGATCGAACCGCGCTCCCTCTAACGAAGAGATGAAAGCTATCCACTCTGCAAGAATACATGGACGATGCTAGCGATTCTAACTGTAACTACAAAATAGGCTGACCTTTTTTGGTGGACGCTCTCACTCCGAGTCTAGTATGTAAGTCGATGACGATGATGACAAGGACACATGACAATATGCCAACCATCAAACAAGTAGCCACGATAGCGATTGCAAAATATATTCCCTCATCCTCTTCTCATATGCCCTCAGCCTCCACTCGTCTTTCGCACGTGCCTTTTCATACACATTGCTTTCGACTCAACAAGAACAACACACGACACAAGGACGGCCGCAGACCTCCTAGCGCTCGATCTTCCTCGCTCTCGAATCTCGATGATATTCTCACTAGCTCGCTCTTTTATTCATAGCGATAGCATGTCAGAGGCAAAGCGGAATCTACAATCAGGCTGAAGCAGCTGCGCTGAACTGACAATAAAGATTCTACTGGTCCCGTTTCATGATGATTGGAGCGCAGAAAAAGTAAAAGAACAGTCATGCGTTTATCACAATCCCACGGAGATAAGAAGTAGAGCCCTGCGGTCACGCAAGATGAGGAGGACGACCATCGTCGTTCTCGTCGTAGACCTTTTTGTCTTTCATTGTGTACTACCAATGACGTTGATAGGCGCAGGGAAAATCTTGTTGCCGCGTTTGGCTTTGGCACGTTCGCAAAAGATGCTACGGAGGCAGGACCGAGATAGAGACTCAATCATAGAGCGCAATCCATCGTGATCCACCTTTTGCTTGGCGTAATAAGGCGTGTCCAAACGGGACAGTATGCATGTATAATTTTGGTGACGCCGCCGGTAACTGACTCGCACCCATCGATGCTTCTTCAAACCAGCGAGGAGAGTTCAACTCGGCACTGGTTGCCAGTCGCGGCACGACCAAGGGCAGCTTCATCATGTCGCGCTTCACCATTTGACACCTTTTGCTTTGCATCGCACTGTATTCTGTGCAAAAGTATCGGCGCACCCTTCATCTTGTAAAAGTTGCATTTTTTGCAAGTGCAGTAGTCGCTATCTATGAATGATGCTCAAGCTCAGATTGGTACTGCATTGCAGTACAGCTTAGGCTGAACAATCTTCCCACCGTTCTTATTTCGCATGATATAATTCATAAAGTATTCCATACATGTCCATGTGTGAAGGTGAAGTAGATACTTGTGTTGCAATGCATACGCTACAAACTCGCGCTTCGCGTCCGTCGTTGCCATCCCGATGAGCTTTTGTCTAGCATCGTATTCGGACTTGGCCGTTGCGTTGAACATTCCCGTTGGTCTCTCGCCTGTTACGTCGCCCTCCGTCGCTTGCTTGTGCAGTGCCTAGAAGTAGAAGAAAAAGCAAAAAGAAGTCCTTGTCGTGCGTCTATACTTATACTATTAATCTATGTATCAGCTAGAGCTATTGATGATCCAGTCGGTGTTGTAGTTCTCGCATGCACGTACAGTACTAGGCTCCGTGGAAAGACGAGATGAAGGAATCAGCGAAATTTTTGGAGTACTTTGCAAAGCTTGTCTCCGCTAGAGCTGCTTTTTGCCCATGCTTCCGCCGCTCGCCCAAATTGTGCAGCATCGGCGTCAGTGACAGTGGATATCTTATCATACGCAGTCCCTGCTTGCCCTAAGCCGTTTTTTTTTTCAAAAGGAATGAAAAGACTATTTGCAAAGCAAGCAATAGCAAGCCTTTCTTTGTCCTCGTAGCATGTGGTGGTTTTGCCTAGCTTATCATTCCTGCAGTCTTTCAGTGGCGCGTTAGAATCTCATCTGAGGACTACATTACTTTCTCGTCGGGGCAGCAAACGCAAAGCAAACTTCAAACTTATCCAAAATAGAAAAATTTTGCATTACGGCTCATGTAATCGATGTCGATGTCCACGCCGAAATGTGTGAGGAGACAGAGGACCCCGACCGTGACATTTGCAGCACCGGCCAGGAAGAAGAAGCAGAGCCAACACTGTGTGGCCATTAACAATCCCACGAATACGTAGAAGAGTCCACGGCCCCAGAGAAGCGTCAGGAATTTGGCCTCCACATGCAAAAGCTCCTGAGCCACCAGGATCTTGGGCGCCACGTACTCGAGAAGGGGCGTTTCGCTCAACCGCTCCTCGTCTGCTTCCACAATGAGCGCAACCAAGCCGAAGGTCAGCACATAGATGTTCATCACAAATGTGAATGGGGACTCAATCGCCGAAAAGAGATTGATTACACCCAGCACGCCGATCACAAGAGTAAAACCTGCCGTGTAGGTGCCGCAAAAATTTTCAATTTTGAGTTGTGATGATTCCACTTCCAACTCTACTAATAAAGCTACGTGAAGATACACTCTATTACTAACTAGTCGCTAGCCTTCTTGTTCTTTCTACTTTGCCTCCGAATTGAAAAAGTTCAAATTCCAAATAAGTACTTACTGGCATGCAGTAAATCTGCTTTGGAACCAGTACAGAGCCCGCATCTACTACAGAACGTCGCAAACGACCACGAATTATGTTAGTAGAATCACAATCTGTGAATATCAGGAATACAGCCTGAAAGGAAGCACAGCATTTGAATGCCGGCCGGTCCTGCTTGCACGTATTTTTTGAAAGCCTCCAACCCCTTGACTGCGCTGCCTCGCAGCGCCTGCATCGCTTTCCCGGCGGCGTTTTTCGCTTGCTCCTTCAAGAAGTCTTTTACTCGTGGATCTTGCAAGAGGTTCTGCGCGTTGTCTTTCGCTATTTTCTGCATCTCGGGATCCTTCATGACAGCTTCCTGCAGCTTTTTGTTGTTCTGGAGCGCACCTGGATGTAGTGATTTGAATTATATTTTTTTTTATTCAACGCTGCAACGTCACACGCAGCTACTAGCATTTACAAAGTGCATTGCGGCATTACTCTTTCACTTGTCAAAGCCTTCTACTGGCCGTGGCAGCTGAGTGTGGATGCCAGCAGCGAAAGATTTAGAAGCCCTTTGTTGATGTTGCCTTTGGTCTATCGTAAAATACAACGATAGAAGTAGTCGGTCTCATGGTGGTGTTTCCCTGATTGATGTTACTATGGCGAAAAGGAAAAGGTAACTGAGGATGATCAACGTCGGTACTTTGAGGGTCCTTGAGCAGGTCGGCTTGGAGCTGTGGATCTGATAGGATCAGGCTGACAACCCCGCTATCCTTAGCCTCCAACAGAGCGCTTTTTGTTGTTCCTCCAAGCCCCAGCATTTGGTTGTTGTTGTTCTATGGGGTTACGAAGATCTTTTCTGTTAACTCAAAGTTAAGGAATAATTTTCTTAACTTTCCGGATTGATATGCGAAAACCGAATTTCTCGGGTGATTGTAGTGGAGCGAAAAAAAAGAAGAAACGGCTCCAAAAATGCACGGCTTGCTCAGCAAGGTTGTACGGAGCCGCCCCATATCTTCAGCGCGGAAACATGGCTACGCGACGTGGGTTTGTTGGTTTACAACGCCAGCCCAAGGGCCCAAAGTGGTGATCCATGTTGCCGTGGCGCCGATCGGGGCCGCGGTAGAAGCGCGTGCCCGCGTCGCACCCGGCCACGAATGCAAACGGGCGCGCCGCCAGTTTACATCCCCGGGCGGAACGCGTCCGCGTGCGGCGCATCTGTGCGCGCACATAAAAACAAGCGCCCCCGTATGAGCCACCACGGCAGGCTGCGCAATTCGGTGGCAGCCCCGGCGAAGTAAGTGGCCCCGCGCTCGGTCGTCGGTGTGCACTCAGTTGCGCGCGCGCCGGGCATTAGACAAGCAAAAAGGCCCATACCTACCTGCGCGCCGGCGCAAAGGGCGGGGCGACCGATCCGGCGCTCCAGAGCAAACAAAAGAGCAGGGGGGCCAGCGCTCTGGCAGGTCCCTCTGCCGCCCGCCTGGCAAAGGGCGGCGCCCCCACGCCTCCGTCGCCTGCGGGGCGCGGCCGATGGGGCTCAACAGTATCAATATTGGGCCCAAGCCCGGGCGCCGGGCCCCTTCCGCCGGCTTTTTGGGCCCTTCTGAACGAAGGCCGCCCGCGACTTTTCTGCCGGATGGGCCAGGCAACCACTTTGATGGAGGACTGCCGCGCCGGCGCACCAACCGCCACGCAGCCTGCCGCCCACGATATCTACCGCCAGCGCAACGCATGCTTACACAAAGAAAGAGCGGCCCCGGGAGGGGGCCTGGGATTGCCCGGGCGAACGTCGTGCCCATGTTATGTTGGGGCGCCGGCCCACGCCAGAGCCCTCGCTGCCGCTGCCCCGCCCGCCTCCGTTGCTTGCGCGCGCCGGCCAACTCTATTTTTGAATCGATAGCCTTCCCTCGCTATCCTTAGCCTCCAACAGAGCGCTTTTTGTTGTTCCTCCAAGCCCCAGCATTTTGTTGTTCCTTTCACTTTCTGTCACAATTAACGATGACCGACCTCGTCCGACGCTTACTTCTACGGAAAACCTGTATGTTGTCTCCGCTTCGAGAGCCCTCTCGTCACAGCGAGCACACGTTTCAGAACCAACTACACTCGAGCAACTTGCTCCTGATTTCTGCTCTTGTGGCTCATCAAAGTTCTTGAATAAACTGATATTAACCACACTTAGACCACTTATCTGTATTTTTCTTTTCGCTAGGCATAGGTCGTCGACGCCTCTGTCATACAAGTGCAAATGTTGAAGAACTAAAGCTAGTACAATCAAGAGACTCTCACGGCAAAAAAGCTTGCGACTTCAGGTAGATTACACGCGCACACTTCTGGAGCGGGTTGCTTCGCTGGACACGCCCCCCAGCCAGCCGCTTTAATATTCCACCACCAGAAGTTCTGAGCGCGATCTTGCCTGCCCCTCCACCTTATCATGCTGTGTGTGCGATGTGTTATCAGAACGACGCAGCAGGCCAGACACAACTACTTAGAACAGTATGGCGCCGCCATCGTCCATGGTTTCCATCAATGACCTGGGGCGTCCGACAGGAAAATCGTCAGAAGAATGCGTTGCGTCTGATAGCCCGCTGCACGGTTGTGGGGCGGATTGAGGTTTGCAAGACTCTACATTATGTAGCTGCTGCATATCGATTCGCTATATTCTTGTGCGATTTTCACATTTTTCATTTGAGCAAGATAAAGACACAGTCGGCCTCTGGTTTCGTCATAAATCCTACAGTTCCGACGCAACTTCGGCCGAATCAACAAGTTGTTGTAGAAGATCTTCACCTGGAGCAGATTTTGAATCGTACAACAAAGTCTGGCGTCGATAATTGCGCTCTGCTTCTTTTCTTACGATTTCGCATCGCGTCAGGAAGGGGCACCTTCTTGTCCTCCGGACAGGTCGCCGTCCTCTACTCCGGCTTTTCCTTCATCGTCCTCAGCAGGGTTCTTGTCAGCATCCTCGTCGTCTCGATTCTCGTGATCTTCTTCCGGCGGGGGAGGGGGTGGAGGAAGTGGGTGGATCCGACACAGCACCGTTTCACCGGCAACGAGTTGGACTCCCTGCGCGACCGGCTTCTTCATTTTGCTTGTGTCGCTCTCGTCGTCCGGAGATTTGGGATTCTCCGCGTCCCCTGCATTATCATTTTCAACTCCACCGTCAACAGCTACATCCCCGGCCGCCCCGTCGGTTGTTGGAAGAACAATCTGGAGAATACCTCCGGCTGGCGCTTTCACTTCGACGGTCGCGCCCGCCTCTGGCCGTGTGCCGGCACTGTCGTCCTCGTCGTCTCCAGCTGGATCATCGCCTTTTTCTTGCTCCTTGTTTTCGTTCGCATCGTCGTCGCCGCCTGCTTTTTTGGCACTATCTCCTGCATCAGCATCGTTCTTGTCGTCATCTGCCGATTCGGTCTGCTGTTTCACGGCTTGCTTTACGACGGTGACAATCGCAATCACTTCGTCCTCCGCAACTTCGTCGTCGTTTCTCCTCTGAAATTCCACCGTGGCCTCCTCTGCGGAAATGCTCGCAAGCAGGTCGGCGGACTCAGCTGGCGGTGGTGGAATGATTTTGCAGAGCTCCGTGCTCGTAGTCACATCCATCTCCGTATCCACAGTAAACTTCTCTTTCACGTTCACGACCCATTTTCATCGACCTTTTGATGCATGACTACAGATTGAATGGGGATGAGGATTTTGCTGTGGATACTCCGAGTCGGCGTCAACGAGCAGCTTTCCCATGGTTCCCGTTATTGGCGCTGTTACGTCCGTATGCATCGCAAAAGTATCTGGGCTTGGAAATAACGTGTGATTCGTGTAGGGGAGTCACGCAAAGAAAATCTGTGTTGCATCTTCAGTGACTTGCAAAAGATACCCAGCATTTCTGCACATGATCAGGGGGGATCGCTCATGCACAATGGGCATTGCGTCGATTGCAAAGGGACTGCAGAGCCTGTCATGCTGAGCCCTGCGCCCGCCTGCCTCGAGCTTGGTATTATCAGATTAAAAACTGCATGAACAAAAATGATCTCGCGACCTTCCTCCAGAGGACCAAGACAATCAATATTTGCATTTGATAGTCCGTCCGGATTTCTTCGCCCTCGTCGTCGTCTTGGTTGTCCACCTCTTCTGGCGGTTTGTCCTCCTCCGGTGTAGCGGGCTTGGCTTCATTGCCGTCCGCTGCTTCCTCGGGATTTTGCTCTGGTGGTGGGGGGTTGGGCTTCTTTGGTTTCTGCACCATCTGCGCGATGACATCACCTTTTTCGACTGCTTCGCCTGGCTGTTTCAGGAAAACCAGGCGGACACCCGAACCCTCCACGGGGGAATACACAACCACCTGAAGTAGGTATGTAAGTAGCTGCAACTAACACATAATGGCGATAGGAGCAATCAGTGTCTTCTGCTGGATATTCAGAATATGAATCTTCAATACTTGCATCGCTTTGAATACTTCAATAATTTGAGCACGATCAGGATCACCGAAGCTTCGGCGGAGCGGTACCAGAGTTGTTTATCTTTGAATCTCACTAACAGTGAATGACTGTGACGTCGAACGATGAAGACGAGGAAAGCCAAAATCAATTAACGTCGTCAGAGTGTCGCGCAGTGATGTCTTGCACGGAAAATGATAGATACAGCTCCCCTATCGCCGCCAAAAATTGCGTCGAAATCGAAACCAAACACGTAGAGAATCATGGCGATTCGTATGCCCGCATAGGCGAGGCCGAGCAGAATGAAGAGACCGATAGCCGCGAAGCCCCATGGCTTCTCTTCTTCCTTTTCTGCGTCGGTTTTAGCCACGTTTTCTTCTTCGACGGACCAACCCTTGCCGCCCGTGTCTCGCACGACAACCGGCCCTTTGGGTTTTTGCATGGAGCCAGCTGCTTTCCCAACACAAACTGCGGGGTCTGCGACGTTGGGGGCAGCGTACTCAATAACGGTCTCCACGATATCGAAATCTGAGCCGCCGACCTAGGATTTAAGTGTGCATGTACTCAATATCTGTGCGAGTGCGGTTCAGCCTTTGTATGATTGAACGTTGAAGATGAAATAATCCTTTGGAAAAGCAAATCGAAACATGTAGTAGCACTGCGATAAAACATTTTTAACCACTCGATGATTATGTCCCACTATATTTACCTTACAACCGTCCTTACTTCCGCATACAAGATTGTGCAGGTTACAGAAGTTTGTTCCCTGGTCCTCCTTAGATTCGGTCTGTGTCTCACTGCATCCAAACGCAACGCAATCTTTTCCAGACTTTTCCATGTAGAATCGTCCCAAGTCGATGAGCTTCTTGTCGGAGCCTGGTGTTGACCCAAGAAAACAAAATCGATCCAACAGAGTCTTTTGGTCTTCAGGTTCAGATTGAGGAGAGGACATCTTCATCAGCAGTGATAGACCTCTCATCGAAAAATACGAATTACAAATGACAACACACACGACACAGACACTGATGTACCACCCGTTCCCGTGCGCTGAAATTTGACGGTTGCTTTCTCGATCTCCTCTGTTATTTCTGCAAACGAAGAAGACGAAGCCGCTGTATCCTCTTTGTTCTCGGCACCGACTTTATTTTCCGCGGCTTTTCCTTCTTCCGCCTCCTCTTCCCCCTCTGCGGCGCCTCCACCTTTGGCCGAATAAAGGCTGTACGTTCCACCATCACCGTGCGGATCCTTCCAGTCGTTCTTTCCTTCCACGCGGGCAGTTATTTCGGATATAACTGTCTAGTGTCCAGTGCAAAAAATCGCACTCATAGTAATTGCAGGCATGACGTATGACAGATCAACAAGATCATCTAGAAGTCTCACTCTCTCCCTCGTCATGTCTGAATCCGCATGACATCGAGACCCAAAACCAGGTCGTCGTCGTCCCTTGAAGATGAAGGCTTTTTTCATTATCTTTTCTGGCCTACTCAGTACAGCACTACACTACTTTTTAGTTTGATTTTCTACTAGTGCTAGTAAAGCGCTTGCACCAGCACGTTCGAAGGCCTTAGTACGTAAGCCCGACGACCACGACACATTTTATTTTCAGTGTTCTTCGAAAATAAACATTGTCGCACTTCATGAAGTTTGTACTAGTGCGATGCTCTTGCGTTGCATATCTCGCACTCCTGGTCTTTGATGACCACCTGAAGCGTAGACATGGCCCTGTTTGTATCAAGTGCAAAAATGTCTGGGTCTGGAAGAGTGCCAGGTTTGTCATGCATATTTGCATGACCCATAATGCCTGTAATGCATGCCCTAGCATGATCACAGATCTTTCGAGGGCTTTCTGGGGCGAATTCCGCATAAGAAATGCCCTCTCCGCGTAGCAGAATTTACAATCCTTTTGCTGCTCATGCAGCACAAATTTTTCAGACATCCAAATGCAGCGAACAAGTTGCATTCTTCCAGACCCAGACATTTTTGCAATTCATAGTTTGGCTTGGCTGGAGACCCGGGACAGAAAGCTTTCGAAGACCACCCAACAGCGTTGTGGTCCGGCTCGCCAGCCGCCCGCTTCTGCAGGACACTGGAGGCAACAAGTTTGGTATCCGCGTCTCTTCTATGCTGGTAGGCACCTCCGCCTGGTGGAGTCCGGCGTTCAAGTGGAGTAGAAGTTTCCAAGGCAGCAGTTGCGATTTCGCTTCTCGTTTCGGAAGCTGCAACACCACTCCCGCGACCCAAGATTTCGATATTGGCTCCGCTTCTAGTCGAGCGTTGGAGGTCTACGTGCACTTCTTCACTCGTCCATCTAGAAGGTCGCACTGCAGCTGGACGTCGCGATGATAACGCTGCAAACGGCAATGGGGAATCCGGGTCAGACGTGGTCGCGGAGGCAAAGGCGAACGACCCGTGGCTCTCGTCCTGTCCCGGTGCATCCCCCCCAAGCCGTGGGTTATTTATTCCCAGCGGCGCCAGCGCGATCTTCATCCTTTCTCGTTCCTGACCCGCCTGCTGCTCTGCAGTGTGCGAGGTCATAGCTGCGCCGGCGACAGGATGAAACAAACTGCCGTCAGCGCCGAATCCAGTTTCAGTTGGCGTTCCGTCATCTTGTCGATCTTCCTGTCGCGCAGTCTTCGACGAGGACGACGCTAGTACTGGGCTCGCAAAAATAAAAAGTCCAACCAGCATGGGGCTCGAGCTCGCGTGAAGTCCAGGCCTAGCTTGCAAGAATAAAGCGCCTGCAGCTAGTACTGTGCGACACTTAAAGAACCCTAGCAGGTTCATATCCTGAGTGAAAACGTACCCACCCCAAGGTTAACGTCATCATCAAAGTGCAAACACAAACTCTAAGAAGAGAATTTATTACGAACAATCTCGGGCTCGGGAAGATAAGCATTCATCTTCGTGTACATGATACGATCGGCCCTCACACAATCGGGTTTCGTTTGCGTGCCCACGATTTAGGGAAAAGAAAAACTGAAGCACTTCGTTTTACCAATTTTTAGCACTCACGCACGATGGTGTCGAAAAGTTCCGAATAAAAAATAGAATTCAAAACAAAAATAGCAGATGAGCATGTTGACGAGTTTACATTTACAATATCTCGCGTAGGGGTGCGCATGGGACACATTCAAATTCAATTCGAATTCATTTTGGGCAAGCCTTGCGTGACAACTCGTCTGGTGAAGTGGGTGCGTTTTTCCGCGAGATAGCACAGGAACGTATGCAGGACGAGGACCCGGCTAGTTTTCTTTTCTCGCCGCATTCCAACAAGCACCGGTGCCTCCTCTGGGGTCATCATATTATTGGCGCATCAATATCTCCTCCGGTGGTACACAGGCTCGCTTCGTTGCATGCAGCCGCTCGCTGGACCCCAAGAATCTGTCTTTCCCTCGTGCGGCGACCCGAGTTGCAAACACGAACCAGTGCAGCTGTGCAGGACCAAAATGCTGGAAAGAGCAGCGGCAATGCAGCATCGCTGTCTTCCTCTTCTAAACGAACAAATACCATGTTTCTGTTTGGTACTCGACCTCGTCTCAAGTTAAGCATGCCGTCAATTTCCTTCCTCTCGGAGTTTTAGCACTACACTCGTCTCTTGAGATTCAGCCTCCTGAAGCCCTCATTTGCTCTGTCTTCGTCTTTCCTTTGAAAAATGGGTGATAGAATCAAAATACATACCGTCGAGCTGCAACACACTCAGACCCACACGGTCACGGTAGTCTCCAGTCAGCATCACTTTCTTGAACAACGAAAGCTTGCGGCCTGGCAATAGTTGGTGATACGACGATTTTTGCAACTTCATTTCTTCGTCGCTGTCAGTTTGGGAGGTTTCATCTATGTCTGCACAGCGCCTGCAGCTTCACTAATAACGACAGTCTCAGATTGATGATCCAGTTGCAATTCCAATGTGCCAGCAGTTTGTCGTCCACCCCTTTGGATTTGATGTATCACTTCTATCATTATCATATCCAGAAATTAATAATCAAAATCAAGGGGCTAAGTCGCGCTCATGTCCGCACGAATGCAGCCTTTTCCAAACCATGTGTGCGTCTGCCGCCCGATTTCCGCTGCGGTCGCACCAAATCCAGAAGCAGAAAGGACAAGTGCCTCCGTGAAAAACCCTAGGGCATACCACTGCGCCCACACCTCTGCCATACCCACCGCCAGCAGAGCGAGCGAGCTTCGGTCCAAATGTACGACTGCGTTGCTGAATCTTTGCCGTGTCACGGGGTCGTGAAAGCTTGGGCCGATCAGTTTGCCACTTTCGTACCAGTCAGCGAGTTCCGGCCAGTCTTCTGTCTCTGCGTCCGCAGCCAGAAAGAAACGCGTAGTCCGCGGGTCCAAGCGCAGATCGCTCTCGACCTGCGATGCGCAAGCCAGAAATTCCGCAAGTTCTTCGCGTTGGTGGCGCTGCGGGTCGCGCCACCGGTCCGAAGACGCATTGCCCGCGCGAAAATGTATCCCGATCAAGCTGTGCACCTGATGCTGGTAGTAATCAACACGCTCGGCGCTGTGAGACGAAGAAGATGAAGATGCTGAAACTGTTTTTGTTATGTTGCTGGTAAAAATGCCTTTCTCCGTGCTGTTGTTGTTCGGCAACTCGGAAGCTGATACCGCACCAGACTTCTCTAGAGATACTTCAACATTGTCAGCTCTGGGCAGTTTGAGCTGTGCGACGCCAGGACTCAGATGTTGATTTTCGGGGCTGGTGCTACTTCTAGATTTCGTGTAAATTGGGCCGTCTCGGACGTAGTTGAACCAGATGGCGATGCGGTTTGAGAGCAAATTTGTTGGCTGGAATAGAACCTCAAAGAGATGTGCGTGCAGGAAGGGAGTGCTGAGCAGAATCTCGCGCACTTTCGACGGCAGGTTTTTTCGGGCCAAGTCCGACTGCAGACAGGGCATGGTAATGCGCTGGTTGCTGTGCAGAACCCAGTGCTTCTCGGGGGAGTCGCGAACGTCCGCAATGGCTTCCTCGAGTTTGTCATTACGATTGGCGTGCAGGCCGGGAAGGCCGACCGACCCACGGAGGCGCCAGTCCACTAGACCCGTTGGCTCTAATAGGAGACCAATCGGCAGCGGACGGGGCGAATCGATGTAGAACGCGCGGTTCGTCACGAGTGCGAGCATAAAGAGGCCCAATATCCCGTGAAGACGATCACCATGTCCTCCACAGAACCCGATGGAGGCACACCGATACACGAGAACTCGTTCACTTTTCTGGTTTTGCTTGATGAATTGCAGCAGGACATTGTCCTTTTCCAATGCGCCCGATTCTCCTCGCGTGTCGTCGCCCCTGCTCTCCACCTGCTGCCAATGCCGCAAGTTGTAGTGTCGCCACGTGGTTGATGATTGGAGCGATGGGTAGTCAGCTTGACCCTGCTGAGGATGATGGTGAGACGACAAAACCCCCTCCTGTTCCTGCAGCCCTGATATTTTGTTGATCTCTTGCATCCGCAGGTCGGACCTCTTGTTTTCTTCTACAAGAACTCCCATTTGCCCTGAACTGCTGACGCTGCGTGTAACTGTGATCTCGCGGGCCGGTGGTCGCATAGCCAGGACCTCTGTCATCGCGGCACTGGAGAAGGAATCGCAAGAGTGTGTCGTGGGCATCTCCAAAGGTGTAAGTGAGGATTTTTTATCTGCGGACCGATTGCGCGATACCTCTTCAACAAGCACCTGCCGAAAATCCTGAATAGTCGCATCGATTTCCGCTCTTCGCTGAGGATGTTCCTTCGGTAGGTCTACACTTTCGAGTCCGAGTTCTGGCACACGATATACAGTTTGAAACTGGTCTGGCTCCGCAAACCGCGACATAAGCTCACAGGGCGTGTAAAGGAAGAACCGCCGCCACAATAAGACACACCCTCGAAAGTGCTGACATGTCGGCCATAGCGCCGCGAGGTTGCTGCTCCTTGACACCACAATCAGTTGCATATTCCTATTCGGAGGAAGCTGTTTTTCGGCGACTCTTCCCGACGAGTCTGAAGCGTCTCTGTCCGTTATCACAGGAAAAAGTGTAGACGTAGACGGTTTTAAGAAAATGCAACAAAAAAATTTTGTGAGCACCCTAGAGGATATTACGAATGCCATAAAAACACGTGCTCACATGGCTAGCTATTGCGGGACTCCTTTGTAGCTTAATTCATTTGCGCTAGCTAGTGCAAAAGGTCTGGGCGCCGTCCTGCCGATCCATCAAGTGCCGCTCGAGAAGACCTGTCTGGACAACCAATGTTCCTGGCCCGGGGTTGTAACGCCCCAGAAACAGGCCGGCTGGGTGGAGTCTGCAACTTTCCGGCTGAGAGTCAGGCGATTCTCCGGCGGGAACGTCAGCAGGGTTTCCCTGCGAGAGGGCTGGGCCGCCGCAAATAAGGCGCTAACCCAGTTGGCGGAGGCGAAGCTGATTGACAGTGAAGCGATGCGCCTGCTCACGGCTCGCGAAACCCTCGCAGAAGCCCTGGCGAACTGTGTTGATTGTCTCTAGGGAATTCGTCTGCTGTTCAAATTTTGCGACTTATCTGCTCACCATTTTGAACAAAAAAACCGGAGTTCGGAAATTCGCGGGAGATTGGAAATTTTGCCTGCCTCCAAGGCCAAATTTCCAAGGTACCTCAAAAACCGTCTACATCGACTCGAGACTGCATGGCATGGTCCATGTAGACGGTCAAAAAGTGGCCCTGACCAACTAAAAACCCCAGAAAAACCGTCTACGTCGCGTCTAGACTGAGTGCTATGGTCGATTCAGGGGCTCCAAAAGGGTCGCCAGTCCCGGGACCCCGTTTTGGAAGGGCCGAATCGACCATAGCAGGCAGTCTGGAGGCGATGTAGACGGTTTTTTGCAGACGTGGCTTTTTTGAGCTCAAAATGGTGCCAGATGAGCACTTTTTTCTGCCGGTCTCGGGGAGACCCTGAAAAACCGTCTACGTCGCATCTAGACTGCATGCTATGGTCGACTCAGCCCTTCCAAAACGGGGCCCCGGGACTGGCGACCCTTTTGGAGCTCCTGAATCGACCATAGCACGCAGTCTAGATGCGACGTAGACGGTTTTTCTGGGGTTTTTTGTTGGTCAGGGCCACTTTTTGACCGAGTGGCGAGCGTCTGGGTCGCGGTGGCGGAGTCGGAAGAGGGGGAGGACGCAGAGGAAACGCGGCAGTTTGCACGATGCGATCGCCTTTTCCGGGTCCCCTACTCATGCAACGTTTTTCAACGTTGCGACCGGGTCCAGGAGGCGGCACCGACGTGGAGGCGAAACAGGGCCAAGCTGCACAATTTGCCTTCCGTCGCTGGCGCCCTTTCGCACTAGTTATCTAAATTCAATGCAGCTACATTGGAGTCCCACGGAAGCTAAGATCATGACCTACTTGATTTACACCCATTCAAAATTCCTACAGGGCGCGTAAAAATTTTTTTTTCGAAAAATTGAAAAACCGTCTACGTCTACACTTTTTCTTGTGATATCCGTGGCCATAGCGGTCTCGGCCGCAGCTCCATCAGCAACAACATACTCACTCAAAAATTCCTCCCATGCCTGTGCGTGCGCTCTTACCAGAGCTTCATCTGCACCGTCGGGTATTGCAACCATCAAAAAAGATTTTCTTTCTGCAGCTTGCCGATGCCCGAAACTGTTCGTCTCGTGTCCACTTCTTGTTGTGGTTATCGTAATAGTTCTTTCTGTTGCGGTGGGCATATCCACGGATGTGGCTCCTGTCGCGTCGCCTTGTGCTACTTGGGTCCCGCTCTCTATAACGGTAGCGCCAAACGTCAATTCGACAAAGTTGAAACTCTTTGGCTTTGCAATGCATACAATCAACACCAAGAATTCCTAAGCCGTGGCGCGTGGCGGCTTTTCGACGTAGCAGTAGAGCCGAGATCCAATAATTTGTCGCGCTGCTTTGACTTTGGGCGTGGAGTAGAGGTGCTTTTGTCATGCTCCTTCGCAGCTCTATTCCCAAATCCGACCAATCTATTTACCATGCATAGGCCTCATTTGCCTGCTCCCCAATACAGGCACCTGGCCGTTGTGCTCTGCGTTTTATTTTTGTGCATCCCGAAGTATTTCAACTTAGTGAATTGCGAACCTGACGCTCCTTCCATATCCTCGATGGGACGGGGCCAGCGCAGGAAACACGGAGGCTCCCATGGCAAAATGTTTTCGAGTAAGGTTACAACACGTCCGACGTCGCCCATAGCGCTTTGGATCTGTGCTCCCAGATTTTCTTGCTCACGCAGAAGGAGTGATGCAGAATCTACAACATCGTCCCCGTTGTTCCCGTTATCTTCTGACACGGCAGCAGCTGCTGCTGCTGCAGCAACTGCTCTGTCCGCTGCTGCCGTTGCATGATAGCCGATGCTCATCTGCATAGCTCGGTTGAGGGAGGCTAAGAGACTCTGGTCGCCGCCAGGAACACCCTGCACAATGGCGCGGTCGTAGTCCCGCAGAACCCGGCAGAGAGGCACCTCCGCGTCCAGCACCTGCTGCCGCTGTACGAAGAGCGCTTTCAGATCCGCACGAGTCTGCGGTGGCACAATGAGGAGGGCGTGGGCCCAGGACTGCTCTGGCCCCTCCCCCTTCTGCAGGTGGTACAGCAGCAGTAGCAAGGTTTCCGTCTGGTGCAGCAACAAGTTTCCGACCTCCAAGATCAGCGACATTGTGGCGTCCACCCATGGCTTAAAAGCGTTCGCATACAGGTGCCCATAAGTCAAGTCCACCACCTGGTGGTGGGCCCCAGCTTCACCTTCATCACTATGATATCTCTTCCTCGTGTCCAGATTATCATCCTGGTTCAGCATGTGGTGGTCAGCCTTGGCGCTTGTTTTCCGATCCATCTTTGTGTCGTTTAACGCGTCCTCGCCTGCCGCCCGCTCATGTTGGTGTTGCCCCTCGACTACAGCGGTTCTGCCTTGTGGGTAGTTCAGAACGTGAGGGAGGAGATGCTTGGACTCAAAAATGCGCCCCCGCTGCAGCTCCTCGACATAGGCAAACCGGCATTGATCATCCTGCTCCAAAATGACCGCATCTGTCATCATTTGTCGGCGCCAAACTTCCTCCGCGTCTTCGCTTGCTCGTTTCCAGTGCTCCAAAAGCTTCTTTTCCCGATTATGTCGCGGATCTAAATGTGCCTCTGTGCTGGATTCGGAAGTGATGCGCTGCTTTGGATCCGCCCCTACTGCACCTGAATACTTGTTGTCGTGGTGGTGGTGCTCCTTCTCTACTATTTCGGCAGCAGTTGAACTGCCCCCAGTGCGCCCTGATGTAGGGTCGTCTTGATCTTCATCCTTCGCCGGCTTCATTGTGCCCATATCAGACGCAGGCCCGAGTCCGGTGGCGCTGTCGGATATTGGGGGGAAGCACGTCGCGCACAGGACAAAACTCTCCGTGGCGAGCAAGAGAGCAGCCCACTGCTCTTGTAGCTTGTTGGTCATTTGGAAGGACTGGATGCGACTTTTGATGAGATGCGTCGCGCAGTACTCATCCGATAGATGCCCGGTTTGCGCCAAAAACTGCGCGTGGCTGTCGAGCCGGTCGTTGAAATTACGGTTGATAAATTGCCACTTGTGAACCAGTTCTTCGTGAGCCAGCCTCAGGTCAGTGCTGTTCTGGCAGCAAGTCGCCACATTTTTAGTGCTACTGTTCTCGTCTTCAGGGGACCAGGTATTACCTCCTCCGTCGCTATACAAATCTTGTGGACATATGTCACGTTCTTGAAAGACTCCCATGTGTTCGATCGCGCCTTGTTTTTCGTCCGCGAGGAAAAATCTGCCCGCATGCTGGGAGGCCCACGCCAAATGAACAGGCACCGCATCAGCCGAAGTACACCACTGCTGCACCAACGAAACAGGGTGACGGGGAGCTGTCGGCGTTGCCCGAATCGTCCCATCAGCAGTGATTTTATCTTGGGCAGATGAAAAAATATGATGTTGAAACGTGACTGAAACCAAAAGCAGGGAAGAACAGAGGCGACCTACTACCGCTTTCGGAATCGATCCCCACACATCAACCAGGCCGTTAGCCTCCATCTCCTCAGTTATGTTTCGATGAAGCGAGTCGTGGTGGTCTGAATTATCATCTTCACTGCTGTCATTCTTGCCTAACTTACGTGGTAGGCGAAACTCAAAACCACGGGTGAACAGAGGATGAACAGCGTACTTCTACGTACTTGATAAATGATATATTAATCAAGAACAGTTTACAGAAGAGAGCAGAGTCACACTTTCCCGCAGGCGAATTTCTATTCCAAGAGCAAGTCATTGCCATACGGTACGTATGCATTTCAGAAAAAAGGAACAAGTAGGCGATCATGCCATTTTTTGACCAAGAACCACACGATCGATCCTGATGGTACTGATCTCCAGCGTATGCATAGACCGGGTAAGCACACCGAGGACACTTAGACAGTTTCATGTATCTGTGAAGGTCTTTTGTCGACGTCGATCCTCGAATGACAATTTTTTCCTCAAGCTATACAAAAATCTGCTGGAGCCCAATCTTGGGTGCACATCAACCCACAATGATGATTAGTTCGAGCGGGGCACGGCACAGCTCCCTCCTCCGACGCGCGGCAGGAATAGCCTGCCCTAATGCCCTAGTGGTAACGTCGTTGACTGAGGCTAGATTTTTTCGTCATTCAAGTGAAGAAAAACCCCCCTCGCGATCATTGGGCATCGTTTCATTCGGGGCGGGCTGGCATGTTTCGCACATTCCGAGGAACAGGGCGGGACTACCAGCACACGCACAGGAGCCAGGACTTGTTTGTCCTATTCTTTCTTTGGCCTAGAGGTCAAGGATCGACAACGCGGCCACACTTGCGGCTCGCTGTGTTAACGCTCTGACCCCCGAGCCATACTGATTGCGCAGTAATCACGCTTGAGGGGACTCGGGCCACTCCGTTAGTCCTTAGTTGAGTGAAGTTCCACAGGTTAAGAGCTACACCGTGGCGAGCTGATCAAGGCAAAGCACATCCCAACCGTCTGAATACGGCGCGCTGGATCCTTTCCCTGCTAAGTCTTTCATAGTGAGACCAGGGGAAGCCCCCCAGAGACGGCGCGACTCACTTTTTACAAACCTTCGCGCGGCACTGGCGCCTATCTAGATGCGGTGGGCCAACTTGCTCTGAAGATGATTCGCAAAAAATTCAGATCGGCCTGGCGCGAGTGCTCTCTACACAGTCCTACTCTCCCTTTCGTGTTTTTCTAAGTCGCAAGGGTTGCTCTCTTTCAGCAGCCAACTTTTTCTCGGTCGGTTAGCTGGTTGCTAGTCGTTTGAGGAAGTGGCTACTGCGGTTGCTGAGCGCTGGTTGCTTTGTGTGGCAGAGGGCGTACAGGGGTAGGGATGGGGGGTCTATGTTAGCAAGCAAGGTGTCTGGACAAGGGGACCGGCCCCGAGGAGTTTGCCGCACGTCGTCGCAGCGCCGTCATAGATTGATTGGAGACTACTTCTTTCTCGCTCTACAAACGAACCGACTTATTCGCTCTAGTTACGAACATCCTTGAGCCACGATGGCTACGGTCAAAAAAGGCGCATTTCATGTCTTGGTCAAAATAAAGCGCTGTATCACATTTCGAAGAGTCAGCGCCGCGGCTTTGGGATCCGCAGCAGACAAATCTCCTCCGCTCGCTCTCTCAGCCACCCTACGCGTGGCTGGTGAAAACTTTCGGCGCCCACGAACATCCCGCCCATGGCAGACACGTTTGCGACGTCCCAGCCCGCAAGCGGTTGATTAAACGCCGAGGCGTCCCAAAACATGCGACGCATGCTCCTCACACTGCGGGTATCCCAGTCGCCCAGTGCCTGGCTGAACCTCGCCGCTGCATAAAACATACTGTCCATATTCTCCACGCTGCGAGTATCCCAGTCCGCCAGCGGTTGGTTGAAGTCTGTCGCCCCGTGAAACATGCCTTGCAGCGATTTCACTTTGCGGACGTTCCAGCTTCCAATCGGCTGGTTGAAGTGGGTGGCGTTGCAGAACATGAATTCCATACTTCTCACGCTGCGAGTATCCCAAGGTAATGGCTGGCTGAAGCTCTCCGCCTCGGTAAACTACATGCATTCCATCGTTGTTACGTTTTGGACATTCCAGTTCCCAATCGGTTGGTTAAAAGTCCCGCATTGACAGAACATGTAACTCATGTCTGTCGCTCCGGAGACGTCCCAGCCAGAGATGTCAATATTGAACATCTCGGCACCCGAGAGTAACCAACTGAGGTTTTCGATGCGCGATAAGTCCCAATAACGGATAGGCCCGTACTTCTCCTCCACCTTCGCCCGGCGCTCCAGCTCGGGAGCGTCCGGGACGTCGCATTTGAACGGCCGGAGGGCACTAATCAAGCTGCCGCGATTTTCAAACGGCTCATACTCTGACACAGCTTTCATGACATAGCGGATCACCAGGTCTGGTTGTGCCTCGTCCAACGGGCGGCTGCTGGAGTCTCCACTCTCCGATGCGGCGCCTTGAGTTTTATTTTTTTTTTTGCCGTGCTGCTGTAAGTTCCAGACTCTCAGACTTATTTCGACGATTGTGGGACAGCGGGAACGGCACCCGGACCCGCCCGCTGTGCTTTATAATGCGCTCCCACGCGCGAATTTTATTTCATCATCTTTTGCATCACACACACACTTACTTACTTAATTAATCCTGTACGTTTACGCAGTTACTTACTTAATACTGTAGTACGTTTACGCACCACACCGACATAGGGATGCTGCGCTATCATATATGCGGTGCACATTCCACCCGAAGAACAGCAGCTTTCGAGCATACCATGCCGATCAGCGTCCCCACCTGTTTCCGCGTTAGCACCGTGGCCCTTGCCGCTCTCCCCGACCCCGGCTTCGCCGGCATCCTGGTCCTGCTTGAGAAGGTGGACCAGTGTCAGCGGTTCCTGTTGCAATGTAGTTGCGCCGGCTGTCGGGGCCCCTGCTGATACGGTCGCGGGGACAATGGAATCCGTGAGAACCTCGTCACCGTCGCCCACGAAAAGCAAAATGTCACGGCCTACAACTACCTGACGCCGGCCACTTGGCTGCCACGGTGGGAGTGTCCCCATGAGGATTTCCGCGATAGATTCGCGAACGTCTTGTATGGAGGTAGTGAGCGACATAATCCAGATGTCTTTGTTGGGCGACTGGGGTAAAGATTTGGCAGAAAGTTTGTTGTAGAAGGCGACCCCGCACATCGCGGGCCCTTTGCCATCATCGTTTTGTTTTTGGCCCTGTTGATGTTGTGGCGTCATGATTTGCGTTTTCCTTTTCTTTGTTCCTTGAGACAAAAGGGCTACGGCCACAATCTTTATCAAATCAAAAACAAAACTTACTGTAATAAAGAACCAGAGTAGATAGGCAGAGCTTACGAAACCTCGAAAGAATCCAACCGGCCTCGGCGTGCCCCATTTTTGCTGCTTCGTCCGATTCATACTCATACATCAACTTGCAGTTTGTTCTTTTAGGAAAAGGAAGGCAAAAACAGAAAAAAGAAAAGAGGGCAGAACAAATTTGCTATGCAGGCCTGGTCGCAAGTACTTGAACTTGCTCCAAGTCCCGAGGCGATCGCTTGCTCTGGGTGTTCTTAGGAACCGTCAGCACGCGTTGAGCATTTTTGATATTGTTTGTACTTAAAAAACATTCGACGAAAAAAGTACCTTAACGCTCGCGGGTCGAGGCTTTGAGTTTTTCTTTTTTAACCGACATCGCACAAGTCTTTGTCTTGTTTGAGGTAGTGATACTTTGGGAGTGTCTCTTTCAAGATCTGTATCAATCTCAAGTGGTTGCGGTCCTCGCGCTCGATGCCAGTCGTCCGTGGCACCGCGATCGGTTCGTGCACCGCGTTCGTGGGAAACACAAGGCCGTCTGACACGAAAACGTTGCTTATCGCTGTGGCCGGCCCCCCTGGCGGTGCAGCTACAACGGATCTGACGGAGGAGGAGGAAGACAACTGGCTTCCGCTTTTCCCACTCAGCTGTATGTTGACGCCAAAAATGCAGTCCGAACCAACCCCGGCCAAGTTGTCCAGCTTGGCGTTGACCTCGACCACGTTTGCGTCGCCCATTTTCTGAACGTTCTCAACAAAGCAACGCACCTCGAAGAGGTTGTGATCCCCGACGTGCATTCCTTGAGGCAGTCCCTCGTTCCGCAACACGCACTGTTCCTCCAACACATTGCCCTTACCAAGAAAGATCGGACCCCCGGTCGCCTCTACGCGCGCGAACGGGTGCAGCACGCAATCCTCGCCTATCACAATCGGAAACTCACCCCTCAGTTCGGCTTCCGCGCAGATCACTGCTCCCATCGATATCTCAATGCGCTGATGCATCTCGTCCCGATGCAGCTCCAAGTGGCCAATGTCGATGTTGTTATCACCTCGAGACATCTTGATCTTTCGCTTTCCTGGGTTTGTCCTCTTGTAATAAATTTAGATTCTGGGTAAAAAAAACCTGTCTTGTTCACTATTATCTTCATAGACATGATGCCTCACGTCGTTCACCACTGACTCGACTAGCTCTGGTACTATTTTCTTAACAAAGTTTAAATACATCTGTTTCTATATCTGAGTCCAGGTGCTGGGTCACATTTGCTCTTCGACTTCTCCTTTTGCTTGTGCGTTTGCCGTTGCCCTCAATTGCGTATTTTCCGTTTCACTATACACTAAAAACCCAATTTTAATTTTTTTCAATTCCAAGAGGGAGTTCTTGTAGTTCTAATATGTAATTTAAATTTTCTTGTTTCGACTCAACTGGCACTCGGTTTCTAACACAGCAAACGTTTGGCTTTGGACACCAATTGAGCGAGCGGAACAAACCACTCCGATTCTCGGGAAGATATGCATCTTCGCCCATGGCCATGCTGCGCGACAGGCAACGGCTTCCATTAATTATGCTGCTGGCGGTCGTTCTTTTATTTTTCTATCGACAAATTCAAATTTCGCTTCGAAAAAAAGTTCGCAAACATGAATGCGCTGTATCTGACGGTTGAATTCCGATAATTGTAGGACTGCATGTGAAGCAGGTGGTGCACATCTAAGTAGGTACAGAACAAAGACGTTGACGACACTGACGATGCGCCGAATAAATGTCTCTGTTGTCTGCTTTTTTTCAAGTCCGGTGACCATTTTTTCCCCTAGCGCTAGCTTACAATCGCTCCATTCATCTCCGAGATGAGGAGCTCCTCGTACATGGTCAAAAATCTGCTTCATGGTTGACATCATGATAGAGAATGTGACCAGTTACAGCTCGAACGCATCATCTCCTTGCATATGCATTTCTTCTCAGCACACAACAAGCGTCACCCCGTGCTATGCCTTTTAAAATTTCAAGTTTAACATCGAATGTAAGCAGCTGAAGAACCAACATGATCGACAGATGGATGGTCGGGGATGAAATGGAAAGCTGTATCTAGAACAACCATGAATTAATATAAAAAAGCGATCGCAGGTTATCATGTTGATCGTGACGGCGAGTACAAGTACACGGCGCCTCGTCCATCAAGAGTCTGTGATGTGACAACGGACACACAAATCTTCCTGCGCCGCACGAAGCAAGAAAGAAGAGCACCACGAGAAGTGTTGCAAGAAATAAAAGGTAAACAGGATGAGGAATGTTTTACTGCTACGCACCTCCTCCAGCGCTAGCATTGGTTTTGGTTGCCTTTCAACTTCATGTTAAAAAATTTCTTGGTCTTGCTCTACACATGATAGGTATGTAAGTAAGTATTTGCACACCAAAAACGAAATCAGGCAAAGAGCTGCATCCTCCTGCTAGAGACGGGGACGGCAACAAGTCAGCACTCGCCATCTGAGGCTAGAAAAGGCGCACTCCTTTTTAGAAGTGAGTCTCAGAATTCAATGGTGGCGATGACCGGGATATGATCTGAGATGTTTTCCGCCCACAGTTCGTCCAGAGCTCGCGCGTAGACCACGCGCTTTTCACCCGCCACGAAAATGTGGTCAATGTCGAGCTTGCGGGTGGTGGGGCTGCTGATGCGGGTTTCCGGAAAGGAAAACTCCCGTGTCTTATTCATGTTCAGAACGTGCCGCAACTCGTGCTCCTCAGGAATTGGTCCTGCGTACTGCTGGAATCGGGGTTCCAATCTCTGTCCTCTGTAGTTCATGTCGCCCATAACAACTGCGCCCACTATTTTTCCTGTTTGCATGGCTAGCGAAACCTCCTGCGCAATCTGCGGCCAGTACCGTGGACGATGAAAAATATTACCGTGCGCATTATACACGTAAATGAATCGCGCTGGCACTGCTGCTGTTGGCGTTCCGGCTGCTGTTGTTTCCGCTGGCAGGGCGATGGTGACGCGAGAGTAACCGAAGGCGGGAAAGGGAAAGTCCGAAGGCCAGGTACCCACCAGCGACTCAGCTTTCCGCAGAGAAACTCCTGCGTGGGTAACAATCGGCTGCCCGCCGAAGCTATTGGCCCGTACTTTGTTGCCGTACACAAACGCGCACCTCGCTGGAGTTGTCGTTGAAGATGATGACGCCAGCTCCGAGGAGGATGATGACAATAAAGCGCTGTTGCGTTGACAAAAGGATGCGTAGTCTGCATTTTTCGTTTCGTCCTGGGGTGTTGTTCCCACTGCCGCGAGATACAATCCGAAGTCCCGAGCACCCAAAATTGGGTGCTGCGCTTCCAGTTCCTGTAGTCCGACCACGTCAACGCTGGGTGACATCAGGCGCGACAGCTTGTCATATAGCGCGCCAAAGTTTTGTTGGATGCTGAAATCGCTGCCAGGAAAGCCCCGCTGCGCATTCCAAGTGAGGAAGGTGAGCTGCGTGGCGTTCGCGGGGCCTGCTGTGCTCCGCTGATCCACAATGGAGTCGGTATGCAAGTGCGAAAAGAGCGGGTGCCGCACCAGGGTCGGCGCCGGCACTGGGAGAAATACGCCAACCTCCCCCGAGAAAGCGGGGCACCAGAAAGCCAGCACCACACACGCAAATGGTAGCGTCTCTCCCACCGCATAGTGTGGTCTTTTTCTAGCAGGCATCTTCGGCACTTCTACTTCGCTTGTTTGCGGCGGGATTGGAGATGTTGACGCCGATGACGTGCTGCCGCCGGTGCGTCGTGAAGAAGTTCCAAGCTCCTGATCCGGCGCCTCGGCACCTCCTCCTGAAGTGCTCGCACTGCCATTCACCTCCGTTGCCCCAGGAACGCCGGGCCAGGTGCACACGACCGCCAGCCCCATAAAAATAAGGCCCCAGCAGGATCCGAGTGCGAAGCAGGACTGTATGGTAAGGATAGGCAAATTCCACAGAAATCCGACAATCCACACAACATACTGGAGTACGAAACCGCGAACGACGTGGTGCTTTTATGCAAGGGATGAAGCGAGTGATATTAGACGAGCTAGGTAGACCCTCGAAAAATATCATGATCCTTATTGTTCTCATCTTCATCATAGTCGTCGTTATGATCTATCCTGCTCCGCGGGAAATTCCGTAGCGGGTTGAAAATACAGCAATCATGTCAAAGCGCAGCAAATTGCATTGGCAAAGCTGTAGCTGTAGGATGACATCCGCATAAAGCAGAAGCAGCGCCTGAACTAGAAACAAACACTCGCTTCCCCTTCATAGCTTCTGCAGCACAATCTGCTTGCTGAAGCTTGTAGACTGAAGCAGTCGTGCCAGATCGATGGCCAGGAAGACCACGAGGGCGACAAAAGCGAGGTTAAAGACTGCGGCACTCGCGCTCGCGGCTTCTGCGGGTACCAGTGCGGTCTCGGAGTTTTCGCGAGAAAGCACTTCCCACACAATGTAGTAGACCGTAAGAGCCACGAGCGAAAGCAGGACAGGAACCCCGTCTGGGCGTACCCTTTTCGGCAAAGGTGGATCTGCGAGCTGGTCGTCGGAGTGCTGTGCTTGCCTCATTGCACTATCTGCATTCGTGCGGTGCAACAGGACTTGAACGAAGGTATCGCCCAAAAACTGATACAGTAGTGTCACCGGGCCTCCGAGAACCACATACACGCCGAAGAAGAAGAGACCGGTTGGTTTCTGCTCATGCCCGTTCGCGTTTGGGTAGCGAAATAAGAACATCGGGCTGCCAACGTAGAAGATCACTGCGCCCAAACTTGTTAGCAGAAGCGACAATAGAGCAGACAACACCGCTGGGCGCCATGGCAGGTTGTGGATGATATTGCTAGCAGTAGAGTCACTGCTCCCTTCGACTTCACCCGTGATGTGGCGTGGCTGGTTCTTCTTGTCATTACATGCTTCATCATGATCATCGTCAGCTCTGTCGACGTCCTGACGGCCTTCATTCCGTGGCTCCGGCCGTTCTTCCTGCTCTTCTTGCCGTCGAGACCACCGGTACAGCCCCAAGATAGTGGCGCTCACCAAGCCGCACACCAGCAGAAAGAACCAGGTTCCGTGCAGAATCGGGTTCAAACTTCCCGTCGCGCACTTCATAGCATATATCAACGAGGTGAACATCGGCGTATAGCCAAGATACTTCCCAACGCGCGGCAGTGCAAGAGTAGCTCTCGCTGAAGATGACGCAGCCTCCTTGCCTTTCATTTTTGCCGAAGCCTGCTGCTCGTCTGGAGCGGCGGTCTTGTTATCGTTTTCGAGAAGGTCAAAAGACCAGTAGACGAAGAAAAAATTGATCCAGATGCAAATGACGCAAAACGGGCGCCATTGGGTCAGTCCCATCAGCAGAAGACTCGGGGGTAACACGTAATCCAGCAGCCAGTCCCGGCGCGGTTCTACAAACTCACGAAGCAGAAAAAGCGGTCTGCAGCATCGAAAATTCTGGAAGGGGCAACACCCTTCTTGGTGGTGTCCTGCTGTGCGTCTCGTCGCAGTGTTTTGAGTATTTTGCGCAAGGACGGAGGGTGTTGCAGACGGTGCGGCTCTTTCATCTTTATTTTCTGGCGCTCCGTTGTCCGTTTCGCTACTGCCGTGGTCGAGTCGGGAAGCGGGCGGCGGCACCCGATGCGCCCCTTCTCGCTCCAGATTCGACGCAACACTGGATAATGCACTACCAGAACCAGCATCATAACGACCTGGTGCACCTCGTGATTCTACGTCTCCCGTTGGGGGCGCAACCACTTCGATCTCTTCCATTGCAGCAACGTGGTCCTCGGTGCCTTTTTCAGCTCCCTGCTTCGTTGTCGTTGAAGTTTCATCTTCACTCAAAACTGGAGCAACGCGCCGTTTTCGACAGACGTTTAGCCGACCGCCATGCAGTAAGAGGAAAAAGGTCGACCACAAGTAGATTAAGGCGTGCAGTGTGAACGCAACTTGGTTCCACGGTGGCCAACCCACTCCGCCCATGGTCCAGTAGAAGGCTTCGAACCAGACGAAAGTGAAGGCAAACAGCCAAAAACGACGGTAGAACGCCATCGCTGAGCGCGCAAAAAGCAGCAAGCATTGCGCTCCTGCTCCGTCGACCGCTTTCGTTTGGTCTTTGGGCTTTTCATCATTCGTCTCCCGGCCAATGTCCTCCTGTGCGCGGTCGCTCGACGTTGTCACGGGAGATTTTTTATTCTTGGGCTCCACGATATGGGTGTGTCAGGTTCGAAATCGCCAAAGTTCAGCAAATTCAAAGAAATGCGACGAGGAGTAGGACACCCAAGCACCACACAGAAAACAGGCACCAAATAACTGTACAGGAGCGAGAGGTCCTACCAAGTGAGAGAGATTGCACTCAAGCCTGTTTAGGGATCGAGATGGAGGGCATGGCAAATGAAAATGGATGGCACGGCTCCGAGAAGTAGTTGCACTTGTACGGGCATCGGCATGGCAAAAGCATAAGAAAAAACTGCATCTATTTGCATCTATTTGCTTCCAAAGTTGCTTGTCATGCGCTGCACAGAAATTCAGCTTTCTTCCAACTTTTATCGAGTTTATGAAGCAGACACTTCAACTTGTTAATTTGTCGACTTCAAAACCTGACGCTTCCATACACGACAGCAGACAGCGGAAGAGATCTTGTGACCACAACATCTACAGCCACCGCAACGGTTTGACCTTGACGAGCAACATCTTCGTCGCTACAACGGTCTTCATTGCTCGTGTGAGAAGCCGAGCTCTGTGCCTGCAGCACACTCCGCGCTCGGGGCTCTAAATTTCCATGCGGATCTACTTCTAGCTCCCGCTGCTCAGCAACATTCTGGTGGGTTCTTGGGCTTGAGACAGCCATACTTAATATGATTATGCGTCTATCCCCTGCTCCACTGCAGAACGGCAAACGATGCTGCTGGTCTTCGAGTCTCCAGTTTTTTCGTCCGCACTGGAATGCAGCCACGGAGAAAGGCGCGACGCGTTCAAATAGCAAATACTATAACAGCGAACAACAGCAACATGCAAGGGATTTGCGAATACGATTACGAATTAGCGGAAGCCAGTAATAGTAAACCTGATTGAACATGAGCGTAAGACTTTTTTATTTTTCGTAAAATTTTACAAGCGAACGCCACCACAAGGAAAATTATACAGAAACCGACGTAAAGTGAGAGCTACTAGTCAAACGAAAACTCACGGAGAATGACGAAAAGGAACTAATAGTACTATGAGTTTGATGAAATGTGCGCGCTGCAGGAATGAGTCACAATGATGTGTGGCCGTAATACTAATGATATTGCCATTGTGGAAATTATAGCAGGATCATATTATACATGCGGGAGGCTGTGGCTCAGATATGCTTCATCACTTTCACTTTTATTCATTTCTCTTTCTGTGACTGGAAGTCGTGTAGAAAAAGCGGGAGCTTTACGTCGTCCGCACATCATGTTTTGGATTTCCATCGATGCCCCCTCTTACTTTCATACCGTCTACGAAACGCGTTCTCGTTTCTCTCATCGCTCTGGCGACTCTACTTTTCAATCTCCGTCGCGGTTCCAAAATGAGCGTGTCATGTCTCGGACACTTTGCGCCACTCAGAGGATGCCCCACGACAGCAGGGGCAGACGGATGACAACCTACCATCTTAACACACAACGCAGCAGCTGCAGGCGAGTTCATACTCAAACTCCACGCTTTAGTTTTATCGGATATTTCTTTATGTACGTAGTTCGACGTCTTGTTGTACGCTCACCCGGAGCTGCTTCTAAGGGATTCAAAGAGTTCGGCATAAAGTACAGGGTAAGACTAAGAGCGTTCATGTATCTATACGTTATGATCTTACTGCGCGTCCAACGGACCGCAATTAATTATAGCACTAGTGCCCAACGAGCACCTACAACGAAGAACAATGACCTAGACCTTGATGACGTTGACTAGTTGAAAACTGTTGTGTTCATTTACAATATAACACGTTCACGACGAGAGTTTCTACTCTTTTCCGCAAACCTACGCCTACGGTCGTTCTGGGCATTTTTACATTCAGATTTTACAGGGTACAGCTGCACAACAAACAACAGGGCTGAAGATACAATCATGTCGTCTATGTTGCGCTGACGAGATAGAAAACGATTTCGATACCCATACAACGTCGACGATCGAAGCAATAGAAGAAGCTACGCAAATTGAAATTCTACAAAGATGAAAGGCTAGCCGAAGTCACTCAGTGATGAGCTAGTATCTACCTTCGATTTTGAATTCTGAGACGTTGAAAGAAAAGCTGCCTCGACGTCAGGGTGCCCCCCGTCGCATTCATCAATTTGTAGCTGGTGTTGGATTCGTAACAAAGTATGTATTGATTGTAGGCTTTGCTTGCACTTGCGCTTATCGTTGCCCGTGAAGGTAATTGCAGTGCTGGTGCTTCTACTGTGTGTTGCTTTAGCTTAAGCACAAAAAGAAGAAGAAAAGAGATGTATGCCGGGTTCTAGCTCTGCCTCTATGTGTGGTCTTCACTATGTCAGAAAATCCGCTTCGGCGCAAAAAATAAGGCTCAACATGTCGTATAAGAACAAGTACAAGTGGAAGCTCCGTCTACTTAATATATTTGCTTTTCTTGATGATATTAACGATGTCCGCTGCATTCATCGTGTCGTAGTAGCAATAGTAGAGATGCGTAGTCTCATTTGAAAAAATCTGTCAGCGCAACGCGTGACCATTTGTTGTCTTGCAGCGGAGAGTTTGAAGTGCGCGTGGGCGCCAGACCAGCCTTCGCAGCTGTCGAGCTCGTTTCCTTATTTGAAGATGGCAGAGCTCCGAGGGCCTTTAGTCGCTCGTAAGCAGACAAGAAGGTTGGGCTACTCGTAATACTTACGCGCTTCGGGGGAGGGGATGCTGCGGCTGCTGGTGCTGGGCCGCCCGGTTGCTCCCCTATTGTGGTGGTGTTCAACGAGGATGTCGTGGCTGCGGGGGGACTCGTTGTTTTGACACTCTTATTCGTATAATTCGGGATCGTCGTCGTGCTACCTACAGTAATTGCGCTTGCGCTACTGCCGACCACGGTGTCCTTTTCTCCGTCTAAAATGCGCTGTGTAAGCTCAACATGCTGCTCTGGTGTAGCGCGGGCAGCCTCCTCGCGTAACCTTCGTGGGGAAAACGTGGGAGATTTCAGCTTCGGCCGTGGCGGGAGCGTGCTAATTGGCGCGCTAAGACGCCCCCCGGGCAGAACGCGGCGTTGCTGGACAAGACCAGTGTCGACTTTAGGAGAAGCCGAGCCCCCACCACGCTTGCTGCCCGCAGTGGCCGTTCTCGGTTGCTCCGCCGATTGATTCCCGACATCAGGACCACTCGTAATAGCATTTGTATTTTTCTCGTCTGCAGCGCTGCCAGTTTCGGAGCGCTCTGCTGTTTTGCTCTTCATGCTAGTAGTAGGGGTTGAAATCACGCGGGACGACGAAGACCCCGTCAAGAAAACTGTGCGGCGCACATGCTCGCGCCCTGCCTGTCGGCTTGCTGCTCCGGAGGATGACGTAGCACTGGAAGGTGCATTTCCATTTCCGAGACTGTCCGAGGAGGATGACCCAGAACCGGTCGAGGTACTGCTGCTGCTTCCCGTGAGACCGGGCCGCGGTTTCATGTCAGGTCGCACATACCCAGGCTCTCCGAGCTTCGGCGGCTCACGCGGCGGCGTGGAAACCGAGGGGGAAGAGGCTGCTGGAGACCGAATTCCTTGACTGGAGGTAGGCGAAAGGCTTTTGCCCTTCACTTCCAGCGTCAGGGAAGACGAGGAACTACTGCTGATCGTCGTGCTATTTGGAGGTTTCAGCACTGGTTCACAAACCAGCTCGCCGCCAGCAACTCCGCCGGTATCAAGTGTAAAAATGTCTGGGTCTGGAAGAGTGCAAGATTTGTGATGCAGGTTTTCCATGACCCACGAGGTCTGGAATGCGAGACCCAGCATGACAGATTCTTTGAGGTCTCTATCATGCCTTTCCCTTTCCTGCATGAGAAACCCCCTCCCAACTTGGTCAAAAGCGGACAGCTTTTGGTACTCACGCAACACAGATTTTTGCATCATTCAGATTTAGCATGACAAGTTCTAATCTTCCAGACCCAGACATTTTTGCATTTGATAGCCTGCCGAGGAAGTCGACGACGAGGCGCCATCAGGATTGTTGATGGAACCGCCTTTGCGATCGGCCGCCCTTTGCGCCGCCCTCAGAACCGCCTGCTCGGCCCGCTCCTTTTCTGCCTGCTTCTCCAAGTGTTCCGCAAATTTGCGCTCGAGGACATCAATTGCAACGCGGCCCTCAGACTTGTAAATCTCGTTTTCCCACTCCCACGGGGACGGAATCTCGTTTTCGCCGAGCATCTGCAAATTGAACACCTGACAAGATTTGAAGGCCTTTTTGTTCAAGAAGTTCATCTCGATAATTTCCTAAAACAGTTTGAGCACACGACTGGGACTGTCTTCACCACAAACACAAAGACAAAAAGATACATATATAAGCAGTGGCGATGGCAAGAAGTTCCTCTCTTTGCTATTTCCAGTTCGTCGTGGTCGTCCCGAGCATGATTTGTTGAGAAGACTACAACGAAACAGTGCGGACAAGTAAGAAGGAATGAGAATCGCAAAGGTTCCGCACAAAATTCAAACGTCACCGAAGATCAGACGTTTATTTTCCAAACATTTTTGCAGTTCCTCTAAACAAGATCAAGAAGCAGGGCCATCCTCATACGGTACCTTTAGCTCCTGAGAAGCGTAGAGAAAAAGCTCCTTGAGAAAAAGCATAAACTCCTTCCCGTGGTTCATGTGCCTCAAATGCGCTATCTCGTGCAGCAATATTGCGGTCAGTGTGCCCTTGGAGAGAAATTCCGTCCGGGGATCCCCCTTGGTCGGGTGAATCCGTACGCGAAGCAGAATGCTCGTTCGGTACCCCACTGTTTTTGTGATCTTCCCTGTTTCCGCGTTCCGAACCACCATGGGATCCTTCGCGGTGCTGCCTGCCTTTTTAGCGCAGCAATGAGCCTCGCCAAAAATATGGTACCTTTGGTTTGTTATATTGAAAGAGAAAGGTCGTGCCATGATGCGTGAAGACCACAATTCGAATTCTCGCTTTTCATCTCACTTCATCTTCCGCACTGGGCCTGGTGCTGTTCCTTCTGCTATAATTCATCAGGTGTGCAGCTTCTTCGTTTAGTTATAAATATGTTTGTTTCTCCTGCCACGAGTCGCGAACAACTCCATATTTTTGCTTCATTTAGTGGGTCTTTAACCCATTTATGCATTCCACACTATTCGAATGAATCGGGCGCACTTCCCAGCAATCTTCAGCAGTTGGTTCTAGAAATAAACAAAAAAAGAAAAACTAGAAGCAAAACCTAAAAATAAGACTTGACCACGACCTACGAAATCAAAACAAGTGGCTACGACACCAGGCAAAATCGTATGTACCTGAGGTTAAATTTGCGTGTGATGGGCTGCAGGAGAAACTGGTCGAGCTCCCACAAAATGGCTGCAACGCGGCCGCGGTGGGGTAGGTCAATCTTTTGGTTTGATTTCTGGTCACGGTAGTACCCGAATGTGTGGTACTTGTTGAGAAACTGCTCTCCATCCTCCTCCGCAAAATAGGACGTAGATTGAAACCTTTTTAGGTATCCCAGAGAAAAAAGCTGGCAGGGCGTATTTGTAATGCAAAAATAAATACACACAAAAATTTGTCATGGGTGGCCTCATAGCATGCTGTTTTGGACTTGCAATACAGATTTTTTTGTGTATTTCGTTTAGCATTACAAATATGCCCTTCCAGCTTGAGCTTTTTTCTGTGTGATATTAGGAGTCGGGTGTCAATTGAGGTGCGGGGGCTCTCCTTGTTCACCTCCCTCCCTAACATCAACCAAGAATCTATTGAGAGGAAAAATCCCCCCTCCCCATATTGAAAAGGTACGCTTCCAAAAATTTGTGTTGCGGATTTGAGGTCACAAATCACATCTGTCTTGCAAGACGACAAGGGCAGAAGCTTTCGCCCCATTAGGGAAGCGATTTGTCATGCTGGTGGGCTTAAAGGGGAGCCGTTTGCCATGCTGAGCAACTAGACCCATACGCCCCTACCTAGCCTGGGGATCTGGCCGCAGTGCCGCTTTGCAATACAAAGCTGATTTGTGGTCACAAATCAGCATCACGAATTTCCGTTTTGATATGGGGAGGGGGGATTTTTCATTTTGATAGAATCTCGCGGCATGCCGCAAGCCTTTGCCTTGGTAGTGCTAGTGCTAGTGGATGAAGAGTCGCTATGTACTATTATATCTACTACAACTAGTATACGTCAAAAGATTCATGCGACTGGGAGAGACGGCGAACCGTCAGGGATGCATAGTTAGAAAAAGGAATAGGAAAAGGTCTTTAATATAATTGCTATGTTAAAAAGACGAGGTTTGCATGATAATGTATCTGGATCCGCAGCCTGGTGGTGATGTGCAACAACTCCAGTTTTTCGAATAACGACAGATAACATGGCGGGAAGCACCAATCATGCGAAGTGGATAGTGAGTCAAAAGTCCTGCAGTGTGGTTTTCAATGCCACCTCAAGGACCGAAAGCAACTTTATACTGAGCAAGGCTCATCTGAACTTTCCAAGACCGACTGCAAGCAGGTGCCAGTACGTACGACCACAACAGAGCGCTAGTATAATATCCTTGCAACCGAAACTGATTCCTGATTGATTTGTAAACCTTAAGCTTCAGTTCTTCTAGACTCTGACCGAATTGCACTTTAGTGTAGAAGATGAAGAGTAGACAGAGTGCATCAACATCATCACCAACGCAATCAAATTGAAATCGTAATCGGGAAAACAGGAGCACGACCTGTGGTTACGGTTAGCAAGCGGGCGACTGCGGCGCCGAGTCATCGTCATATCTACGAAAATCCTAGTATGTAGAAAGATGCTACTGAAAAGGTACCTTTCCGTAGATTCTTTTCTGAGAATGGAGCGCCCTCTTTCGACGCCCTGGACCGGCTCAGTCTGCTTGCTTGGCGAAGACGATTTGGACGGCGAGCTGGCTTTCTTACGGTTCAGGAAGCTTTTTCCAGCCGAAAAAGTCTGAGAAAATCTCGTATTACGCACTTGACCGTCCGTCAAAGCGCGCGGCCTCGTCGTGACGGGTTTGGCCACCCCCTGCAGGCCGCCGGCCAAAAAATCTTCTGCAGTCGAAGTGAGAGAGGTAGTAAGGTTCATTTCCTTCTTGGGAAGCGTACCGAGGTCTTGACCTCTATCGCGGTAGTCGGTTGTGGTGCTGGCCGCAGCCGTGGTTGATATTTTCACTGCGCCACAGCTAGTAGTTGAGTTGCTGGATGACGCAGAGCAGGACTGAAGCGAAGCAACACTGCCAGTTCGAAGAAGCTTCTTTGGGGTTGGCGTCTGCTCTCCGCGTGTTTCGTTGCCCGCAAGAGAAAAGGAACCACTAGTAGTGGCCCTGCCTGCTTCACCAAAACAAAAGGTGCGGGCAGTATCTACCGCCGCCCCCGCAGCTTTATCTGCACGTGTCGCTTCGGGGTTGTCTGCTATCGCGCAACTGTCTATCGTCACTAGGGCCGATCCCGATGATGATGATGATGATGATGAAGATGAAGATGATGTTGACGGAAAGCTGTTGCATCTTTGGATCCTCCTTTTAGACTGGGTCGTGGTCCCCGCATTGGTTCCCGTTGTTGCTGAACTACTCGAAGTAGAATTTTCACCTCGCGCGGTTAACCTTCTACGACCACCACCTGTCATCTCACACTTGGCGCTGCTTCTCTTCAGCCTAGCTGTGGTTTGATCATGCGCCTTCGCGGCGCTTGTGAATAAGCTCGGTTCTACTTGGGACGCGCAGGAGTGCTGTTGGTCACCTGCTCCGACATGATCAGCCCCGGCGGGCCCGACGCCCTTTGTAATATGATTACGATGATCATTTTGATTTTTCCTACTTCCATTATTTGTTGCATCCCTGCTGCTGTTCGCCGTCGGTTTGCATGATCCTGGTGTAAGACCACTAGCGACCATTACCATTTGCGATGGTGCACAGGAAAGGTCCTCCTCCGCGCCAGCAGCTGGCCTTCCTTGCAGATGCAGAGGAGCCTTCTTGATGGTGGACATGGAGCGTCTGGTCGGCGTAACTGCAACGATCTTTGGCAGTTGCAGCGCTCCGCCTCCGCCAGCTGTTGTAGCATGGCACCCCGCGGCGAATGATGCCGACGAAACGGACGAGGTGCAGGAAGAAGCAGAAGAAGGTGGCGGGAAGAGCCCCCGCGCTCTTATTTCTTGTTCTGGTGCGCCTTCGCTGTTGTGCTTAGGGGGTCCCGAATAGGACTGCGAGTTGTTTTTGGCATCTTCGTGTGCAGCTTCGTTCTCCGGCAGAGGAGATGACGTTGTGGGGCTGCTTCCAGGCGTTTCCGGATTGAAAAGCATGGGTGGGCTGTTTGTTTTGACAAGCGAACAGCTGCCTCCGCTCCTTGTCCCTTGATGGTCTCCTGAGAATTTTTGCAGTCCTGTGAGGTCACCGAAATCAATACCGCAGCTGCCGGTTGGATGATCGGTATGATCCACTGTGGCACGACGCGGTGAAGAAAGTAAGGCCGCTAATGCAGCAGCCTGTGCGTGCTCCTGGTAGTCTTGTTCAAAATGTGCTTCTGCTGCCATGACTTCTGTGTTGGTTTCATCTTCGCAGCTCTCATCACATTTAGTCTCATCTTTCCTTGTTGTTTCTTCATATGCATGGCACGGAAGCTGCAGCGTCGGAAGCAAGTTAGTCGACAGAAGGTGCAGGGCTTGTCCTGAGCAATTTTCCAGGTCGTCCAGGTTTTCCGGTATTTCATCTTGCTCAGCCTCTACAGAATTCTGTTCGAGGAACGAGAATTGCGCGTCGTGATTCAAGCTTTTCGTAGATTCCAGATGTTTGGAGCAGTAGTCTGTTTCTTTTCCCTCGTCCACTCGATAAAACGTGAACGTTCCATCGAGCGTTGCCTGCGCACTTGCTTCGTCGACCAGTTGTTTCTGGTGCGGTCCGTGTTGTACTGCACCAGAAGCAGACGTAGACAACGAGGAGTCCGAGTATAAAAATTCGTCGCCAACGCCAGCGGTATGACTTTCCCGATGGATACTGCGAATCTTTCCGCGATCCGAGAAGCTGGCTTGCGCACGGCTGCTACGAGTTGATCTGCTGTACCCAGCTGGTGCACCGCCATTCTGCAAAAGATAAAGCACGGGCGGGCTCGACACGCCATGGCCAGCGCGATTCCGGTGCAATAAATCGCGTTCTCGTCGCGGCGACAAGGCTGTCGTCGTAGAGTGAAGGAGCAGAACGCCAGGAGGCGGGCTTGGAATATCTACTACAACGTCGGAAGCACGATTGCCGGCCCTTGCCTCCAAGAGGGAACTCTCCTGCTCGGCAACATCGTCAGTACCGGGTTGCTCGATCACGGCATTGTTTTTCACTGGCGTACGCACTGATAGCGAAAAATCCGACTGATCCTGAAGAAGCTGGTCGTGGCTGGCATTGTGCTCCGCCGTAGCTCCGAACAACCGATAATCATCATGATCATGATGAGGAGAAAAGTTGTACATTGTGGCAGCCTGCTGCTTGTCAGCGTTGTTCCTTGACGGAGGCGAAGGAGGAGCATTTGCGTTAGGGTTTGCTGCGTTCCTGTTCCGTAAGGCCGTGCTGCGTTGCGCTCCACTGCAAGACACAAAACAAAGACCTGATGAATTCTTCGATGTTGATTGATAGTGATGCTGTTGGTTATGGTTTTGCTTGAAAAAGCCAGCTGCATAAGTTTTTGCTTTGCCAGCCGTGGGAGAAGGGGAAGCGGCCGGGAAAGACGTTGTCGTTGCCAGTCCGGCGGAAAGCTGCTTGTTAAGTGCTGACATTTTGCTTTCTGTGCCGACTGCACTTCCCGCCCGTCCGGGCGACGTGCTGTACTGGGCATAAAACTCGTGCTCGGTGCTGACCCGGACAGTGTGTCTTTCTGGCCACTCGTTTTTGTTTCCGACACTCGCAATGCGCTGCGCTGCTTCGATTCGGATTGGCATCCGAACAAGCGATGCGGACTGATTAAGCATCTCCAGTACCTCAGCGGCGGTTCGAATCTCCAATCTTCCATTTTGTCCCACGCCAGCGTGTTCTCCTGTAGATGAAAGATGAGAGTGAGCCGTTGATTTCCGCCCGTCAACCGAATGCACAGGAACATCAACCGCATTCCCAGCGAGGACCCTGTGGTCGCGGGAAGGCACCGTTGCGGCTGCAGTGCCGGATATCTGCAGAAGCGCCGCCGAAGACGACGAAGATGAATCGACAATAGATTGACAAGATCCCGTCACACTTGATTGTCCAGCGCCCGTGCGGTACGGCTGCACCAATGACGCAGTGCCGCTACTCGACGTTCCGTAGTAGCGCTTCTGGTGCGAAAAAGTCAGTATCTCACTGATATTTGCCGCCGCAGAGCAGGACGAGTTTTCAACCACTCCAAGTCCTAAGTCTGCTAGGGTCGCTGGCGGCAGCCGCTGAACTATTCTCTTTCCTGTCACGCCCCCAAAGGTGTAACGGTCACCATTATCAAGTGGAACGGCACCAGAAGCTATGGGGCTGCCTGCGGCTGTGGCGACGTCATGCTGGCACAGTTCCCCCTCGTAAGACAAGGGCTTCTCTCTGGATGGCGGCGGGGGTGAGCCCCCAAATGCAAACGCCTGCTGATCATCTTTGCTCTTCGTAGTTTCGCTATCGGTATCGGTCCTCGTCCTCTCGTCGTGTCCAGTCATAAGTCCACGATCGTGTGCTGAATTTTGAGGTGCCGTAACAGTTGGACACCCGACAAGAGGGTTGCCAGCTGCCGCCGCCGCTCTGCGACGCGGGAGTACCTCTTTGTTCGGTTTATCATCTTCCGTGCGTCGAGCTTGCTCGGTCGCTCTCTCTTTTCCAACATCGTCAACGTGAGCCCAGATACTTCTCCCAGCGTCCTTAATATTCCGCTTCCCGGGGGGTTGCGCACAAGAAGTACCGTTCGACACCATCTTTCGACCAGTCATGGCGTCGGGTACTAGAAGCTCTGCGTTAATATTCGCCCCTCCCGGTCCTTGTTCTAGCACGAGTCGTGAGCCGCAATGATACTGCTCCGGCTCGGGAAAGAAGTACACTGGAGGCCGCGCTCGAGCTGACGAACCGGACTCCCCAGGTGCCCCTCCTTCTCTGGTCCTATTTTCGCCTCCGCCGCGGGCTGCACAAGAACTGGAGGATGCAAGGCTGCCATCAGCGCTCGACGAGATGATCTGTAGCCCTGAAAGGTTTAGGGTCGCGTACCGTAACGGAACTTTCTGCTGCCGGGTCGACGGAGCGTTTGCATAATTTTTCAGCTCCAAACCCGTGGCACTTTTTAGACTGCGCCCCTGCACTCCACCGGCGGTAGAGCTTGCGTGACAACTGTTTTTCGCCGATGGTGTTGGCGCATGGTCTCCCACCTTCGTAGTTCGCGTCGTCGCGGTGCTCGCACTCGACAGTGTGCTATCGGCCCGAGCTCGTTTGCAGCTCCTCACGATACTAGAAGAACCAGCAGCAGTACTTGAACCGGTCGGCACGATTATGTTGTGCTCGTGGTGGTCCGGCGGTTGCTCCCTTGCTATTGAAGCGGCGACGCTAAAACTTGGGGACATGATGTCCGGCAAGTGCAGCCATTCATCTCGAATGTCCGCTGAGTGCGTCGCTGTGAAAGCTGGATACTTGTTGCCAGCTCGGCTGGCGTCGGGCGAAACCAATGGACTGGGACTTCTCCGCTCCTGCTGTTGTGGTGCAGCCGCGAGTGCAGTACTGGTTGGGTTTTCGGAAGTATCAGCACCCGCGGAAAGGTCAATGTTGCTGCTCAACACCAGCGGTCTCCTGCCTCCACGCTTGCTGCATGGAACCGCAGGGAGGACAATGTCCTCGGGTTGTATCAAAAAAAAAAATAGACCAATCCATATCCATTTTTTGCATGATAAACTAACAAAGGATCTGAATCTGATGCATTTTTCGCGTGACAAATTGGACGGGACGGGGTCTTTTTTTGTGGATAGGTTGATTGCGCGGAATCCGCTTTGCCCCTCGATGCTGAGCGTTCTCGCGATCGCGAAGCGGATCATGACGCGCTGCATGTGGTTGTTCCTGTCTCGTGGTCTCCGCGCGAAAGGCTGCTGACCTTTTTTGCTCTCGCAGCTGCGACGCTTCCGCTTCTTCTGGCGCCATTCGATTTTCATCTCTCACAATTTTCTGATAAAGGTCCCCTTGTCGTTTTTCGGGGTCCATCGTGGACTGCAGATGCTGAAATGATGATGTCCTAGGGTCTTTCCCTACAGTCTCCTGGTGATCACCGTCTCTATTTTTCCCCAAGATAATCTTGTTACTTGTTGATTTGTTACTTTTTCCGCTTTTTCTCTTTCCCTTTATTTTCGTCGCAGCGAACAACGCCAGAGCAGCAGAACCGGTAGCGGATGAAGTACCGTTGCCACGTAACTTTCTTCTGATCTTCTGGTTCTGGTTCGGCTCGGCTGTACAAAAGCTCTGTTCTTGCATTTCAAGCTGCTCTTCTGCAGCTTTGTCCTCGTCGTCCTCCAAGACATCCGTCTTCACCTCGCGCACGTCCTCGTCGATGCCATCATCAAGAGCTTTGGCAGGTGGGAAGGCATTGTCTGAGTTGTCTCGGCTTTGCTGTTGCAGACAAGGACCGCCATTATCTTCGACGTGGTTAATGATCCGCGGCTCATTTGTTGTAGAAGTTGCACTTGTGCTAATATGCTCTCGGTTTGCTTCTGCTGATTCTGTTCCTGCCGTTGGCGATTGTTGTAGCAAAGTAGAACACGATCCAGCCGGCGACTTCTTCTTTTTCTTCCGCTTAGCTTTACCTTTACTTGCGGTTGCGCCGCTACCTCGATTCTTTTTGCTGCGACGCTTGGATGACATCCAGGTCGATGGACTCGCACCCTCCAGAAGCACACTCGGGCCTGCTGGTGCCTCGCTTTTCTGGCGCTGCATCAGACGCACGTCCTCTTCTCCACCGGACGAGTCGGACTCCAAAAGTTCCCGGCGCACCCATCCGCTGAAGCTGTCTTCTACGCCGCCCTGCCCGGGGACTTCCGAGTCGGATACTGGCATCGGACCGCCGGTCGTGTGCCGTACCACTAGGTCGGCACCAAAACCCTCGTGGGATTGAGATTCCTCCAGTTCTCCGTTTGAAGATGCGGAAACCGACGAGCTCTGGTGTGCTCCTCCGCGCTCCTCATGCATCCGACGCCATTCTTGGTGATCGAGTTGTGTTGGCCCATCTTCTCTTCCCTTCTTTCTTAATATTCCGGCACAGCATTCATCTGCTAGTTGAGCACCGCCCTGGCCCTGGTCCAGCGACGTAGTTAAATTGACAACTACACTCTCGGTCTGGTTCTCTGATAGGAGAGCAACGCCTTCCCATTGTGGCCGCACCTCTCCGTTTTCGTTTTGCGACTCCGGACCCACAAACCTGTTCGTTGTTGTTTTGGTCAAGAATGAAATCCATGCAAGTCCAAGTTGAGAAGCTTCTGGCTCTCGATCTCGTTCCTCGAGATGAACATGCTGTTCCTTCGGGATCTTCGGTACTTGGGGCGGAGTGCCAATGACAATAACTCTCAACTCGAATAGTTAGTGCAGCCCGGCGCCAGGATTAGATAGAAGTTCGGCAATTTCAAATCCAATATCGACGCATGAACCCGGACTATTCGGAAAAAGATAATTATATGCACCTCTTTCGAAGCCAATGCTCGGGCCCGGTACTGCACCCGAAGTCCGAAACATGGGTGCGCGAGAAAATGTTTTCCATCGTGCGAGAAACGATTTCATTTTCCATCCTTCCAAACCGAAAGCAGAAGCACCCGACGAAATCAATGAGGCGAAGTGTAGTAGGGAATACAACCACTGTACAAGGAAAAAGAAGAAGCGCGTCGATCTCGATACGGATACCACAACAAGTAAAGGAATTACTCGATAGAGATCGAGATACATGACGCCGTGTTTGTAGGCGAAGCTCAGTGCACAAGCACAACTATGATCGCATAGAATTATTTGCTTTTTTTTGTGAAGACCCCGTCAAGAAACACAGGCAACGATATGAAGAAAGTCAAAATCAATCTTCCATCGGAGCGATTATTCCGATACTGGTGCAGCTATCATAATACCGCGGGCATCCGCAAAGATATCAATGACAGAATAACGACAGACGTCGGAAAAAGTCCTCGAGACGCTCGGCAATTTCTCCGATGACGACCAGGGCTTCCTACTTGATAAGCACTGACAAGCACGAAAAACAAAAAGAAAACGCAAAAACATGTTCATATATCATAAACAAAAAACATAAACACGACTTAACACCCTCGACAATGGAGAACGACATAAATGTACATAATTATTCACGAATAGTACGATCACGACGAGACCGAGTGCGAGAGCGAAGTAGTCAATGCTTGAAATCCCACTGCTCCTGACTGTAGTAGTTTATTATTCAGATATACTGAACCAAAATCTTAAACGATGAAATGTGCAACGCGAGTTCCGTGCCTGCATCATTTCTACACTTGCTCCTCGCTCACCTCACCCGAAAAAGAAAACAAAGCGATCAAGTGCGAAAAATATGCTGGTCTTTAATCCTTCTTTGCGCTTTCAAGTAAGCGCTGCACAACATAACGTAATCAACCCATTATCTCAATCGAGAGAGGACGAGCTGAACATCGAACGCCGTGCCTTGTAATCTCACGCATAATTTTTCGATTTGCTGTGTTCCACACTGATGCCAGTCATCTTTATTGTTGTACTTTCGATTTCTTGGAAAGCCCTCCGGCTGCGACAATTCGTAGCACAACCAACAAACGGCGCGTAGTCTTCCAATCTTCATGCAGCTGTGCGTACTAGCCATGTATGAGCTTTAGCCTTCTCTTGTGACTTCTTAGCTTTTATTGTTCTTATTGTGTTTGTGAGCTGAGCTGAACATAGTCGTGGCACAGCGGTGGAGCGTCTTGACTCAGTCCCCAGAACCCTATAGATGAGAATGACAGGTACATCTTTTCGTATTTTCCTTGGGCATGAAGCGTACGCGTAGCTGAGAAATTCTCAGTCGAATTACTTCATCTACTATGATATGTAACGAGTTGCCGCTCGAGACTTTGTCTACTCGCTTCCACTACCTGTGACTCCCATGATTCGCGAAATAAAAAGAGGACAGCGCCCTTTTGCTAAATGACCATGACCAAGATGCAAGCACGAATAGATTCATATCGATATCCCCGACTTGTTTTTACACCAGTAACTTCATAGGAACATCTACTGCACTAGAGCTATCGCACTAGTACTAAGTGTTTGTTGTGTTTACAGGGGTAGTAGCTGGCGGATGTAGTTGTTCATCTTCAAGTTGGAGCAGCTAGAAGTCGAGTCCGCTCAGAGCAGCGGAAGAAGAGAAAAGAACATTTTTCTTGTGGAGTAGCTAGTGACAAAGAGCACTAGCACTCCCACAACCGCTGGCACGACGGGGCCCGCTTGGGAGACGAGAAATTTTGTTTCGGGGAGGAAGGACAGAAACGTTACGACGGCGACGTAGGTGAGCAAAATGCGGAGCCAGCTACTCAGCAGGGCCTCCGTGATCTCGTCGTAGAAAGTGACTCGATCCGTCGCAAGCAAGTAGCGAAGCTCGGGGAAATCCTCGATCAGGGTAAGATCTTCGAACGCCAGAGAGGTGAAGAGGTCTTCCAGCTTCACGTCCTTCGAGCGAATGGGGGCGACGCGCTTTGTTTCGGCCTCCACCACCAGGTAGTCGTAGCCTTCGAGTTCCGAACGACTGGTTACCTGTGCGTGGAATGCCGCCGACACTGGCCAGAGCTTTGCAGTCCCCACCAAATCACTGCCTTGATACACAACTGCCTGCAACCGCGTCTCAAAATTCTCCTCTTCTGTGTCGGCATCCGATTCACTGTTGGCCTCTGCGCCGCCACCTAGTTCCTTGGCGTAGCTGTCGTAGAATTGGATTTGGATTTATATCTAAATTACTTTCTATAGCTATCGCTGCAGCTAGAACAAGGACAAAATTAATGATAGTGCGAACGCCGCGCAAGACACATTCACTCGTCACGCATCGTGGTCGTTTTCGTTTGCCATGCTAAACTAACTCCGCTACCGAGCGCGGGGTGGTGACGGGCCCGTGGCATGTACGTAGAACTACGCATCATTGTCATGCTCATGTAATGTATTGCAAAAAAATACCAAACTCAGCTTCGACTTTTAGGCCATAAAAATACATAGTGGCTGTAGTTCGGCATAGCGGCTTTCTCAATTCCCCAATGGAGAGAAGTTGCTCGAGCGTGGCAAAGGCGATTTACAGCTCTTTTTCCTTTTTTTTAATACGTACGTCAGTAGTGTTTGAGGTGGAAGGGAGTTGGGACTTTGACTCTCCTGAGCATTTTCAAACATGCCCAAAGACCTGGAAAACTCACGAAAATGGTCGGTGTCGTCCTAAAAGAAAAAATAATCATAAAGAAGTCGCTCTATACATCTGTTTTCCCTTCTCCAAGTCTCGCAGCACCGCGGCGGCGGCACCGGTAGGCTTCAACTTCCCGGCCTCGATAAAGAGGCAGTAATTTCTAGTTCGCGCGAAGCTCGTTCCAACTCGGCAGAGTACAGGATAGTTGCTCTGGTCTACGGGAAGGACGAGACGATTGGCCACGTCCTGCAGAAACTGTTCGATCAAGTGACCCGACGCTTTTTCGGGGGACTCGGCCACAAGCAACTTAAATTCCTCCGCACGCGTAGCCGCGATCGGCGCAGTGTCGCACAGTTCGGGAGACTCGTTCTGCGGCACGTCGTCTGCCTCCGACGCTACCCCACCCAACTGGAGGATTTTTCAGGTTTTCAATTTCATCATCCTCGTCGTCCATTTGACGAAGTAGAAGGAGCACTGGCACCACTCTACGAAGAACGCAAATAAAAATAATACGTACTAGTCGAATTATGGGGGCGGGGGCGGTAAGGCCCCAGACTACAATCACTATCACAATCTCATGAAGTATTATATCTGCGCAGCATCGGAGGTACCGCGTCTCGGATAAGGTTTCCACCATTTTCATCCATCTCAACAAAGGACTGCAAACTGGTGGCCTCGTAAATATTGAAGCAAGAACCAAATTTGGCTTCCCACATCTCGGCGGCTTTTAGATAAGGCCGGAAGAAGTGCCGCAGGTAACCGTAGTTCGTAGCCTGACGCAACTCCAACGGCAAGGTGGTCGGATGTTTTTCCACCGGAAATTTGCCATGTTTGTCAAGATAGTCGGCACGAGAGTAACTCGGCACGGGCTGGCCTCCTCGACCTGGAGGCACGCCGACGACGTGCCGCTTCAGAAATTCCGCGTTTTGCGCGCTCTGCTTCCCAGGCAAGTAGAGCAGCTGAAATTTGTGCGTGCCTTCCATTTCTCTGCCGTCTGGGAGCGTCGTGGCGTTTCGTGTTGGCGTGATGGCCAGGTAGGGGCTGTCCTGCCACTTATTTCCCCACTGCTGTTCCAGGAGATGGAAGAACAGGAAAGCTTTCCGCCCGAGTTCCTCCTCCTCGGCAGTACTGGAGCCTTGCTTCACCTGGAGCAAGTAGTGAAACAGTTCGTCCTTACTTGTGATACCGATTCGCATCTGCTGGCCCATGCCCGAACCAGCCTTGTTGGCCCGACTCCGACTCGGGCCCGTAAACCGCAATCCGTACTTGTAGATTCCCAGCACACTCTCGACAGGCAGAAGCTTCTCCGGTTGTTCGGCAAAAACATTCCGCTGCGTGAAGCCTGCAGTCGATTCAGTTGCACTCACTTTCGAAATGCAAAAGATAAAGTCAAGGTGCGACCACCCTTATTTCGCTTTATTCGTCTTTATGCAGATACTAATTTGCTTGTCCGCGTGAGGACCCTTATCTTCCTTGTTTGCCCATCGCGTTTTTGCTCACTTACAAATACATTCGGTACAGCTCTTGGTGACAATACTCGTTTCCATTTCCAGGCGACACTACCGCCAGATAAACTACACAAACTTCTCTGATCAACAACTTTTGAAAACAACGGCAACCTCTATAAAGTAGAGGTTATTCCATCAACAGCCTGGTGTACCTTTCCACTCTTCCTTGCTTAGGCGGCCCACGCCAGGGTTGCTGGGAATCATCTGCGAGGAGGGTGTGACGAACAGCACGTCATTTTCGTTCATCCAGTCTCCGACATTCGATGCCGGTACGAAGGGCACCCGGTTTGTCGGATATGTTTCGTAGATAAACCTGTGGTCAATAGTGAACGAGGCAGCGATTTATTATTACGAGGATTTGTATACTTCGTTGACCTGAAACTGAAAGTCCCACTCGTCTCGGCCACATTTTCATCCTACTAATATTCCAGCTGTAATATGGAAGACGAGGAGACGTCAATTATGCGTAGTAGAAGTGCGCAGGCGCCGCACGGCCTACGAGGACCTCTTCAAGGACAGTCTCAATGTCAATCTTAATCATATTCATAATCAATATGGCGTATACAAAAAACACATGCAAGTACCGCCTCAGCGCCTTCACGCCGCTACCCTCGGTCTCCCCCCGGCCCGGAGTCCAGAGCTCAGGATACTCACCGTATACGTAGCGACTGATCACTGGGTGGATCACAAACTTCTGCGGATACATAGCCTGCACCTTTGCACCCTCGGGACTTGTCACATCGCAATGCGCATACCGGACGTAATTCCCGTGTTTCAGGGACAGCTCTTCGAAAACCGGAAACATGCCGCCGGAGCTATCATGCCCGTCGTAGAACTTAATTTTTATTTTAGTATAATTAGAATTAGTACGGTTGTAGCACGCAAAAAGCTTTGATAAAATAGGCACTGCCTTTGGCATTTCTCTTGTGGGGCGCAAATCAAAATAAATTAATAGGCCAAAGAAGTTCCACCGAACATAAATGTAGATCGGCGTGGCGGTGCCGTTGGCAGCCCTCCTCTATAGTTTGTATTTCTGTTAAGTGCCGCCACTTTCTCATTTTAGGGCATCCATGAGAATGCAAGGAGCTATTGGTTGTGGTTCTGCTTTTGATCATTCACTAATGAGAATACTTACCAGGATCAGCCACACTTCGTTCGATTTCGACACGTCTCTTAGCCAGACCTCCGGTGTGAGCTTTATAGAGTGACTATGAGAGTGCACAACTCCCCCTCGCCCCCTATGCAATGAACCGCAACCCAAGCGCCGGCAAAAAGAAGTGAAGTGAAGATGCAGCCTACTTTTGCATGACAAATACGAATTAATACCACAGGATTGTAGTGGTCTTACCCTTACGGCATCCGAAGTCTGTCATGCAAGCAGTTTCATGAGGCAAAGGGTGGGCTTTGAATTATGCATGAGAAATGAGAAGGCGGGTCGTGAGTTTTGCAGTCTCATATTTACTGTTGGTGAGGACGTCTTTTTTTGCGGAGCGGTTCGAATCGTATGCTTTTCTCTTGTCAGGTTCCCCGATCTTTCCAAACGCAACCGTGATCTCGTGAAAGCGCTTAGCACAAGAATCGCAATCTTTCGCGTGCTTGTCCGGATGCCACTCCAAGGCTAATTTCTTGTAAACCTTTTTGATCTCGGCCTGTGTTGCGCGCGGACTTACTCCAAGGGCCTGAAAAGTTGTGAAATGCGTCAGATAAAGTATAAAATAGAAGTACGTCGTCCCCAATTCATCTTTGGTGTAGAAGCATGAAGGAGGCAGGCTGGACCGATTGACAGTGGAACCTTAAACGTTCATCACCATCGCGCGAAACACCGATCCCGCGATCGCTTTATCTTTGCGCGAGCTATAGTTTTTATGCATCGAGCTTCTATTTGAGCCACATACTTACTAAAAGAAAATTTATCAAAACTGAAATTGATTTCACCGATCTGCGTCCGCCATATGTGTAAACACAGTACTTTCATAAGTAAATCAGTGCCGAGGACATCAAGTATCTTGATAATCAAAATCTATACGTCGTAGGGGTTCATGCCGCCATCGTCTTGGTCCCCCTGGTAACCCTCCTGCGATGCTTTCATGTAAAAAAGCATGAACACGCAGAACAGCGAAAAGATTGCCATGAAGTTACTCTGGATGAAGCTGCGTAATTCTGATATTCTTTGGGCAATGGTTTTCTTGCTGGCTCCCTTGTTGGTTGGGGTTCCCCCTTTCTTTTCGTCACGCGGCGAATGCAGCGCAGCTCCGCGCACACTCGAAAGCGCATCTTGGACCAGATTGAGGAGAAAGGCACTTTGCAATCGCACTTTTATTCTTGCCCATGCCTGTTTCCGTGCGTCCCGGTCCAGTGACCTGCAGGTTCAAGTCATCAGTATAATCGACTGAAAAGATCACCAAGGTGGAGATCGTGCAAAGAAAACACACAATTGCGACGTTGTTCTTCTATCTTGTTCTGCGCTACAGCTACTGCATCAACATTCTGCATCTGCAAAGCGACGCGGTCCGACTTGTCATGTCTTCTAGAAAAAAAACAAAATAGGCTCTATATATTGTTCTTGTTGTACTGTAGTTCGTCGTCCAAAAACAAAATGAAGCACGACAAGCAACACAAAGTTGTTGACTTTCACTTTAGCTTCCTTCAAACAGATAACAAGATTCAGATCCTCTTGCAGAAACACAAATACTTAAGGGAGAAATCCTCTTGATTGCCCTTGCTTTTTTGCTTGTTCTTCTTCGCGGCTGGAGCTGATGACGCCGACGAGCCGCCGGATGGCGCCGACACAGAAGCGGAGTTTGTGGCAGCAGTCATTTGTATTTCTTGCTCAGAAAGGACATCGTTCGGTTCGGAATCCCCTGAAGCAGCCCCCGCAACCTGCTTCCGCTTGTTCCCTGCCTTGCTCTTCGCGCCGGGCATTTCTTGGTCCTCCTCCACCAGGCGGTGCCTACCGGTGCCGCTTCTAACGGTTGTATTGCCAAGGTAACTAACCGGGAACGTCGTGGTGATATTTTTTTTTATTGAGTGTCGTAGTTGTAGTTGTTCTTCGACTTCTTGCTCAATTTGCCAGAAATGATCCTTAGTGCAGCTACTGATGCTGATGATGAAGGAAAAATTAAGACAAGAGGAACTACAAGAAGCGATGGCTTCGTGTTCACTGTACGTTTCTGATAGATGTGGTCATGTCGCTGGAATCCTTACTTTTATCAGTCTCATTTTTAATTACAACACATGCAGAATCAAAAAGGTTGAAAAGAAAAAAAAATTGAAGTGCTTCGATACTAGACGTGAAAAAAGGTAGGCTGCAGTTGGTATTTATACCGATAAGAACTCGCAGCCGTGCTGACGCTGGTATAAAAAGGAACCGAAATCGTTGCGCCAGATCCTTTGTTCCATCAGGTCCAGGACCTTCTTGTTTGCCTCTGCCGCGACAAGCAAGCGACAAGAAACTAGATCTGATTTCTTCTTAATCTGATCTCCAGCAAAAACACCCAGCTGCTGCCCATTGACACTAGTAGCAATGCCACAGAGCTGCTACAGCTACTCTTCCGAAAAGATCGTGATCCAATAACCATGGGAATGGATGTAGGCCATTTTTTGAGCAAGAACATCAACAAGGGTATATTAGGGCTACCCGGGTGAGCTACGACTCACCGAAGCGCAAAGCTTTGCGCCTCCTTATAGCCATGCGGGTATCGTAATTCATCCGCCTGCGTCGTATCTTTGATCGATTCTTTACAGGCTAAAAGAAACTCAAGAGGCTCCATGTCCCAAGTGCAAAATTCTCAAAAAAGCGAGAATTTTTTTTTTCGCCCTTTCGAAGCAAGGCGCTCCAACAACGAAGAGTCTAGTGTCGGCGTCCGCCCGCCGTCGATATGCCGAGTAGGGCACTCGTTTCCGCGACTGCAAGGCCCGCCAATGCAACATCCCCGGGCCGAGTGGACGCAAGGCTTCCGGCCCTGATATCGCATAGGGCAAAGAGAAAAAAAACGAGGCGGGCCCTTTCTGGCAGGGCGAGGAAAAAAACTCGTTAGGCAGGCGGCCTGCCGAATTCCGGCCCGGGCACGGTAGCGAAAATTTTGGAAGCAGAAATTTAAAATTCCGAAAAAAATTATAAAACTTTCGCAGCAAAATTTTAAAAATTTTGAAAATTCAGAAAATTCTGAAAAAAATACGCGGCCCACGCCTGGGCTGAAATTTCCTTTGCGATTTCCCTTTGCGCTGCTGCGTCCCCGTTTTTTTTTGTTTTTTCGTTTCTTTCAGCCCGGAGAATTTTCAAAAAAACAAAAACTCAGTGCATTTTCGATTTTTTTTTTTTGCTCGCTCGAAATTTTCGAAATTTTTCCGCAGGTGTGACTGTGAAGATTGAGGCTGTTTTTTTCGTGTGAGCAAAAAAATTTGGTTGCGCGCCAACCGGCTAGAGCTTTCACACCCGTTAGCATGAGAAGTGGTGAATTTGTAGCGAATTTTGCATGGCAAATTGCAGATGAGTCCGCCGGGACATTGTCCCTCTTGGCCTTCTGGGAAGTGGGTTCTGGACACCGCAGAAGTCAAGGCCTATGCCGCGGGCAGCTTCTAGACATGGCCTGGGTGCCGTTCTTTGGCCATGTGTATTCGTCTCCCTGAGCTCGCATAAGAGTACTGCAGCAGCCGCGGCAAAGACGCCACAAAGCAAGCGCTGCGAAGCAAATGCAATTAGGCAAGAAGGCGCGAAGGCAAGGGTGAAAGGACCAGGCCGAGAGCTTTGACGCGTCTATCCGGCAGGCGCGTGAACTCTCCCGGCCTTTTCGGCAGAATATAGCCGGGCTGCGGGCAGCAGAGGGCGCTTGTCTTTTCCCCTCGGCCCCACTTCCCAGGGCCTACCTGTGCACTTTTTTGCGCACTTTTCTGCGCTAAAGTTTGCTTATCACGGTCGAAAAGGGGGGCCCGGTGAGTTTTGGGGTGAATTTTGAAAAAACCGTGGGTGAATTTTGGCCCGAGGCGCCTACTCAAAATTCGCTAACGCACGAGAAACTTCGAGTTTTGGGGCTTCAAAAAAGTGTCGCCAAAACAAAAAGCCCCAAAATTCACCAAGAGATTTCCTGACCTTGGGGTCACGTCGAAAAGGCCTCGCTCCGGAGGCAAAAACACGCCTGGGGAGTTGGGAGCAGAGCACAGCAGGCGAAGCAAGCTAGCGCCCGCGGCCGAATCGTGCCTCCCCTTCCACCCGAGGCTGCTCCCAGATATCCAAGTCCAAGCCGAGCCAACCACAACTCGTGAGAGCATACATGTTGAACTAGTGCCCGTGTGTTCAGGCGTCGCCCTCCCTTTCGACAATTCCGGAGAGGAACTTCTCAGGCAGACGCGCAGATTAACAAGAGCCCCACGACCCACCTTCTCTGGTCGCTAAATACGCACTACACCGCCCGGCGGGCCCCCGAAAGACCACTTCTTTCGGTCCCGCAAGCGCCACCACGCGACGAGCAGCCCTCCACGCTGTGTGGGATGCTTGGGCTCGTGTCCATACGCAGCGCACTTCTCTTTTAAGTTTAACTAAAATAAAATGCAAGTCAACATGCAATACAAATTCACTGCAAATTCACCCTTCTGTATGCTAACGACCGTCCAAGGCATAACCAACCGGCGCGCGCACTTTTCCTGTCCGGCCACTTTTCGAGTTTGTTCACACGAAATACCTCAGACAATTTATCTCGCGCAGCTCGTCGGAGCGGCGTCATGTAGAGGAGCAACCGCGGCGCCTAAAAAAAGGCAGTCATCTGATTGTCGGCGGAAACAAAATCCGAAACGGGCTGCCCATCCATCGGCCAGCCGTATGGAATTTTCATTCTCGTTTTTTTCATTTTTTATTTTTTTCCTTGGGATTGGAACCTCATAAAGAAACCTAGATGAACAAAGTAGCTAGTAAAGCTCTACATGATGAACTTATTCCGTTCGACGTTATCGCCTTAGAGTTTCCTTTTTCGACCTCTCAGTCTCATGATCGCCTGGACTGGGAGATTTTCAACATTGCTGACGAAGGAAGACGTAGAAGAAGAGGAGGCTGTTTGTTTTCTTTGCTGTGCCGTAGCTGGCACAGCACTACATGTACATACCTGAAAAAATGTAGAAGAAAAGTCTATCCCTTGCTAAGACTAAAGTCGTGATGGCCAAACAATTACTCCGCAACTTCAAGGCAAAAGCCAAAAAGTAAAAAAAACTAAAAATAAAAACTAAAAGTAAAAACTAAAAGGAAAAACTAAAAGGAAAAACTAAAAGGAAAAACTAAAAGGAAAAACTAAAAGGAAAAACTAAAAAGAAAAACTAAGTCTAAGAGTAAAGAATAAAACTACTAAAAGTAAAAACTACAAACTAAGCTACGGGGAAAAACTAAAAGTAAAGGCCAAAGTCAAAAAGTGACAGCTGAAAGCAAAAGAAAAGGCAAAGCTTGAAGATGAGGGCCAACAGCAAAACTTGCAAACCTTTTGAATTCGACAAGCAACAAAAATAGGAGGCAAGGTCGCCAAAGCTGGCTGAAAAAAGCGCGCGCGGCGCTGGAAGGAAGAACGACGCTCCAGGTTTTCAAAGTCTTGAAGAGCTGGCGGGAAGCAAACAAGCCTAAGCATAACGATCTCGGCGCTCAGTGCCTGCGTCGGGTGGAAAAGCAAGGGACTCTTCTCGCCTGTTGAGACCTACTTATAATTTGGCGCGAAGAATGACAGCCGCGGCATGCAGAAAAGTGGCGCAAAAACCACTCCAGCCACAACAACTGCTCACAGTTGTTAGCACAGCCGCGCATACGCCTCACAACCGCAAAAACTGCTTGCGACCGCAATCAAGATCTGCTTACCGCCGCAACTGCAAACGGGGCGGAGCTGCTTCTGTCCCGGGCTTTTCGTTTTTTATTTTTGGGCTCCTGTTCATCTGGCTCTTTTTTTTGTTTTTCGGTCTAGCGGAATAATTGAATTCTGTTTCACACTTCCACAGGCGGAGCATACGTGGCTAGTGCTTTTGCTTGGCAAAAGTGCTCCTCTTTACTTAGCGACAGCTTGTGACAATGTTGAGCGCTTTTCGTATGTGAGTTGATTTGGAACCACTGAAAAAACTACAGCGAAACAGTTTGATACTACTATGATTTAATCAAATAGCTTTTCTGTTTTCATCTTCTTTTATTTCACCATCTCCTTTTTCTGCTTCTTCCACACCGCTTCACCTTTTACTGCTTTTTCCGCACCGCATTGAAGCCCAGCATGTACATTTTATGCTCAACAAGGGGCACTAGAAGTATTCCCTTGCTTATTTTGGCACTGGCTTCAAAGTTCTAAAAAAGATTGAAATTCGCTCGGACAAAGCGGCTCCTCTGTCGCTGTCGACGTCTGCTACGCGCCGGTCAGAATCTGCGCGACGAGCACGATGCCGAAGAGGATGGGGGAAGTCGCTGCCACTGCCCGCGCGGAGGCTTCTGGTTCTGACGCCGGCGCAACAGTGGTAGAGGTACGTAGAGCTCTGCACTGGTTTCGCGGGCCCGCCCTCGACTGCAGCCTCGCGGAGAGCAAGGGCACGAATTTCAGCCGGCGCGTCGCTAGCATCGGCGCCCGGAAGCTCGATCACCACATAACGGCCCTGCTTGCCTTTGCAATCCACCACGGCAGTGCCGACCCCTGCGTGGGGGTCAGATTCCGGAGCGAAGCGATCGAGACAGTTCGCTGGATCCTCACACTGGATCGTTTCACACTCCGCACCTTCAGGCGGCGCCAGACAAAAGGACCCCGCCGCAGTGCCCATCCAGAGTTCCAGGTCCTCGTTCCCCTCCGTAAATGCTGTCAACGCCGACGTATCTGCTCGGTCGCGCGGCGAGTCCGACACTAGCACACGCACGCCGCCCCGCGTTCCATCGTCAACCACCATATCGGTCGCACTGTCGTCGAACTCCGGCTCACCCGAAGCTTTTAGCGGCATGACATACAACAAACGCCGCATCCGCGGCCAGTGCAAATCCGCACTGAGCTTCACCTTGTCCACAGTCTTCGCGGCGCCCAAGTCGAGTTGAAACCAGGGGCACTTCTGCGCCTCGGACTTTGTTCCACTGCCCCACGTGCGTCCGCTGTCCCCGGTGTGTGCAATTGATCCGAGGTCGCCGTCAATCAAATTTTCGACGGCCTGGAAGGGATACTCGCTGGATGCTGTGGCAGCGGTGACAGTCAGCGCGCCGCTCGACTTCGACGCGGCTCGCGATCCTCGCGCGCCCCCGGTGCCCGCAGAACGGCTTCGTCTCTGCTCCTGCTGTACAACGCTCTCGCGAGCAGTTCCCCGCTTCGCGGCCGGTTCCCCCTGCAGTCTGCTAGGATCTCCGACAGATGTGCTGTTCGTTTTCGCTGTCGTTCGTGTGCTGCCGAGAGGACTCGCTTGTTCTTCGGTGGCATTCACGTAACCACCCGCGTTTTCCTTCCTCTTGCTCTTCGCTGCGGGTGGACCTCTTGTTGCCGGAGCGGAGCTGTGCGCGAAGTTCTTACCTCGGCGTTGCAGGTGCGACGGGTTCTGGCCATCCGCGGTTGGTTCCGGCTGCCCGTGTCGCGACGCTGCACTGGTGACCTTGGCCACAGCCTCGCCCCCGCCATTCGCGTCCAAAAGGTACTGGGTCGGGCTGTGCCCCCTCGCCGCAAGCTCCTCCATCTTGGTGGCGCTCGGGCTCGATTCGCTCGCGCTCGGCTGCAGGGGTTCCTTCTCCTGTCGCAATCGCCTCCCACTCGGCGACCTCCCAGTCTCGACGGCCCAGGCTGCGATCTCCTTCGTGGAGCTTGTGTGGTCTAGCACATCGAGCCCTGTAACCCCGGAACGAAGGTGATAAAAAATCACTAGAAGTGCCAGGAACGAAGGGGAGAAATCAGCGGCAGCAGCGCTACTCCTTCCACGGTCAGGGAGCGGACTCCCAGCGTGCTTTCGCGTTCGTCGGGATCGTCCTACAAGTGCGAAGGCCATCTTTTCTCTTAATCACAAAGCGCCTTAGCGTTAATTCATATTCAAAATGATTTCAAAATGATTTCAAAAAGTCAAGGCTTTTGACTTTTGGCTGCCCATGAAAATGCCGAATCTTCGAACAAAATGAACGACGCGCCCCGGTTGTGGACCATCCACAAGCCCTATGCCGTGTGCTTACGCGGAGCATTTCGCTTGAAAAACGCAACGCCACCATTTAAATGCGTGTCATTAGTTTGGGGGGGTGTTTGGCTTGGAATTGGCAAGGCCACAAGCTCTGGGCCATGGCATGGCGGCTCAAGATTGAACCGCCAGGGTCCATCGAAAATCCAGCTGACAGACACCGCATCCACCCAAAGCCACGACGCATGGGGCAAACACAATTCCATTCCTGAGGCGGCCGAAAGATGGCCCAGATGCAACCTCTCCCCTCGATTGCTCGGGCCTTAATATTGGTGCCTAACATATAATATGCCATGCCACAACCCACACCAATGCCAGAGCGATCACGCAGAGTGCCCAATTTCAAAAGGAAATTGGCGGCCCGAAGCAATTTCAAAAAGAAATTGGCGGCCTGAACGGAATTCAAAAAGAAATTGGCGGGGGCGATGGAATTCAAAAAGAAATTGGCGGCCCCGAGACAATTCAAAAAGAAATTGGCGGCCCTGGGCAATTTCAAAAAATAGTTGGGAATAAGTTGGAGACAAACTCAAAATTAGTTGGATCAGGGATTCTTAGTATGGGAAACAGAAAAAAGTTGGCTTCCAACTTATTTCCAACTATTTTTTGAATCTGGCGAAAGGAGATTCCTCGACCCGGGCCCTCTTGAGTTGGCTTGCTTTACTGCAGGCCCTTTGGAGTATCGGAATCCACCTTCCGAAGCGCTGTCGAGAAGCCCTTCGGCGTGAAAGCCAACCCTATCCATCGACGTCCCGCAAGCTATACCACAACACCCTGGAAGAAAGAGGGGCAGGAGAAGGTCACGAAGGAAAAGCTTTACACAAAAAGTGCTCCCGCGAACGGTCTAAAACACATTCGCGTTCGTCGGGATCGTCGGGATCGTTCGTCGGGATCGTCCTACAAGTGCGGAGGCCATCTTTTCTCTGTGAAACTTCTTAACCCCGACTACACGCAGTCCTAGTTCGTACTTGACCCAAAATGGCTACGGACGATAAATAACGCAATCTGCTGTCTGAGCGAAGGCCTAAGCTTGCGTCTCTCCTCGCACGGGAAGACGCGATTCCCAGGCACCTCGTCAGCATCAAAAAAATGCGAAAAGACATGTGGTGCGTGTGCGCGCAGTCGCTCAAGTCGTAATACATTCAGAGAACTCTGCGTGCGTGAATAGTACACAAAAAGGATAGAGAATGGTGGCGCCTAAACGGATAAAGTGCCACGCTGCGCGGGGGGTGGCGGCGCGGGTATCCGCCCGGTGGCGAGGGGTCCGCTCGGTGGCGAGCGGCTGGAACGAACGGCGGGCCGGCGCGCGGCGCGAACGCGCTTCACTCGCTCCCGCGTAAGCCCGTCCATCCTGAAGCACCCCCCCCGAGGCCCATTCCCCGCCCCGCTTTGCGGGTTGGCGCTTCGTTCATTTTGGGTTGCAGAGGCGGGCGGCAAGCAAAATGCCCAGAGGCCGGCAGTGAGCCTACTCTCTCGGAGGAAACAAAGAAACACACGGACAGCCAGCCACGCAACGGGCAGCAGGGATGGAAAAAACACCCAAAAGCTGCCTGGCGGCCTAACCCAAACCACCCAGGGACGGATGCCGGCTCCTGACGCCTTGCGCGAAGCACGCAGCGAGCCCCCTTGCGGGCCGCCGGGGTGTCCAGCGCGTAGGGCCCACACAACCCCACCCAGCCAAGCAAGCAACTTCCCAACGGCCCCTGCCCTCCGGGCCCGACCACCCTCTGGGGCGCTCCGGTTTGCTTTTGCTTTTGCATTTCAGAAACGGGGGGGCGGCAGGAAAAATAAAAGCCAAGCAGCTAGAGCCTGGCTGCAGGCAGGAAAAGTAAAAGCCCAGCCGCTAGGGATTATTTTTCCGCTGCCTGAGGCAGCGCCCCGTCTATGCACCCCAAACGGCGTAGGTGGGCCGACCCCGCAGGCCCGCGATGGGGCCCCCTTTTGGGTCATCGCGGCGCTCGGGACCTAGGGCGCCAGGGCATATACTATACATATAATTGTCTATGAAGAGAGTTACAACAATAAAAGCATTTGAAGTAAACAGCCTAAACCTACCTAAAGCTAAACTACTATACTACTCTAGGAAAGATGCCACCTGGTTTAAAGAATAACTTCTTCGAGATTTGGCACTTGCAATCTTGAGTGCATTTCTGGAATTGGAATCATAGGGCACGAGCAAACGCAGGAGAAGGCATTACTGTGCAGAGTGGAAAATAAACATGACAGAAAGCAGAAGAGAAGAAGGGGAGGAAAAAGGGACGAGCAGAGCACTTCACTTTTTCAGTTCTTGTGGTAAGCTGGTGATGAACGTCTTCACCAACGCCTTAAGCGCCGGCCTAAACCTGCCTCCCGTTTGCCTACGGGAAACAGACCGATCATGATCCGCGGCTCCAGCCATACGTAACTCTGCAGGAAAAGACACCGGTGGGCGCTGGGCGCGGCTGCGGGCGCTGCTAGCATCTCTCACAACGCTCTGTCTTTCATCGTTGAATTTAGACGTGAATTGAGCTAGAACAGGGCCCAACATAGATACTTGCCTGATCGTCTGGCATTTTTTTGCGTATAATTTATGGAAAAGGAGCACTTATCACGAGGATTTATGTCTGTGCTTCGTTTTGAATTCTTTCACATTGAGTTTGTAATGCAAAATGAATAGTAAACGCAAGATCTGGTGACATGGAGTAATACTAAGTTAGCATCGTGCTAATTCCACCCGGTGGAATAGGAACTCTCTCAACAATCTGCCATGCAAAAATAAAAGTTCTCTGGTCTCTCAGAAGACAGATGAAGAGGAAGCTGAGGAAGCAACATGAAATCTACTGTAATGCAAAAGTATTGACTTCTGTTCTCTCAGAAGACAGATGACGAAATGCTAGAGGAAGTCTAATTTATGAATTTGATGGCTTGATGCGTGGCGTCTTTCTTTTGGGGCGGGGGGACGAAGGATGCTTGAAAGCGCCCACAGCAATGTAGGGCAAGAATAGGAGCGTTCGCCAAATTAGGGGTAGGATAGCTGCTTGACGTTGACCTGCTGGAAAAATACTACATCCGGAATCGGAGTAGGAGCAGGAACAGGAGTAGATGTTGTGCTCGTTTATTTCGTTTCCATATTCTTATCAAGAATCTCTACCATGACTAGCGAAAAGTCAGAAAACCCATTATTTAATAGTATTCCGCAATAAAAACAAAAAACGAAAACGAACAATGGAAACGAAAAACGAAAACAAAAAACGACAACGAACAATGAAAACGAAAAACGAAAACAAAGAATGAAAACGAAAAACGAAAACAAAGAATAAAAACAAAGAATGAAAACGAAAAACGAAAACAAAGAATGAAAACGAAAAACCAAAACAAAGAATAAAAACAAAGAATGAAAACGAAAAACCAAAACAAACAATCTCTACAATGACTAGCGAAAGGCGAGAAAACCCATTATTTAATAGTATTCCGCAATAGAAACAGACATATCATCACGAGTAGATCCTAACTACTACATCTTCACCACACACAACTTCCACACTACATTCCCAGGCTATGACTATGATTTTCGAACGCATTTTTCTCTGCTTCTTTTTCTTCTTTTCTCGTTGCTGGCTTCGCCGTCTTCCTTTCGTTTTTCACTTTCCTTGGGCCCCTCATGAATCTCGCCGAGAGCTGCCTACTACCGCATCGGCTTTCGTATCAGTTACCACATTCGTGTTTTTTGTCATCACCAGTAACCATATCAGGGGGCTACAAACGTACTATCGTTCTTGGTTCTAGCAGGGGTGGCGTGTGGAGTACTAAGTCAGAAATTGACATAGCGGGAATTCATTTGATCGTCATAAGATTCATGAGAAGCGAAACGCACAGAATGAGAAAGAAGCAATCCCGTAGCCTGGTGGGTTGTTGTAAAGCGCATGGATTTTTCAAGTTGGTGGGTTCTCAAGGTATCGACTAGTCTCATTTTACATCAAGCGCTGCAAAAATTTCAGATCAAGTCACCTAGAGATCACTCATGGGGAGTCATTTATGGGATCCAGGGCGTGCCCATTATGTTGTCCGAGATGGTAGTCATGTTGTCCAGGATCACACATCTCAGCAGCACAACGGTCCCACTCCGGTAAGCGCCCAATAAACAAAACTACGCCGACAAGTGATAGATAAAACGCCGCTACATCGGCTTCCGTCACATCTACGAGAGACGGCGGCGAGTAAAAACTAAAGTAAGTGTAACGAGAACTGGCTCTCCCGAATAAAGCACAAAGTAGAATGGTATACGCTAAAACTTTGACATACTCCAATCTGGAAAAAGAAAAATAGACAGGCGGCGAGAACACTCAAACCCTCCATGTCTGGGTCAATTGACAGCACTGCTATGGGTCAGTAACTCCCAGCCTCAGCACCGTATATAAAACATATCATCACGAGTAGATCCTAACTACTACATCTTCACCACACACAAAGAACAGAAACTTCATACTCATAGAAACAAAGAACAGAAACGAAAAACAAAAACAAAGAATGGAAACGAAAAACGACAACAAACAATGGAAACAAAAAACGAAAACAAAGAATAAAAACGAAAAACGAAAACAAAGAATGAAAACAAAAAACGAAAACAAAGAATAGAAACGAAAAACAACAACAACGAAATGCTGACAAAGCGCCCAAGCTTCTAAGCGACGAAGCCTCGAAACGAAGGGGCCTCGAAACGCCGAAGCAGCGAAGCCTCGAAGCAACGAAGAAGCCTCGAAGAGCCGCGAAGCCTCGAAGAGCTGCAAAGCCTCGAAGGGCCGCGAAGCCTCGAAGAGCCGCAAAGCCTCGAAGAGCGGCGAAGCCGCGAAGCCTCGAAGCAGCGAAGCCTCGAAGGAAGCAGCGAAGCCTCGAAGGAAGCAGCGAAGCCTCGAAGGAAGCAGCGAAGCCTCGAAGGGAGCAGCGAAGCCGCGAAGGGAGCAGCGAAGCCGCGAGGGGAGCAGCGAAGCCGCGAGGGGAGCAGCGAAGCCTCGGAGGGGGCAGCGAAGCCTCGAAGGGAGCAACGAAGCCTCGAAGGAAGCCTCGAAGCAGCAAAGCCTCGAAGCAGCGAAGCCTCGAAGCAGCGAAGCCTCGAAGCAGCGAGGCCTCGAAGCAGCGAAGCCTCGAAGCGGCGAGGCCTCGAAGGGAGCAGCGAAGCAGCGACGCCTCGAAGCAGCGACGCCTCGAAGCCTCGAAGCGGCGAAGCTCGAAGCGCGCAGCGATCGAAGCCTCGAAGCGCGCCGCGAAGCCTCGAAGCGCGCAGCGAAGCCTCGAAGCACGCAGCGAAGCCTCGAAGCACGCAGCGAAGCCTCGAAGCACGCGACGAAGCCTCGAAGCACGCAGCGAAGCCTCGAAGCACGCGGCGAAGCCTCGAAGCACGCGGCGAAGCCTCGAAGCACGCGGCGAAACCTCGAAGCACGCGGCGAAGCCTCGAAGCACACAGCGAAGCCTCGAAGCAGCGAAGCGTCGAAGCAGCAAAGCCCCGAAGCACCGCCTCAGGCCTCGAAGCAGCGCCTGAGGCCTCGAAGCAGCGCCTGAAGCCTCGAAGCGGCGTCTGAAGCCTCGAGGCAGCAGCGTGCGAAGCCTCGGGTCAGCAACGTGCGAAACCTCGAGGCAACAGCGTGAGAAACCTCGAGGCGGCAACGCGCGAAACCTCGAGGCAGCAGCGTGAGAAACCTCGAGGCAGCAGCGTGCGAGGCCCCGAAGCAGCAGCGCGCGACGCCTCGGGGCAGCAACGTACGAAACCCCGAGGCAGCAACGTACGAAACCTCGAAGCAGCAACGAACGCACGAAGCCACGGCGCAACAACGTACGAAACAACGCGCGAAGCCCCGAAGCCGCGGGGCCCCGAAGCAGTAAAGCCTCGACGAAGCCGCGCCGGCCGGTGCCGGACCATGGCCAAGCCGAGCCGGTGCGTGCCTGCCGGACCATGGCCAAGCAAGGCGAGCCGGTGCCGGGCCATGAGCAGACCGAGCCGGTGCATGCCGGACCATGGATGGCAAGGCCGGGCCGGTGCGTGCCGGACCCTGGCAAGGCCAAGCCGGTGCCGGACCATGGCCGAGCCGAGCCGGACTATGCATGGCCAAGCCGAGCCGGTGCCGGACCATGCATGGCCAAGCCGAGCCGGTGGGTGCCGGACGATGCATGGCCAAGCCGAGCCGGTGCCGGAGCATGCATGGCCAAGCCGAGAAGGTGCCGGACCATGGCCGAGGCGAGCCGGTGCCGGGCCATTCAGCATGGCCAAGCCGAACCATGGCCAAGACCCGAAGCGAAGATAAAAGCCCCGAAGCAAAGAAGCCGCGAAGCGAAGAGAGATGCCCCGAAGCGAAGAGAGGCGCCCCGAAGCAAAGGAGCCCCGAGGCGAGGATAGAAGCGAAGATAGAAGCCTCGAAGCCGCAGCGAACGAAGTCTCGAAGCCGCGGCGAAGCCTCGAAGCCGTAGCGAGGCCTCGAAGCCGCAGCGACGCCCCGAAGCCGCAGCAAAGCCCCGAAGCCTCAGCGACGGCTCGAAGCCGCAGCGAAGCCTAGAAGCCGCAGCGAAGCCCCGAAGACGCAGCGAAGCCTCGAAGCCGCAGCGCAGGCCGCTCGAAGCCGCAACAAAACCTCGAAGCAACGCGGCCTCGAAGTAACAACGCCGCAGCGAAGCCGCAGCGGAGCCAGGTCGTGGCCGCGCCGGTGCCAGATCAGGGTCGGGGGGGCCGGTTCCAGGTCGTGGCGAAGCCTGCCGGTGCCAGGTCATGGCCAAGCCGGTGCCGGGCCAATGGCCTGCCAGCCAAGCCTACCAGCCAACGCCACGTCATTCATAATTGCCGAGCCGGTGCCAGATCTTGGCCAAGCCAATGCAAGGCCGTGGCCAAGCCGGTGCCAGATCCTTCCTGGCGAAGCCTGCCGGTGCCCGGTCGTGGCCAGGCCGGTCGGTGGCAGATCATGGCCAAACCAAGCCTGCCGATGGATGCGTGCCAGATCATACACGGCCAAGCCTAGCCGGCCGGTGCCAGATCGGGGCATGCAAAGCCCCCCCCCCGGCCGGTGCCCGGCAGATCATGACAAAGCCGGTGCCAGATCATGGGCGAGCCTGAGCCACCCAGATCATGGCGTGGCCAAGCCGACGCCAGGTCGTCCGTGTCCAAGCCTGCCGGTGCGTGCCAGATCATGGCCCGGGTCGCTGGCGCCAGGTCGCGCGCGGTCCGAACCGCCAGGCCAAACAAGCCTGCGTGCCGGCGCCAGGCCGTGGCCAAACCGGTGCCAGATCATGCCCTCGCCTGCCACCGTCTGCCACCCTGCCCGCCGGCGCCAGATCATGGCCAGGCCGGTTCCGAGTGATTCTGGTGGCCAGGCCCGCCGGTGCCGGAACATGGCCAGCCCGCTGCCAGATCACGCCCAAGCCGGTGCCAGGAAGCGGCAAGGCCGTTGCCAGATCATGGCCATGCCGGTGCCAGGTGGGTCGTTACCAAGCCGGCGCCATATCATCGCCGAACCGGTGCCAGACAGGTCGCGTCCAAGCGAGCCGGTGCCAGATCATGGCCAAGCCGGTGCCAAATCATGGCCACGCCGGTGCCAGGTCGTTGCCAGGCAAGCCGGTGCCGGGTCGCGGCCAAGGCGGTGCCAGGCAGATCATGGCCAAGCCGGCGCCAGATCACGCCCAAGCCGGCCCCGGGTCGTGGCCAAGCCAGTGCCAGGTCGTGGACAAGCCGGCGCCAGATCATGGCCAAGCCGGTGCCAGGTTGTAGCCGAGCCGGTGCCAGATCATACACGGCCAAGCCTGCCGGCCTTCCGGTGCCAGATCATGGCCAGGCCGGCCGGTGCCAGATCACAGCAAGGCCGGTGCTCGCCCATGCCCAAGCCGGTGCCAGGTCATGGCCAAGCCAAGCTGGTTCCGGGTCGTGGCTGAGCCGCAGCCGGTGCCAAATCATGGCCAGGCCAGCCACCAAGCCGGTGCCTGCCAGATCATGGCAAGGCCAAGCCCTTGCGCCAGATCATGGCCAAGCCGGTGCCGGATGGATCATGGCCAAGCCTGCCTGCCGGTGTCAGAGCATCGCCAAGCCGGTGCCAAATCACGGCGAAGGTAGGCGGTGCCAGATCATGGCCATGCCGGTGCCCGATCATGCCCAAGCCGGTGCCGGACCCTGGCCACGCCGGTTTCAGGCCCTGGCTAAGCCGGTGCCAGACCCTGGCCAAGCCGGTGCCCGATCATGCCCGCCCCCCGCCGCCAGATCGCGGCCCCGCCAGTGCCAGCATGCAAGATGGCGGCAAGGGCCAACCTGCCAGCCGCGCCGGTGCCGGATCGTGGCCATGCCGTTCTGGCGCTTTGAAAATAGCAGGCAGATGGGCCTGCCTGTGCTGAAGCACCGACGACGATTTTCCACAGAGAAACGCTGAGGGCTATTATTCATCTAGCGGAATACTATTAAGTCTGCAGGCTACTGGACACGGGAAGCGGGATAAGGCTAGTTGTAGTTCCTCAGCTGTCACTTTTATCATTTCTCATTTCATACTTTTATTTTGATTTGATTCGGGACTGGCAACGCAATCAACTTCAACTTCAATGTGGAGTACTAAAGCCTGCCGCACCGTCGACTATCCCAGTTGCTCTTCCGGCCTGCAACTTAGATTTTTACAATCTACCGGAGCAGTTTGCTCATCCGGGTGGAAGACGAGGGGTGAGCGCGACAATCAACGCAATGTGTGTGCGCTTTTGATTTTAGATACCTATTGTAGAGCTCCAATAAACGCCATTGTTTTTACAACTACAAGAATAGAACTACGACTGTAGCACTACTGGTTGGTATTTAATGGATAGAAGTAACATCTTGATGCACGATCTTTATTTGACCTTGGATAGAAAAAATTTATAAAACTTGCACGACCGTGAATGTGAAGAAAGCACAAGCAGTGGAAAGCACCAATGCGGTAACTTTCACTTTGTCAAATCTCTTGAAACTCTCCAGCAAAGATGGAAGATGGAAACTAACCACAGAAAGAATTCTTTCACTATTAAACTTCAAAAACTTCCCGAACGTGTGCAATCAAACTGTTGCAACAAAAGAGAAAAAGAAAAACGTCGTCGGACCGGAGCAGGTGCCCCTTTTAAGTTCGAAAATTCTTCGACCAATGTAACCCCTCCTGTGGTGCTACTGGAAGACGATGACGCAGTCACGCACTCACTGAATTGCAGATGAGCCGCGAGGATATCGTATAGCTTGTCCTCCGAGGTCGCGTTCTCCAGCAGGTGCGCTCCGGAAAGCCCGAGCCAAGGACCCAATGTGTCTTCATGCAATACGCAAAGCAACCGACCTGTGCCCGCAGTCCAGGCTCGTGTCGGCAAAGTGCTCATCGCGTTTTCGTTTGAGCTTTTCCCTGGATGCTCCCTGCGGGCAAGATAGGAGTCTGTGCCTGCCGAAACGCCACCTCCGAACTTGTCTTCATCTGGAACGCAGCTTCTTTCGTCGAGCTCGAGATGACCAGACTCGCGCGGCCTGATGCTGCTGTCATTAACAAGAATAATGCTTTTCTCACAATATGTTCTTGAACAGTCCGGGTCCCAGCATGAAGGCGTGGCTGGAGGTGTGTTCTTATTTGGGCTGTCGGCATCTATTTTTCCACATAGGGCCTGCATCAAGACGAGCGAATTCTCGTCATTTAGGACGCACGGAATGCTGGGATCAGAAACCTGCTGCTCATCATAGTCTCCCGTTTTGTAGTCTGGGGCAAGAATGCTAAAATCGAAGATAGCGATGTTGTGGCGAAACTTTGCCGCGTCCGATGGTCGCGTCGCTCCGGGAAAAATATCGTAGGCGTTTGACGCAATGCCGAAGTGGATTGTTGAGCACGTGTTGGAAACATCATGTTCACTACCGCAATTTTTTTCTCGTGGTGAATTGTGCCGGTTCAGCCTCAGCGTGCGGACGCGAAGCTTCGCCAAGACCTGTCTGGTGTCCTCGTACAGCCAGCACTTCAGGCCACACGTGGTGGTCGGAATGGCGGCTTCTTCGCTGTGCCTTTCCCTTTGCCTCTCCCCGACGCGCTGTTTCCTGGCTCGCTCTCGTACGACATCCGGTATAATTGCGCATCTGTTCAAAAATGAACAATTTGCTCCGCTTGAACTTGAAGATGCGGCTTCGCCATGTGCTGCGCTTCCTGCACTGCTGGAACTACATGACGACGACAGAATTGTTTCTGTTTTATTTTTTCCTTGTTCGCCAGGGTCCAACCAATTGTAGTTTTTACAACGGGCGGCTGTATTTTCGGTTTCGCTTGCTGTCCTCCCGTGGTGTTGCATAGAGGGAAAGCGGGTACTAATGCAAAGAACTGCTGGTGCTGCTGGTATCACTTTCAACAAGAAGAGCCCCGCCAACTTGCCATACATATCTGACTGCGCCACATCGAATCCATCTCATTCTCAACCAATCAAAATCATGCCAATTACATTTGCTACGATCCTCAACCTGCTCTCTCTCTTTTCATTGTGAGAAGCACACCAGAAAGTGGCCGAGAGCGCCATCTGAGTGAACCGGCGCCCGGCGCACTTTTTGCAAGACGAGGAAACGAAGGCTGCACACACGCAACACCGCGGAATTATTTTTCATTAGGGCTAGCAGCAATCTGAAAGATCAGTCACTCAGAGACCACTTTCCATCCATACCATAGAAGTTGCCGTGCCATGTACTAGCTCCGAGATATTGAGGCCCCGTGCGACCACCGCGGTTGCTGCGGATTGGAGCGGTATTCCGAAGCGCCCAGTGCAGCAAATCCCGAGCCACCCGATTGCACTCTGCGTCGCAGATCTGCTGCAGCCCCACCGGTCCCCCGGAACGCGATCCAGAGCCCACAAAGATCAGGACTTGCGATGCCTGTTCAACTATCTTGAGAGTAAATACCCCGGTGTCGGCAAAAGCAGAAAAATAGACTTCGAAAAAAAGGTGCCCCGGATTGGATTCTTGATCAGTGCCGTATGCGAGTGCACAACTACAACTTCTCCTGCGCCTCATTTGTAGTTTGGCAGGATTACCTCCAGCTCCATAGGAAGTAGTGCCAGCACAGGATAACGATAAGATCAAACTAGAAACCCTAAAACCCTAGTAGAACCCATTAAACCCTGAGAGGCCAGCAAAGGATAAGAAAAGGGCGCAGCCTCATCTTCTCTTTCACAAATAGAAATATACATAAGTAGTATGCAAGAATGTAATCGCTTCTGGAGTCTGTCCTGAGTCTAATAGCTTCTGGAATTGTTTCGTTTTGCTTCTGGCACGATAAACGGTAAGGGGCGGGACGAGGGGGGGTTGTGCAGTCGCATTCCCATATTCTGATCAGTATCTGCACGGTCTCCATCAGCAAAGAGTTCTCCCCATGGAGGCCAAAACGGAAGAAGATCTCGCAGGTTGCATTTCCGGCTTCCCGATGACCTTGAGAATTATCCCGTGTCTGGCAGTAGCGGGCGTACGCGTAAGGCTCCAGGACAACAAAAACGCCCTCGCTTTGTATCCAATATCGAAGCTCCAGCTCGTCGGGAACAATCACGCACTTCGGAATTAGATCGCAATCCACTGCAAGGACATTTTCCACGGACAGGTTGACGCCCTCAGACCGAAACATGACGTCGAGAGCGGTGTTCAGAGTATGATCAACTCGTCGACGCAACATATTATCTTCCCCTGGGCCTTCGCTGTCACGATCGCTAGACGTGGTCTCTTTCCTTGTTTCGTCCCGCTGCACGTCGTGAAGACGCAGGTCGTCCCTCACCTTCTTGTGATCCGCATCTGCTGCAGCACCTGCGTCATCAACATGATTCGCATTGTTTAGCTGATTGCAGGAAGCGAGCCTTTCGAGCAAATACTCGCGGCTTCGAAGGTCCCTGCAATTTGCGAAGAGCACCCATGTCGCTTGGAAGGATCGCATATCGCCGATCTCGATTGTTTTCAGCGTTGATGTCGCCTTTGCACCAGGACGAGCATCCCCCTCATCTTCAATTTTAGACCGGAGTCCCTCGCGTTGTGTAGTTCCGGGGAAGGTGCTCGTCGTCTGGTCCTTCGTGTTGCCATCACCTTCACGTCGACTGGTGGTCGCGCTTGGTACGATTTCCGGTCGTACTTGCCGTACTACGCGACCAGCTCCTGGAAGTGTGCAATTATTCCCAGTCGGTTCTTGGGTCGTGGTAATCGTATCTATGTCAAGAGCATCACCATTCAGATGAAGATTACGAGTGCAAGGTGCCTTGTCTTGCTCCAGGTCGTCCAGGGTGAACGCGGGAAGAGACTCTTTCTTGCTTTCAACACTGCCCTGTTCAGCGGTGCTCCTAGCAGCACCTGAAGAGTGTGAGATTGAGATCGCTCCATCGTGAGAATTCGTCTGCCAAGTGTCGTGGCTTTTGGGTTCGCTTTTCTCGCCTTGCTGTTGTTTATCAAGCGCTGCATTATTTGTTGCGGCTCGACGTCCTTCACCTCTGCAGAGATCTCGAGGAAAGACGAGCAACTCGCGCTCTAGCCGCGAGACAATCTTTTCTTCATGGGTTAGCGCTTGCGCGGAAGGTGGCACGTCCTCGTGTACCCGAGTTTTCCACTTTCGGTTGTTCGCCCCTACTTCTGTCTCTTGGCCGACCCGCGACCGCAGCACTGGCGCAAAGGCAAAAGCTCCACCTCGTGCTCGGTGCAGCAAGGTAAAACGCAATGCGTTCTGGGGGGCGGTCTGCAGAAAAATGCAGACTTTTGTAGCTGGGACCGGAGTCGCGAACTGACATAGGTGAATCACCAGATCGTTTCGGTTTCTTTTACTTTCCTGTTCTGCAGCTTTATTGAAAGGGACACCTTTAGACCCTCCCGAAAAATTATCCACATCATCGACGAAGCGACTAGTGGCGAGCAGAACTCTTGCTGTGTTCGGAAAGGCTTGCACGTCCACAGAGGCAATCAGTTCGAGGCTTTGTTCCCTCCACTCGACGGCGTCCCTTTCTTCTTCTTGCTCACCACGAACGTCGTGCATGTTTCGGTAAATCCGTAAACCCTGCCGGCCTGCGCCCGCGACAAAATCCACCTGAAGGACAAGCGTTCTTTCTTTACCCGACTTCAGTGCTTGCTCCTCGTCCTCCTGCTCCAACAACGACCTCGCATCTTTCGCGGAGAAATCGTGCGTGAACGACCGCAGCACGACCTGGTGGCGCGGCTTCCGTGAAGAGTTACAACCGTTATCATGATTCTTCGGCTTCGAGATGGGGTAGTTGCGCTGCTGCCATTCGTCGCACACGCCACGACCCCCGATCGCTTCCTCCGCAAACCGAGTTGCAAAAAAATGCTTCAAAATCAAAGCTGAGCACGATTCATCTTCATACACAGCAGAGCTGGCAGCGTTTGCTTTGCGGTAGGAAAGACTGTCCTCGTTGCTGGAACCTGCGACAGCTTGGCGAATGGCCGCCTCCCACAAGATGCTCAATTTCTGCTTGTTGAGGTGGTGAGTAACACCCTGTGCCCAAAATTCCAGGTTTTGCAAATCACCATGTTCCGCCTCCGATGTTGGTCGTTCACGAGGATCAGGATCTTTTTCGTCAGGATAGCGCTGGCTCGCCTTTGTCGATGGAGATGACAAATTGCAATGGTTAGACGTAAATCTAGACGCGCCTTTTTCCCCACGTGCAGCGCAAGTAGCTACCCCAATGTGCACAGGGCCCCGGGGACGGCTTGGCAAAATTGACCCTCCCGTACCCCTACAACCCGCTAGGAAAACGCTCGTCGCGGCATTTGTCGTCACAAATTCATCTTGATCTTCATCTTCCCTGTTGTCGCTCGCGCTCGCACTTCCCCAACCCTTGCTCTTGCGAGCTAGAAGCTCCACCTCCCGAAATCCAACAACCTTGCCTGGGTCGCTGGATGGCACAGGTGCCCAAACGGCGGCTGCGCCTGCGCGTCCTGCATTGTTAATCATGCCATGTCGTGTCTCATCGCTCGGCTCTACTAGTGCGTCCCGGAGGAGCGCCTGCCGGAAGTTATGTGCGGCGGCTGCGATAAGGGTCGACAAGGAAAACGATCTTGGTGAGGACAATGCGTCGGCGGATGCCTGCTCTTCTTCGGCCGATTGGAGTGCCAGGCCAAAAAATGGATGCCTCGTTGTCAGCTCATCGATGGCGGACGATAAGGTCGTGGTCAACGCGCAGGGAGGAGACGAGTGCCGTTCTACGTCTCTCCGTGATGGTGCTATTTTTTCGACTGCGCTGGCCAAAGATGAAGGAGCCGGCTCCCGTGTCCAGGTTGTACCACGACTGGTGTCACCGATGTCGTTGAAATACGCTGTAGCTGCAGCAGCAGCCCCTTGTTGCAAGGTTGTTTCGTTACCATCAGCTTTTCTAGACGTCGCACAAACGGCCGACGTCGAGGCTTCTTCACCTCGTGAAGTAGAATGCTCATCTGCAATTACATCGCCGGTGTTTGTAGCAGTCGTAGCATCAATACAATCACTTCTGGAGGTCGTGCTGTGAGCTGTAGTAGCAAGAACTCTTTGATCAGAAATTTCTGTGGCGGAAGATGCTTCTGAATCCAAAACGCTGCCTAGGATTACAGCCATGTCGGGTAGCACAGCAGCCGAAAAATCATTATTGTACGCCGTCCATGTCGTAGTCGTTCTGCTGCAGCTCGTCCGCAGTGACTCAAATTTACAGTTGCCACTGTCTTCCGGCCCGTTTACTTGCTCTGTCTCTCGTGTTGTGCACGGATCCATACTGGCAAGGAGCTGTGCCCACCACCAAAACCGAAGATCCAGTGCAGGATTTTTGTGGTCACCGTCTACCGCGTGCGCATCTACTGCCAACGGACTTCTAAGTCTTCTCGCAATGCAATTCATTTTTGAGGCCACACTCCGCCGAAAGCTTTCGCCGAGTTCCTCTGGGTAGTGCGCACTTTTACCAATGCCAGGAAGAGACACAGAAGTACCAGCAGGCGGTAGCTGGCCATTTGCGCGAGCTGCAGCACCACCTGCTAGCCAAAGCGGCTGCTGTTGCGCTGCGAAATTCTGATGAAATGGTGCAGGCACGACGGGAGTGCCATCTTCCCGCCCTGCGACCGAGCTACAAGAGGGATCGAGGATGCTCGACCGCCGCGGCAGTTTCACGTAGCGGCTCGGGCTCCCCGTGGCTATGTCGTTCACCCTACCGTTCGCCGCCCCTGGCGAGGTTGGCAAATCATGTCGCTGTCGCCGCGTGGCCGCAACAGCGCTGCTTTCGGAATGTAGATCGTCGACATCAGCAGACCGGTCAAAGGAATCCTCCTCGATATAGGAACTGTGCTCCTGACTCCACGATGAACTTGAGTTGTCTCTTTCCACGTCTCCTGGGTAGTCTTGTTCGTGGTCGAGGAAGGGGCTGTTGCTGCCCGGCTGCTGCGGTTGCTGTCGGTGCTGCGGTCCAGCTCCAGCGGCAGTTCCCAGGGTAGCGTTCCCCCGGCCGCCTTCCACCAAATACGCACCAGCATCGTGACAGCCACTACGCCCGGATGCATTTAATGACCGAATCGTCGAGTCGACCAACAGGCAAATGAAATAGTACCCCTGATCGGGCGAGAGATGGTATCTTGTTTGCGATCGGCCAGCGGTAGCGTCAGCCGGCAGGAGCCGAGGGTCAACGGCAGCCACATCGTTCCTCCAGGGCGAAACCGAAAAATCAGAAACTGAAAAAATATCTGAGGCGGGGGCGATCTGCCCGCCAAAAATATTTTCATCATCACGATGTGGCAGTCCTGGTAAGAAAACGCTTTTGGCAAACCCCACAATACCACTCGTGTGGGTACCGCCAGTCGCTTTCGTGTGAGTTGTCTGCGATGCAGTACCGCCAATCGCTTTCGTGCAGGACCCTTTGTCTGCGATGGAGGAGCCCGAGGTCGATGGCGACCATTCAACAACAGAAGGAAGGGCGTTGCTTTTCATGGCGGCGTTGGTCTCGCGCTCGCGCATTCTGAGTCGTATGGGAGTACACAACCCGTCCCGCTCAACATCTTCATTATTTGTCAACATTTTCATCAACAGCAACATCATGCTTCACGTGTTAATAAAGATAAACAGAAAGCGGAAGCGCTGCCGAGCTTCGTGTTAATAAAAACTCATCTTTCGCGTTCGGGTTCGACGTGACCGCACGGCTACATACAGTCCGTCTCGGACCGACGTACTATTACCGCATGATGAATTTGTCAATCTGATGTTGGTGTCCGTCTGTAGCTATCGTTGTGTCCCTTCCTGCTGTTCATGCATCGATTAAAATGCGAGCGCGAGCAGGGAGAATTGTGCACTATCGTATGTCTTTCAAGTATCTTAACAGCGTCCGCAATGCAGTTCGTTCTACTTCTGTTTGTTGCCGGGCGTAGACCGTGTCTGGCGCACGGCTGCTGCTGAGCGACTGGTCGCAATTGCTCAACGTCCACTCCCCGATCATCATGACGCTCCTGTTGTTCTTCATTTGCCATAATCATCTTGTTCCTGACACTGGAACTACCCAAAAGAGGACTCAGCTGGTAGTCCACGAAGACTTGGCTAGGCCGTCCAGAAGTAGCTCTCCAAAGGCTACTAATGTTTTCACTCACAGACGAGAGTCGACGCAGAATGCTGATGTCATCCTTATTGGAACCAACGGCATCCGGTGACGGAAATGAGCCGGCGGTGAGTCGTGGCCGGGCTCCTGCAAAATCGCACTCAGAAGTGGTCTTGATCGCCGGCAAATATCCAGGGGCCGCGGATCCGCTGAGCTCACTGGAATCGGACGCCTTCGGTGACGATTTTGACGCGCATTCGGAAGGACGGCCCCCCAGTGAACGCAGCATTGTGTCAGTGCCTTCTGTGCCGGAGGAGGAGGAGCTCAGGTATACAAGGCGGTCAGCAAAGGGGTCGTACGCGACTCGTTCCCACGCCGGCGCATGCGCCAAAACAAGCTGGTACAAGCTGTAGCCTCCCATTGCTGCGCACCTCCCCTCAACCAGAAACAAAGCCTCGCGCACACCATCAGAATCAGTATGAGCCTCCTCGCAACCAGCACCTATGTCGTCGCGGTCTCGTCTCTCCTGCGCCCGGGACCCAGTTTCTTCTCTCCAGTCCCAAGATGCTTTTTTTTCTATCTTCAAAGTGCAGTGTATGAGATCGACAAGAAAAAGTAGCTCATCCTCGTCGTGATATGGCGCTCGGGTCGGACGTGGAGTTGCGTACCGGCTCTGCAATATTCTTGGCTTTAAGCCACGCCTGGCCACAAACTTTTTCTGCAGCATGGGTCGGGATTGGCCACCGACGTCGTTTGGAATCCAGTTTCCGTTTGCGTCAACATACCGACCTGCTGGACCTGACATACTACCACGAAAATATCCTTCTCCTGGTGGGTCTGCAAACACCGGCGTCTCGATCTTGTAGACATCCTCGGCTTGCCCGCAGAAATCTCTTTCTACCGTGATTGATGATGAGTCATGATCTGCAGGAGCTGCAGCACCCTGCTGCTCAGCCCCATGACTCTTCTTTTTCTTGGTCATTACGAACGGCGAGGCTGGTGGCCGCATCTTTACTTCTGTACAGCTGTCTCCTGTCCGGAAACGTTGCTGCGGATGCCGGAAGTAAATCATGCTGGCTTTCTCGGGTCCAATCTCAAGTGTATCTTCCGCGTCGGCCAAGAAAGTATGGCCGAGGGCGTACCGGTCAGATATTTCTCTCAGCGCCACAGCCAGTCGCGTCCGCGCTCTTATACGCCCTTGGTCCACCTCGGTTTGCTTCGAAAGCTCGCCCAGTTTTCTCTTCATAATTTCGTGATCTGCCGCAAAGTCAGAGGCTGAGGTAGATGCGGCACCAGCAGAAGTTCGATTGTATAGGTCAGCGAGAAAACTCACCGCTCGCGCATTCGCTTTCGCTGTCGCACTCACGTGCTGCTCAGGAGGGTGTGTCGACAGCACGGTCGTCGCCGACATCTTCTGGGACGAGTCTATGGATCCACTATTCGCCAAACATGCGTATTTGCATTTGCTCGAAATATTGAAAAATCCTCAATAGATATTGATATGAAACGCCACCCATATGAACATACGCCGTACCCTCCAAATCCCCTCCCCAGCTCAGCGCCAGCGAAGCAAGTTCACCATGCGCATGCCCCTACTTCTTTCGCTGTATTCCCATTCACTGGCGCAACTACAAAAAGACTAATCGACATCGGTTCACTTCTGGCTCTTTCCCGCATCGCTGACACGGCCGCCAGGGCACAGCCATTCGCTGAGTTATCAGTTCCCTGCGCGTCTCAATCAAAGTCGGAAGACAATTTCTAATCCGAAAAATGAAAACAATCAACACCGGAAGGGTTCCAAAAATGAAATCAAGTAGCCATCTCTGGCCTGGTGAGGCAACACAGAAAAACCCAAGCAACCTCCACACACACCATAGCGCGCGGGCAGTCGGGATATGACGTGGGGGGCCTACCCCTACGGCACCCGGGCCACGAAGAAGCGGAGCCCGAAGGCGGAACCGCGGCGCGGAGGTTAATTTGTTTTGGGGGAATTCGGATTCTTTTTGCGATTTTCAGCTGAGGGACAACATGGCGCGAAAATTTTATTTTGTGAAAAAGCGCGCCGAGAAAATTAAATTTAGGATGTTGGGTGTTTTGACCCAACCTGCGCCGCAGGTTTGTGCAGGTTGGGTCAAAACACCCAACCTGGCAGCGGTCGAGGAGGTTCGGCCGTTGCCAGAAACGGACAACATTCGCGACGAAAAAACCGTGGCTGTTCGGAACAGCCGCGGCGTTTTCATCATTTTCTCCGTCGTTGCCGTCTAGCTGAAAAGGCGCGCGCGACCTCGGGACGCTTCAATGCGGAAGCTTTCGTCTTTATCAACTCCTTCAAAGACGAAGAAGCCTGCAAATTCCACCACTCCGCTCTGCTGTTTTTGAGTCGTTTCACCAGCAGGGCCGACGAGTTGGATAATATCCCAAGAAAAAAGTTGCACAATTACACACTGCGTTGCAGGCCAAGCAAGACAGACAAGCTCTGTCATGCCGGATATACATAGGAGCCTAATTTCGTATGTGTTTTCCCGTAGGATTTCTGCATTGCAGGTTTTCTCTCTCGTGCAGAGAAATTCGCGTTGCTGAATTCACTACAAGTGTGTAACTGCATACACTTTTTTCGTGGGATAGATAAGAGTGGCGATTCAATACTTATCGAGGAATTTTCAATAAACCGGCCAAATCTAAATACGCAGGTTTGGGTATATCGTGGGTCCATAGCCGACATCTTCTGGGACGAGTCGTGCACGTCTTGTTCAATCGTGCCACGCACTACTTGCAACGTACTGTCGCAGTTCTTGTTCGCCTGGAACGCGTCCACTTCCCAGTTGTCCCTTTCTTCACGGTGATGTTGTAACAGTTGTCGCGCAAGACGAACACCTTCGTGGTCAGCACCCTCCACCTGCAGCAGCGTCGTGAACTTCTCGTCTTGTTCAACGAGGTCGTTGTCCGCCTCATTTACATTTCCCATCTCCTCAGGCCTTTTGGATTCGCCGGTGCGACCGGAATGCATGCGCAATTCGCTTCCACCATTTTGTCGCGCGCTCAGCATTGACATTGTACCTGCTCGTCCCTGGTCTGCGATTGTTCTCCGAGCGTGTGCGTCCTCGTCTCTCTGCGATGACAAACGCGTCCTCTTTGCCGAATCGTCGTGGATGTTTTGACGCAAAACAGTCAGGCGGTTCTTCAGCCTTGCGATGCGATTGCGCTCTTCGCCAAGTTGTTCCTCCGCTTGAGTAGAAGTAGATGGCAGGGTCAGCAAGCCTTTCTGTGCAGCTTGTAGCAGCCGTCGGACACGACTTTCGTTCGCGGAAATCTCGTCGTGATTGTGATTAGGTCTAGTTGTCGTTGTGAGTTGTAACCGGCCTGAGGACCGAGATGTTGAGCTCGGGGTTGACTTTGATTCAGGAAATGAAATAAGCTGCGTCACTGTTACATACTGGAGCATGCAAGTCAGAACTCTGCGCCTGCTTGCTAGGGTAGGCATGCGCGAGGACGCGGGTCCTCATCTTCATCTTCTTGTTCTGTGCCTACTTCTCATTAACATGTTTCTCTTTCTTCTTGATGAAACTTGCTTTTCGTCCTGGCCACCAGCAAAAGCAGCCCAGAATATGTGCTATGTATGTGATCTATGTGGTCGTGCGCCATAGAAGCAAATCACAGTGATGTAGCCTAATTTATTCGCCTCATAAGACGCGTGTTTTCGTTTTCCTCAGACGTTGTATAAAGACGCTCGTACTTTTCCGGGCCGCAGTCGTTGGCTGTTCTCCGGCTGCTTTGCCTTTATCCAACTCCGCAGAGCATCCGCTTCCTGGAGGTCCAACTCCCGGGTCGACCTCTTTACCACCTCCATTGGCATTCCTGTCCCCGCGAAGCGGCTCGACCCTCAAATCGAAATCTTCTTCCCCGAGATTTGCAGGACCGGGCAGCTCCGTTTGCGATTCCGTTTCCTGTGCCGCCATTTTTCGCGTAGACGACATCAGGGACCGGAGCAAGGCGCCAACGCGCTCTCTCAAGTACTCGCCCGTATCCTGTCGGCTTTTCGAAGTCGTGGAGGAACCCGCGCCATTTTGTAATTGTATATCAAGAACACCTGCCGAGAGTACTGGGAGCTCCTGGTCTGCAGGTGGACCACGTGGTCCACTCCAAGACGATGTTAGCAATTGTGAAAACCGCCTCAAGTGCCGTATGTCATCAGATGGGACCGCACCTGCAGTCAGTAAAGAGAACAAAGAACGTGTCCTCCACCGTAATGCGTCTTCGTCAAGCTTCTTGCTCCCGCTCGCGGTTTCCTTGAATCCCACTTCGGCCACCTGGTTTTCGATTCAAATTTATATTTTTTCTATATGCAATTGAAATTACTGGTCCCGCTCACGTCCGTGTTTCTGCACTTCTTTATTAGCTACAAACGCGCAAAACGAAAACGGATCAACGTCTAACAACTAGTATGCAAAAGCAAATGCATTGTTTGATTATATAATTTCTTCGTAGTTTGTACATGGGTTACTCGTCGATACTGTTAGGGAAGCTTCGAGGGCTTACCGCAGATGAAGGGCACTGGTGTTGGCGAGCTTCACGATCACCACAAGATCTAGTTCGCACCATACAGCTTGTGCGTTCGATCTCAACCTCGGGGCCGCGATTATTTGCATTTCCCGTCGTCCCCGCGGCCGCTGGTAGTGCTGGCCTGAATTTTTCTGCTGAAGAATGTTGGATCGCACACTGACCTAGTACACCAAATTGACGATGTTCGCGTTGCTGCGGAAGATCATCACCGGCTGCACTTTGGAGCTCGGGCGCAGATCCTGCTCCCTTGCTTGTCCGACCTTCACCATCATAATTCTGCCGGGAACAATGTTGTACAGTGTAGGTACTGGTTTTAGCCTGCGGCGCCAGCTGCAGAGAATCCGTGTCAACATACCCATGGTCGCGAGCCTGGGCCGTCGCAACATCAGGCTTCTCTTGGCCTTGGAGACCGCCCGTCGAGCTCACCTGATGGAGACCGTCCTCGAAAACGCAAACAGATTTTTCATTTCTTTGTTTTCGCCTGTGTTCCGCCTGCCGCAGGAATGCTTCCAATCTTGCGCCTGGAGGATTTCCTGCCTTCTTCGGACCCAGCGAGGTTGTCATCATTACCGACCTTAAAAATGTTAGACCTGGCGCTGGCCTTACCGACGTTGCAATTGATATGATTTAGACCAAGATTATGAACTTGAACCTTCAAAAGCTGCAACCTTGACCATTTATTATCGGAGACCACACACGTAACCTCTACGAAGGACACGGACAGAGACAAACGCGCGAAGGCATAGAACAAGCAACGACCTTCTGCTATCAGAATGAGAGCCACATATTCCGACAACGCAAGTCGCTATGATATTTCATTTTGTGCTTCTTGGAGGGTTATTTCCACTTTTTTGTTTTTATTTCACCACTTCCCGTGGTCGTTCATTGATTATGGTCATGCCTGTGCATCCACCGTCTGACGTGAACCACTCAACTCAGGATCTCTTTGGATGCCGGAGTTTGAGCTTGTCGCGATTTGTATTTCACTGAAATTTCGAATGTCGTATTTTTAGACCGAGCCCTCATCATCTCGCTCTACTAGTACTAAGTCAGACTCAGATACGACCCATTCGTGTGTCGATATATACTTTTGCTTCGCATGCCAGGCGCCACTACCAGTGTTCTCTTCACGCCACAAGAGCGTCTATCTACGTCTCGAAATAGATAATAATGCAACAAACAGATAAAGTAAGTAAAAACAAGATCAAGAGCGGATCTGGCGGACACTACGTGGACCAAATGTAATTTAGAAGAGTTCGACGAAGTAGTCAGTAGACAGCTATCTATAGCAAACACAACGAAAATTATGCGGCTTGTAGAGACCTTAATATTTTCGGTGCCAAAATCTACATGTGCTCAATTTGTGTGCGCCGTCAGACAACCTCCAACGAGCAAAAGAACTGCAGCAATTCTATCGCCAGCCGGCAGCGAAGGCGACGCAATCGCCAAATTAAAAAAGTACTACTGATACACAAGACGTAAGAGTCTTCTACACAGGAAGCAGAACTAGGCACGAGAAGTGCACCACTGTCGCAATAATAGAGATATTTTGTATTGGGAGACGGAGAGCCTAGGTCCCCGCCATGATGACAAAACGCTAGTGATACACTCACAGGAGGGGCCTCCTCGTCGCTTTCACATCATGCGGCGACTTGGAGTGTGAGTCGAGGCGCGATGCTCATAGTCATGAGCTCCTGAAAGAGAAGCTTCGCCGCGTACGGGAGTGTAATCTGCGAAACTTTCCCTTTGGAGCGGCACAGCTTGCACTGGTAGACGTCGTTTTCGATATTTCCGATTGCAAACAAACCGCAATTGTCGCAGCAATGTAAGCGGAATGCGTCGGAAACATCGAAGAGCCGCTCCTTCAGAAATTTGGCGGCTCCATGCGAGATCATGCAGTCACGTTCCATCTCCCCGAACCGCAACCCACCTTGTTTACCACGACCTTCCTGTGGCTGTCGTACCAGTTGCGTCACCGGACCCCGGGCGCGACTGTGGATCTTATCCGCCACCATGTGCTTCAGTCGTTGGTAATAGACAGGCCCAATGAAGATCTGTTGTTGATTTTAGAAGCAAACGGTCTCGTCTTCGTTGAAATTCAAGTGCTCAAACTTACCAGACCAAAGACGAAACAATTACGACTCGTGTAAGTAGTTTTCTCTTCTTCAAACATAAAGAAGCAGGAGACCTAGAGCCAACTGTGACTAATATCAGAAACAAAGACAAACATAAACCACGGAGGAAGAGGATACATCCTACAATCAGATAAAGAAAAAGCAGTACCTTTGCGGGCAGTGGCTTTCCTGTATGGCCTACGTAGAGCTGTTCGTTGCCGTACCTCTGGAAGCCGAGTTCGTGCAGGCGACTGGCGACATCACGCACTGTCACTTTTGTGAAGGGTGTGGCGTCACCCTCACCTCCGGCTAGGGAGCCCACCTTGGACAGAAGCTGTTCAACCAAGTGGCCCACGGTCATGCGCGAAGGAATCGCGTGCGGGTTCATGATAATGTCCGGCACAACTCCATCTCGGGTGAACGGCATGTCCTCCTGGCGAAACAGAATCCCGCAGGTACCCTTCTGTCCGTGTCGGGACGCGAACTTGTCTCCGACCTCCGGAATCTTGTACGTGCGAACCTTGACCTTAGTAAAACGAAACCCGTCCTTGTTCGTGGACAGAATAACCTCGTCCACCACTGCCGTCTCAGCTGGTCGCATGCACACACTGCAGTCCTTCTTTTTCGCCGGCAAGGGTTCATTCGTTTGCCCGTCAAACTCCGGCTCCAGATCCTGCGTCATACCGATAACCACGTCGTCCCCGAACAGCCGGCCGCCTGGTGTTGCAGGTAGTTATCGCATTTTTACGACTTTGACCTCCTCGCTAATTCTATAAATATCCGTATCATTCATCTTTTTTTCTCTATCTCTTGCTCTCTTCCCAGCAGTTCCTCTTCGACACCGTACTTACACATTCACATTCATCTGAGAAAAAAACAAACAAATCATGCTTGGCAGGTTGTAGAACTACGGCTGCGACGACGACGACGAGGCAGTGTAGAAGTAGAGCTGCCGGGGCGATTTCTTTTTTTTACATCATTCTTTTCTTGTACCTGGCAATGCAAGACCGTCATCGTCCAACTTGGAGTAATCACCCTGCTTTCGGCCCGTAATGCGCACGGGTTCACCCGCCGCGTCGATGATTTCGCTTGAAGGGTTTTCAAACACCGTGTTCAAATTTCCTTTGCGCTCCTGTTCGGCAGCGTAACTTCGAAAAAACACCGACCGGAACATGCCTCGGTCGACAGAGCTCTGGTTCAGAATCAGACTATCCTCTTGGTTGTAACCTGGTTGTTCGTGCCATGTTTTTGTTTGCAACTTCAATAATCATAGAAACTTTTTGTTTCAACTATACCATAGAAGAGAAGAAAATGTTGCCTGCAATTGTCTTCAACTTCTTGTGTAGTTTGTAGGAACCTAGTTTCATAATTCATTGCTTCAGTCTACTTCAGTTTATTTTTCTCGTCTCTTAGAGGAATTCCGAAAGGGCAAAATTAGGTTTTGTTTCGATATGTGCATTCGGGTACCTGAGTAGCACATGATCGCGACGGTGACATTGTTTCCTGCGGGAAGCTGCCGAAACCTGAGGTAGTTCATGGCTCGCGTCCCCACAAGCGGCTTTTGGGGGTAACAGAGCACGTTCGCGAGCGTGTCGACGCGCTGGTTGAAGTTGGTGGCAAACACACCGAGGGCCTGCTTGCCCATGGCACTCTGGTAGCAGTTTCGGGGCGACTGGTTGTGGTCTGGAAAAGGGATGATACTTGCGCAGATAGAGAAAATCATCGAGGGATGGATCTCGCAGTGCGTAAACGTGCGGCAGTATGCGCGGTCATCGTTCACATTGTGGACAAACATCGCAATCATTGCGTTCTCCGTTTCCTCACAATCGATGTACTCCACCAGACCCTTTTCAATCAAGTTCCCCCATCGGAGCCTGCCGTTCTTTAATTCCTGGATGTGGTGCCTCCGGATGGCGAGGCTCTGTAATTATGGTTAGATAGATGATATATAATTTAGGTATTAATTTTGTATTCATTTCATTTGTTCTCGAAGAAATTCAAGCAAATGCAAACAGCAAATGAGAGGTGCAGCTTACTATTGATGTATAAACGAAAACAGAAACTGTACCTGTGCTTTTTCGTTTACAACGTAAAGCGGACGCATGGCGCGCCCTGCGTCCGTGAATATTTTGATTTCGCGGTTTGCCATATCTGTGACGATGGACACCTCGGACTCAAAGTCCAGTCGCCGCTTACTCGTCAGCAGGCGGCGAAAGAGGTCGGCCTGTCGAGAGTGTACCCCGGCCCACTGTCCGTTCAGGAAAACCTTGCAGTAAGTCTTGATCTCCGTTGGGAGAACGTCTTCCAATTCTTCCACGCCCCACTCCTTCAGGAAATCCAGAATCACGGACTGTGGCGAACCAATAGTGATGTTGCACATCAGCGAGATGTTTTTCACTAACCCGACGGCCTGGCCCTCGGGCGTCTCGGCTGGGCACACCATACCCCAATGCGTATTGTGCAGCTGCCGGGGTTTTGCGATCTTTCCTGTCCGGTCTAGTGGTGTGTTCATGCGCCGCAGCTGAGACACCGTCGCCATGAAGGTCAATCGGTTCAACACCTGGATAATGTTCAAAGAAGGCGTTTTTTTCTGAAATTCTCGCTCTCGTTCATTCGTAAGAATTGAAAAAAAGACACTCATGCGCGATCTTGAGCTTGTTATTGATTGAGAATAAGCGCGTATACCATTTTAGTCTAGTTTTCAAATGAGGAATGAGAGAGAAACATACGGGTAAAGGTAAAACATCTGAACTTCCAGGCACCCCGAGGAAAACGGCAACGAAGAGCTGCGGACGCAATGATGAAAGAGAAAAACCAGGGCACCTGCGCAATAAATTGGAACGTATCACTGTACTGCAACTGCTACTGAGAACTCTATTTTAAGTACCTGAGACACTCCTTGTCGCACCGGTTTGCCTTGCTTGTCCTGGCCCCAGTTTCCGGTTGCAAGCTGGTAGCGCATTCCGTCTGTGATCACGTTGGCTTCTTCCAAGACGGGGGCTACATCGAAGTCTTTGTTCATGTCTACCCTGCGCTGCACGATGCGTCGGAATGACTTAAAAGCTATCCCGCAGAAAAAACCAAAAGCTAGCGTAGGATGCAACTATGAATACATGAAGATGGAGAGGGTCCATAGGAATAGCATGCTGCTTGGGCTCTGCAAGAGGACAGATTTCTCTGGGTAAGGAGCGGAGAAGCAGGCATATCCACAACATTCATTTTTGCATGATAGATTATGCCAGTTTACTTTTTTCTGTGTCATAAATGTGTTCCGAAACAAAGTGCCGAAACTGGAGCTCAAAAGCGGACCCGCTAGGTCCATGCGCTTCTTTCCAAAGTGATCCCGGTCATCCTCTTGAATACGACCCAGAGCACCCAGCATCAGGCGATGCGTCATGTATCCGATGAAATACGCCTTCTTCTTTTCGCAGAACGCTTCGACCCCGACGTGGGGGAGCAGCTCCTTTTGCAAAACTTCTCGGGCGTACTGGGTTCTCTTGTCGCGCGTTGCGCCCAGCGTGGGGCCGCGTTTTGCGATGTAGTCCAGCGCCATCTCCTGCGTTGTGATCGGTGCAGCGTCGTCCAAACTCGTCTTCATCAAATTCATCATGGCCTGGTCGCTTAGCTCGTAGCAACAGATTTCCAGGATGTCTTTATCAGCGACAATACCTAGCGCGCGCATCACAATCACGACCGGAATCTCCACTCGAATGTACGGAATTGTGCACACAATCTGCCCGCGGCAGTAGCTTTTTCCCCCAAAGTTGTTCAACATCTTCACCGCAAATCCACTATTGGCAGCACTTCCCTCGTGGAGGGCGGACCTGAATTTTCAGTATTCAAAGTCAAATCGAGGTCTGAGCGTTTTCACTTGCTTTGTGAACCGTGGAGTGAGTCTATAAACGCACTACGTACTTCTGCGCTCACGTACACGCTTCGATATCCGTAAATAAGAATTAATAAGGCGAGGAAAAACGAAAAGCATCTTGTTCCTCAATATACAGTCAAGCTAGAGCGCATTCATCTGCAAAAACAGGCATGCATTTTATGCTGATGCTGCATTTTCTTTGCAATCGAAACGGATACCACGTGCTCTTAGTACCTGACTTCGCAGACCCAGGTGTATTTTGAGGGCTGCTTTTTCTGGAACGCGTACACAAAGTTATTGGCCATTCGTTCCATGGCAATGAGCACTTTCTCGGAACCGTTCACAATGAAATAACCGCCATTGTCGTAGGAACATTCCCCGTACTTGCACAGCTCCTCTTCGGTACAGTTGTTGAGCCAGCAATAGTCGCTCTTCAACATCACCGGCATCTGGCAAAGGTGCATACCTGTTTTTTCTTCATTTTTGGATGCCTAATGCTTCCGCAATCTCATCTCCGATTCGTCACTTTCAATATGAAAACTGAAAGAATCCTGAGAGTGACGAAGCAAAATCAAAAAGCAGTTCCGGCAGAGACGGACGAGGACAACTTCAACTAACTGTCACTCCAGGCCCCGCAGAGAAGCAGTCACTATGTATACCTTTGTAGTGGGTCTTTTTTATCAACTGCTCTTTGTCGTCTTCCACCACATCATAGACGCTGTGCTCAATGTCTATGAAAACGTTGGCGGCGTAGGTCATGTTTCTGAGTCGGCACATATTTGGTGTCATAGTCGTGCCCTCAGCATCGTTCGCGTCCTCCGTCTGCGGCTTGTGCACACTGAGATCTCTTAGTGTGAACCGATGAATCGTGGGCTTGATCTGAAGATGTTTATGATGTTTTTCTATTTCCGTGCCCTTGTTGATGCTCTTGGCACTTCAACAAATCTGAATTTCCATAGTTGCGCTGAAGTGCCCTATGCTTTTTATCGATGCAATGTACTTACTTTGCGCTGCAATGTCGATGTGCAAGTAGATTGGAAACAAAAAAAGGGCTCAGCTGCGACAATTATTGCACGGTACTGGTACACAATCAACAAAAGGAGCAGGAGAATTTGAATTATAAATGTACCAACTCTGCGCTATCAAATGTTGGCTGTGGTATGATTTCAATCACTGGGTGATTGTCGGCGGCCTTCTGCATCTGCACGCTCATGAAGTCGTTAAAACTCCCCAGCTGCTGGTGTGCAAGACCCTTCTCGTCGAAAAATGCATCTATGACGGCCCAGCCATCCTCCTGCAGAATACCCTGCTGCAGGTCGTCGTCATCGCGAGACCCCATCTCTACGTCCCCGAAGCCGTCGGGCGACCCCCCTGGGGCACCACGTGCCGACGAAAGCGCCGGCACATTCTGCAGGTTCGTGAACATGACTCCGCCAACCTGCGCCATTTTCTACGAGTTGGGGGCAGGTAGTGGAGGTGCAAAGAAAGTAACGCTCAGCCTAGGTCTGCGGCGCGGATGTTGCTTGTCCCTTCTTCCTGGAGCAGATTAATATGGATTTTCTGTTGTTGCTACTTGTTGTACTTCTTCACCTGGCTCCTTCCAAAGACGTAGCTCCTTCATCGACAACCTCGATTTCGACGTCTTCTTCGCTTTTTTTAACAAGTGGTCGCTGCGAACTTCATTTTACAGTCGCCGGTCGCTTCGTACTTTATGACAGTACAAGTCATTCGTCACTCAGTTCGGGGCGCGCTTGTTGTGCCTAAGCAAATTTAGGTATGCGGACCGATTTAGTTCGCTACCGCTGGCGTTGCCGTTGGGGGGTGCCCCCGCCGCCGTAAAATTGCCATCGTCCTGTAAAAAATTACTACTTTTCGCTTTTACCCTTACGTCTACGTCTTACGCTATTCATGTTGTATTTATCTAGTCACTTTCAGCATCGACATATAATAGACTTTGACTTATGCTTTTGCAACACAACTAGTACGACACAACACTGGGACCGGCTACACTTCACGAGAATATTATGTTCCACCTTGTTTTGTATCGATGGTCTGCCTGTCTTCAGATTTAAAGACGTTCAAGATCAAAATCAATCTCCGGAGCGCTCGCTTTTCTAGGCAAGCGAATTAAATGGCTGCGTGTTGGCGCGCCTTTGCCTCAACAGTTGCTGAGTGTAAGTCGCTGGCGATTAGATAGTGTAGCAACAGATCGCCGCCACAGAATGACGAAACACCGCCCGAGTTAGTGGTGAACGGCCAGTCGCAGGGAGTCATTCAGCGGGGCGTGATGTAGTTTCGCGATCAAATACTCTAGCTGGTGTCTGTACGACCTGTAACAGTTCAACATAGACGTTCCTTGTACATGGTATCCCGTTCAGGTCGCCCTCCTCTCTTCTACTCTAGCTACATACATGAACAAAATCCACTTCCACTAGGCGGTCGGGAAAACATGAAAATGACTACTCAGGATGAAGATACCATTGATCAATTTGCTCGTGGACATACTGTGGCAGGCTCTTTATGTAAATTTTCAGATTTGAAGATTTAGATCTAATCTCTTCTTCTTTATCAAGTAATCCACGAAGATCATTCCATCATCTTCGGGCCACTGGCTTCTTGGCGGATCCGAACTTTGTCGATTCGCTTCCAGAGACAAAACGAACCGTCACAAGTAGGGACAAGCTGGATTCTTGGTCGTCCGACACGATCTGTTTCAGACGCTTTATTTATTATGCTCCTCCTTGATCTATGCAACAAACTAATTTTTTTTTTGATCGCAGCGCTAACGCTAGGCATTGCAGCATGCTTTTTACATCATCGAACTCGTTTCGTAATTGAAAATGATATACTTTACTACTTGATGTATGATACAGTGAAAACACGCATTGCCCTCAGATCCGTAGCAACTGGTACAGAGGCGGAGGAACTGAAAATTTTCATCGAAAAGGGTATGACGAGCAGTGAAATTACCCGGAGAACGATCCTCATCCACTTCGCAAGCCCCAGCCTGATATTGATGATGCTGCGCCGCAATTTATTCAAGAACATCAGCAACACGCTGCAAAATCAAAATCAACAATGCAATACCAATATGTTTATATGCGAGTTTTTCTAACATTGTCTTCGAGTTGGATGGAGAGATCAATCTTTCTTCATGTTGCGCCAGTATATACTAGACGCCTCGAGCAGCAGGTGTTTGATGAGCGCATTGCGATTCCGATAGAGCGAGAGAAGGAAAATCACCTGCTTAAAATTGGAGTGATAGTTAGACAGGCACGTGAACCTCAACCTCATCTCTTCAGTGCATTGAGTCTCGCTTCTAGATCGTCATCCTCTTGCTGCGCGACAATCGCTGGTTGATGAGGTGGTCTTTGTACGGCTCCTGGGGCCACTTGAGAAGCCTGCGACGGGATGCCGATTCTCTCTGATCCTACTTTACCGAGATCAGTCGATATCTCAATTCCTATCTCCTCGAGAACTTGATTGACGACGGTCTCCTCCTCCCCCTCGTCATCGCCCATGGCATCATCTATTGCGTCAGTTAAGACCTCCTCCGTCATTTGTTGCTGTTGAGTTTTTGCTTTCACATTTTCGTTTTAACTTGATCCAATGCAGCACACCCAAGTACAATCACGATGCGCCTGTGCCCCCGCAATCATAACAATACACAGGAACCAGCAAAGGCTGGCGAAATAAGCCTAGCAAGCGTTATTAGTCATCAGAGTCGATATGTATGAAAGCAACAACGAGCATTTTGAGCAAGTTCAGGAACCCAGAAATTGAACTTGTCCTGGGCATCCTCTTCGGGGTCTGGGTTGCAAAGACGAATGAAAGTACAGGTCAAAAATGTATAGGGTTAGAGCCTTAAACTCAAAGAAATTAACAAGCGATTTATAAATGAAAAGTCAAAAGATACTCGCTCGTTTTCGGACATAAACTCCTGCATGATTTTCGTAACGGCAGAAGCATCCATGCTGGAGTTCATCTGAAGCATCACCCTAGTTACTCCCTGCATGGCATTTGTCATCGATGCCGTCGATTTCATGGTTTGCAGTTGGAGGCTTACGCCCTGCAGTTGTGCTTTCATGGTCAGAAATTTGCTCTGGTACTTGCGGCACCTCACCAGGTCCTTTGCCATTATCTTAACCGTGCCCGTCTGTCCCTGCTTCGCGAGCTGAAATTAAATTGAGACGCAAAATAAGAAACTACATGGCAAGTGGCGCAGTCTTTTTTTTTTGAGGCCCCCAGTCGGTTATCAGTAGGTCACTGAGGATCGCTATCTATTCCGCCCTGGGATATTATCATTAACCGCGCGCTGTCAAGGACTGAAGATCATGAAGCAACAGAAAGTACGTCTACCTTTTTCATTTCATTGATAGTTTTTTTCTCCTGCGTGGCGAGCTGGTTTTTCTCGCGCTCGAGTTCCCTGATGGCCTTTGAGATCTGTCGTTTGTGCAACTTCATTTGCTCGTCTAGACTCAGCTTTGGCGGCGAATTTCCCATCTTCCATTCGTGGTGCTTCCGTTCGTGGTGGTCAACCGGGAAGTTCGTCCTAAAGTGTGCTCAAGCAAGGAAGTGCGAAGCCGCAATAATCGCAGTACATAAAAGGATGTAGAGAGCGGGCAGGAGGCAACGCGGCACAGTAGGTGATGCGCTTCGAGGTGTCGTAAAGGTGACGCGCACAACTGAAGATATGTCGCGAGAGCAGCGTGATTGAATCTGTCGCGGAGGTGCTGCCTGCTTCGACAAATTGAAATTGTATTTATTTCTTGGATAGTACTGCTCGTACTAATTGCAGTCAGCCTGCTCTTTCTCCTCGTGCAAGAAGACAAGAAGGAAGGCAGCCCCAGCCACGGCGGGTTTGCATCTCATGAACATGGGTCGTGAAATATTGAAAGATAATGCGGAAGCGAGGTCGAAACAAACAAAAAATATCGTTGCCGATCTCGACGTGTATGACCGTTCCGCTCGTATGCAGATGCGGAATCAAACATAGTACCTCGCCAGAAATTGAGAATTCGCTAGCAAAAATGATATGAAGAATGTTCTTGGAGTAGCAAAAGAGCAGCCAAAACCAATTATCTCCGGCCTAAACTAAATCACATTTATCTATTAAGCAGCAAGCATTAACAAGGCAGCTACGCCACGATAGCATTTGCATTTGGATTGAGGTTTTATATTTATTCGTAATGACATCGGGTTTGCCTTTCCCGACAGACTGAATTTTGAATGAATTTTCCTTGACGTGATTGTGTTCAACAGCGATTCCTTCAAACCCTTCTATGACCAACATGAGGACTACATGTAGGAAAGTAAGTACGAAAATATCTTCGCCAAGAAGATCTCAGAGCGAACATTTGTACTCCTACATACTGTTGCTCCTGTGTGGAACTTGCAACGAGAAGAAGAAAGCTTTCTCAGGTCAGTCATCCTGTGAGAGGTTTAACTTTAATTTGACCGACCTCGATAAATTATGCTTCCAAGAAACCTATATTTTCGAGCTTTCTACCATGGTATGCGCTTTTGAATTTTAGCTGGTACGCCACGTCTTTCCTTGTAGTTTGCACGATCGAAGTCGCACACGCGCCGGTTCGGAAGCAGGCCAGGAACTTCATCGGAAGTTTGAACAAGTAGTAGAAGTAGAACAGGAACACGACACCAGCGCAACATTATCCTCTGCATCGGAAACTTTTTTCAAACGTTACCATATCTTCGCGCGCTAGGCGGGGTCATTTGATTCTTGATCCAACGATACTAGTAAACGAATTCGAGTACCGTCCTTGTGCAACAGAAAAAAATGCAAGCAATAGTGGATCATGTCGAGCCGTCTGTATAAATATCATTAAACACAAATCGGTACTATGGGAAGAGACCGATGTGGCCGCCACGCAGCCTTTTACTCATGCTAGAGAGCAAGTCCTGCCGTTCCTTTCATCAGTGTGGCAAGTTTGTGATCAAGGAACGGGGCCATTCGCGGACGAGCCTTCAAGAGATACGGAACCAATACGCAGCCGGTCAGCAATCCGTCCCGAGCTTTCTTGCTGTGAGGACCAGGACGCAAGGCCGCCGCGAGATTAAGGATTGAAGGCTCCAGCGACTCCTCTGCCTGCCAAAGTAGTTTTGGCGTCTCCGTCAGCAGCCGCGTCAACGACGATATCGCTTCGACGCCAGCCCCGGCCCTCCATGCGGTTGTGTCAGATTCCAGATAGTGGCGCAGTGTTTGGCATATCGGAGAAAATATTTCTTCCTCAACTAAATCGGTGATCGTATCTCTGTCCGGCGTCTGTATACCTCGAATGAATCGGTGCGCGAGCATCGTAGTGGAATAGTCCGCGAAGGCTTTCTTCCCCAGAAGCAATTCGAACCCGAGCAGCCCGAGGCCCCAGGAATCTATGTATTGCGGTTCTGAAAGTAGCCGAGGCTCGTGCGGACAACCGAAAACCTCCGGCGGTAGGCAGCGCGGATCCACACTGGAGCGCTCAGCCTTCATTGCAGCGCACATCCGCAGAGTCAGATTCGTGCAGCGACGGCTCTCGACAACTTTTTCCAGCACGACCCGCTGAAGAGAAGATGCTGCGAGTTCCTCTTTTTTTACGTCTGCAGCGCGATGGCGGCCCTCCTCCTTGTGGTCTTTCTCTTCTTGCATCTCCTGAGAGTACATGGTCCCGCAATCAGAAGATTGCGGGCCCTGAAGAACATCGTGTTTCTGTGCCCCTGGAAGTGGCGGTGGCTCTAGCCACCAGGCGAATCCCGGCTGCAGAAGCCGGGGAACCAACTTAAGCCCCCGGGGTAAGTTGGTTCTTCTGGAGCTGGAGTGATGCTGCTGCTCAGGTCGTGGGAGCGTCGGACCAGACGTCTGCTCGTCCGCAGTTGGCAATCGAGATGATCGCGTCTGAGCTACAGCTTCGTTTGACGTCAACGCGAAAGACTGGTCTGCGGCTACGTAGAGGGCATTGACGATGGATTTGTCCTGGTCCGACCATTTTTCGTCGCCACCATCTCTAGCGTCGCGCTTGGTTTTTGACGTCGGCCCGACTGATTCTGTTTCTTGACTTTCAGACCCTCTATGCCCCGGAGGCACTGAGTTTTCTTGGTAGGCCGAGTTGTCTCTCGCTTCCGCCTCCGAATACGTTGCTTTGTCCCCGCCCACCTCAAGTTCGTAAAAACTGTCAGGGAGCGTGGCCAGGTTTTCTATTTGTGCAGTTGCAACATTAATTTCCTCCGGCTTGCGCTGACCTTCACAAGTCGTGTCCGCGTCGTCAGGTGACACAAACTCACTAGCTTCCTTATTTCGCAAAGAGTTATCCGCTGTCCTTGAGTAGTGTCGTGGCGCGAGCAGGTTGATGGAGTTGTCATCTGCCGTGATTCGCTGCGGTTCCAACACATCATTACTTAGACTTGGCTCGTCTGCGAAAGGATTTTCCAGGTCATCGAATGAAAAAAGTGCATCGACGTCAGGAAAAAACTCAACGGCGTCTTTATTTCTTGGTTGCTGTCGTTTCCCCTGCGAAAGCGTTTCATCACTTGGAGACTGCACCAGCGAAGGACTATCCTGCATTTGTGGTCCTTCAGTTTCAACACCAACTCCGCCACATGCATCCGCTGATGCGTGTTTGCCCTCGGTAAGAGACGCGCCAGGTTGCAGACGTGCCGAGGTCGGGAGTACCGTGTCGATGACTGCATGCGTCGGCTGTTCGACATGATCCCCACATCGTCTCGTCTCTGTTACGTCGTTCTCTTCGTTATACTGCACCGTGGCTATCTGTTTTCGGTCGTGATGTTGTTGAGACCCGGAGACTTTATTTTGGCGGTTGTCCGGTATTTTTACTTTGCTTGTTCCTTCTGATTCTGTTTTGGACTCTATTTCATCTTTCGTCTCAGTCTTGCTCGGTGCGACCTCGGCACCGTCGAACGGCCCAAGGAATATTTCGTTGAGTGCGGACTTGCTCTCTCCGAAGAGCCGCACCATCGTAGTGGTTGTAGTTCTGAATTTCCGCTTCAAGTCCGCTTGCAATTTTTCATCCTCGAGCTTTTGCAAACTAGTCGACATCAAACTTTTCGTCTCCTCAAACAAACGGCTGCCAACATGCCTTTCTACTTTCCTTGCCGCGTCCTCCGCTTCTGCAGGCAGACGCAGAGGCGCAGTGCTCCTGCCGGCCAACGATTCATGTTGTGACATGGAGTTGTGGGTGAACACGAACGGCAACTGCGCCGCAGAGGATTGCTGCTGTGATGTTTGTGATGCGGCCCAGCCGGAAATGTCAGTTTTGCCAAGCGCTGTCCGTGGAGCCAATAACGGAGACGCGATCTTCTGCTTCCTATCGTTCGACGAACCACTAGAGTCGCCGGCTTTCAGCCGTGGAGTCGTCGCGCTTCCCACAGGAGCATCAAAGCGAGCTTCGACCTCGACGCTTTTGCATTCGTTCGTGTCGACCTCCCGCGAGATTCTTGTTGTTTTTTCAGTCGCAGGTGGTTCAGCGAGGACGCGCGCAATATCCTTATCCAAGGTTGCTGCAGCTACTCCGACGCGGCAGGAATCTTTTTTCCCCTGTGCAGCTCTGGTCGCGGAATGGTCTGGGCCAGGTCGTATCAGTGGCGATTTAGAAGAAAGCAGCGAGCCCTTCTCCTCTTCCTCGGTTCTGGCTGTCACGGTCGTGGCGCCCGCAGTAACCGGCGGAGAACTGATTTGCTGCGCCGACATCAGTTCTTCTGCACTCACGTCGTTCCGTCTCCGAGTCTGGTGTGATTTTTCCCGCCGGGCGAGTTCGCGAGCTGCAGAGCTTCTTTCAAGTTGAAGATCCTCCAGAAGCATTGCCCACGAAATGACATCCTCGCCTTGCCCGGCAGCGCCACCACCTGGCGCTTCTTCCACCTCCTCCACCGCGTCAGGAAAACCACCAAACACGTGATCAGCTCGCACGAGTTCTAGAGCGACAGTTTCGCTATTAAGGCAGCCGTAAGGGATCTGTGCTCCGTCGTGCAAAAAACGTAGGCCGTTGCCCATTCCCCGGAGAAGATCAAGAACATCCAACTCGAATGTACGGAGCTCGATTACCTCGCGCAACAGCTTGCAGTGGGGCACATCAAGAGAATGCAACAGCTCTGCTTGCTCCGTGATACCAACCAACGGGGCCACGAATGAACGCAACTCTTCGAAGATCAGGCTCCCAGTTCGGCTGTCGGTATCCTTGAAAACATTCTCGCTGGACGACGAGGTTCCTTTTTTCGTGCAGCTCCGTTGTGGACCAGACAAAGCTATCAGGTCGTTGAGCACTTTCGCATAATCCGGATGAGTCCTCAGGAGACAACCTTTGTTGTCGTTGACCTTGTCGCTTTGGCTGAAAGTAGAAGTAGCAGGGTCGTCTTTTATCATGTCCGCAGCGGGTACTTGTATTTTTTCCGAAAAATCAGACTGGACGAGACAGGGCAGAGCTGCGGAGACGCAAAAGCGAGCCGCATGCTTTCGTGCTCCAGAAAGATCGTCTGCCTTCTCGGGGAGAAGCTGGAGCCCGGGCCTCGGGCGCACATACCGAAACCCATCTTTTTCGATGATGATCGGAAGACCACCACGAGCGGCCGGCTTTGTGCTGACCATCGAGTCCGGCGGCGCGCACAGCAATGAGCTATTCGGTAGGATAATTGCAGTGGTTGTATTTATTGTGGTCCCAGATACATTGAGACTAATATATACACATTACATTAACTAGCAAAATTTCGACACTTTTACCAATATGCAATATGACAATATAACAGTATGACAATATGACTCGTGGATTTTGAGCAATATGACCGGATGCCTGTTGAGCGTCTGGGACCGAAAGCGGACCGGGCAGCGCCCACCACTAAGTATTCGCGCTGCGAGGCCACCTTACCGGTCGAGATGCTCATACTACTAAAAGCCGACCCACACATCTAGATCTACATGCTGGAGCTGCGACACTAACTAAAGAAGTAGACCGCTAGTAGCCCCGGCACAGTAGCGCCACGCGCACTGTACGCTGAGCAGGCTTGATAGCAGGCGCGTGAGAGATGCACAAGAGGCCCCTCATCGATTGATCCAAAGTCGGCGCAGTAGCAAAGCATACGCGCCCTAGTGACTTCGTGGTCCCAACACCCGACAGAAAGCGTTTCGGGCGGGGCCAATTTTCAGCCCCCAGGCTGTCGCGAGCAATATGCAATATAACAATATGTCAAAATGACAATATGAGAACTGGAGTTTTTGAAGGGTTTGGCATGTCGTCCCGGCCAAGTGTCATATTGGAGCATTATGTGTCATATTGCTAGTTAATGTAATCTGTATATATAAAGCAGGGGTTTGGTGGGGTCGCAGGGGTTATTTTTGTCTAGCGTCGGAAGAGCAGAACCGCGGGAGCCAAAGCCCTCCCGTCGGAGGCTGCGCGGTTTGGCCACTTTGGTACCCTACCCCGATTCGCCTAATTTCATACCCTCACCCGAATCGGCTCCTTTTGTACCCTACCCCGATTTGGCCAATTTTGTACCATCCCCGAATTTTGTACCCTGTCCCGATTTCCCTAATTTTGTACCCTAGCCCGATTTGGCAAATTCTGCACCCTGCTCGAATTTTGTATCCTCTCACGGCTGCCCAATTCTGTACCCTAGCGCACCCCGGGCAGTTTTGTAGGTACGTACCCTGCCCCGAAAGGCCTCACCTTGCGCCCTCGGACAGGGCTTATATTTGTCTAGCGAAGAGCAGCACCACGGGGGCCAAAGCTCCTCTTTCAAGGGCGGCGCGGAGTAGCCAACTTTGTGCCCTACACCGATTCGCCTAATTTTATACCCTCACCCGACACGCCTAATTTTGTACCCTCGCCCGATTTGGCTAATTCTGTACCCTCTCCAAACTGTGTAGCCTATCTCGATTTGCCTAATTTTGTACCCTAGCCCGATTTGGCGAATTCTGCGCCCTGCTCGAGTTTTATGCCCTAGCCCGGTTGCCCAATTCTGTACCCTAGCGCGCCCCGGGTGATTTTGTAAGTACCTTGTCCCGAAAGGCCTCAGCTGGCGCCCCCGGGAAACACGGAAACCGGGAAACACGGAAACCGGGAAACACGGAAA